AATTTAACAAAAAAACACCCCCGCCCCCCCCCCCCCCGTCAGGGATGGTCTGGTCAATACTGACAATTTTTTCGATAGCTCAGCCATTTCTTGACAGATCCTTCTCATCTTCGAGCTCGACTGAAATATTAATGAGATCATTATGTGTACGAAATTTCATGACAATTGGATGAGGCTTTCAAAGATTATCGTGTTAACAACAGGACGGACACGCTGACCGAATCTAGAGTGTACTTACTTTTTTTGAGTACACAAAAAGCATGATGTTTACTTGTCTATCGATCAAGCATCTCAATTATTTTCTTTGAGTAGTTCGATTAGCTTACAATCGCTGATTTTATCATTTTCACATTTTTGTAACCAACTCCAAGCAAATATTCTTCAGTTTTCTCTCGTTCCTTCTGAATTCATCGATAGTTATTATCTAACCTTTGAAAATCAACATTTTGCTGATCTAGACATTTAAGTTTCAACAACATCCATCCCCACAGACGATATCATAACACAAAACTGCAGTTCACAATTCTCTTTTAGCCTTTATCCGATTGCTATTGACACTATCTAACCATTTCTTTCCATCGAAACTTCTATTCTTTTCTTTTGTGTAATTTGAAAACGAGTAAGAAGCAGACATCTATCTTGACTTGTAATTGATTAATACGATGCATCAATCAAAACATTTTCTATAAAGGAATCAAATTTACTTTGAAAAGAACTGACGATTAAGATGACGAGTACACCGAAAAACTTTCGTTCAATTTGTACGAAAATTATTTGCGTTGGACGGAATTATAGGTAAGAAAAAAATGCTGCGTTGGTTTGATGAAAAAACCAAAAAGTATTATTTTTAGTGAACATGCAAGCGAATTGGGCAATGTAAATATTTGATCTTGCTTTTTTCTTAAAATGTAGGTTTGTCTTTAGACTGTACCAACGAAGCCAATAATTTTCATGAAACCACCAAGTGCATTTGTTATTGAACCGAATGATATCAAAGTAGAAAAAGAAATGTAATTAAAAATCTAATAAACTCGATTTTCAATTCTATAGATTCCATCCGAATGGGATGAAGTTCATCATGAAGTTGAATTAGGTGTTATTATTGATAAGAAATGTCAAAATGTTTCGAAAGAAGACGCTGCAGAATATATTGCAGGTTATTGTCTAGCACTTGATATGACATCAAGAAAACTTCAAAATGAATTGAAAGATCAAGGTCTTCCATGGTTACTTGCTAAAGGCTTTGATACATCGTGTCCATGCGGCGATTTTATTGATAAAAATGAAATCAATCTATCTTCATCGGTTAATCTTTGGCTTAGCGTCAATGGAACCATGAGGCAAAATGGTCATACGCGTGATATGATTTTTTCGGTACCAGATTTAATTGCTTTTATTTCAAAATATATTACACTTGAACATGGCGATTTAATTTTAACTGGTACACCGGCTGGTGTTGGAGCAGTCAAGAGAGGAGATCACATCGAAGCTGGAATCAATGGAGAAAATGATTTAAAATATACAATGAAATTTAATATTGCATAGAATTTTAAGATTGATTTTTTCCGTATCGTGCAATTGATCTATTTTAGTGCTTTCAAATGAAAAAAAAATGCTTGATTTAAATTATTAGTGATAAAGAAAATAATTCGTAGTTTGATTTATAGATTATCAGTTTTAGTCGATATGGGCGAAATTGCTAAAGAAAAACTAGCAGCTCTGTTGCTGGAATATCCAAAGCCATCGGGTATTATTTTGGGTTATGGCACAGCAGGCTTTCGAGCACGAGCTGATACACTCCCATGGATTATGATTCGAATCGGTCTTCTAGCTTCTCTTCGGTCTAAAGTGAAAAAAGGTGAATATCGTATTTTTCAATTTCTAGTTCATATTTTAAATGAAATCTTCATTCCAGCATGTATTGGTGCTATGGTTACAGCGTCACATAATCCTGAACATGATAATGGTGTTAAATTAATTGATCCATTCGGAGAAATGCTAGATCAATCATGGGAAATCTATGCAAGCAATCTATCCTCACTCGAGTATGTTCGATTAAGCAATTGTTGAAAATTAAAATTTTTCATTTAATTCTTAGTGACAGTATTGATGCACTGTGGAATTATTTAGAAAAATTAATGACTCAATTGAATGTTCAATTAAAGGATAAAGCTACGGTTGCTATTGCATATGATACACGGTAAAGTAATGTCATTGAAGACCAACTTATTTTGCACTGAGATGCTTTTTTAGACAAAGCAGTCCACTTTTATCACATATTGTTCAACGAGCAGCCGAGATTTTCAATACGAATATCATAAATTATGGTAGAAGAGTTTATGCGGAAATTTTCTGTTCTACTATTTTATACTTCTCATAGAACTAATGACAACACCACAACTTCATTATACTGTTCGGTGTTATAATGATAATGAACTCTATGGACGTTGCACTGAAGTTGGTTATTTCGATAAAATTTGCACAGCGTTTAAAAACTTAATTGAAGCAAGAAGAAATTATTCATACATTTTGATTTTATTATTTTTGTTCGCTTTCACAGATGACACCTGGCGCCAAACACCTCGAACAACTTGCTATCGATGCTGCTAATGGAATTGGTGCTCAAAAACTGGTTGTTTTACAACAAAGATTATCAGATTTGTTTAAAATTGAAATATTTAACGATGGTACTCAAGGTCGTTTAAATGAAAAAGTAAATAAAAACAAACAATACGAGACTGTTTAACCCATTGTTAATCATCCAGTAGAGTTGGAATGGATCAAAAAGTGACCTATTAGACTTGAACGATATAAAATTTTGAATTTATTATTTATTTGGTTTTGTGACTAAAGACGGTACATTTACAATGTCTCGCTCTGATGCAAGAAATACTTATTTACGACATTTTTGAAAGATGGAATAAAACGTCATTGACGCATTAGCGTATCTCAGAGCAGTATACAGGGTGACACAATCTGGTTACGATGAGCAAGCGCAGCTATATCACATTTCACATTTTAATTCTGTAAGGATTGCGCAAATTACTTTTTCGAGTATTCTTCTATTTTTCAGAAGTCGGAATATTGATGACGAGCGGGTTTCTCTCGTTTAATAACCTATTACGACTATGCAGTTAATTCCCATGAAAAAGTTGTAAAGTTTAGTTTCATTTTTGTTTTAAACTTTGCCACTGATTTAGTGTGGTGCTGATTATGTCAAGTTATATCAAAAAGCACCGGAAGGTTTACCTTTAACGAACTATCCAAAGTATTGCTCGATTGATGGCGATGCTGATCGTTTGATTTACTATTTTATCGATCAAAATCAACATTTTCGTATGCTTGATGGTGATCGTTTTTCAGTGTTATTTGCATCATTTATTTCCAAAAAATTAAAAGAAGCTAAATTAATTGATCAAGTTAAAATAGGCGTTATTCAAACAGCTTATGCTAATGGAAGTTCAACAAATTATGTTATTAATACAATGGTAGACTTATTTTGTATCGAGAATAATAAGAATAATTAAATTGACAATTTCATCTAGAACGTTCCTGTGGCATGTGTACCCACTGGTGTGAAACATTTACATCATAAAGCACTTGATTTTGATGTTGGCATTTACTTTGAAGCAAACGGACATGGAACAGTAGGCTGGCGTTTTTTCGTAGATAGAATGTTAACTAGAGTTTATTCAGGTTTTATTTAGTGATGATTTAAAAACTAGAGTAAAATCAGTCATGGAAGACGAAAAGTAAATTGAATGATAATGTCACATGTTTTATTTCAATTGATTTTCTTTTGGTATAGTCGACCAGACGATGAAAAGCTAGCTGCAAAACAACTTCATGTATTTATTGATATAATCAATGAAACAGTTGGTGATGCTCTAGCTGATTTGTTGGCAACCGAGGCTATTCTTTGTTTAATGAATTTATCGATAGAAGGATGGTTAGATTTATACCATGATTTACCTCAACGACAATTAAAAGTAGCGGTTAAAGATCGAACCATGATACAAACAACAGATGCGGAACGACGTTGTACTGCTCCTGCTCATCTACAAGATTGTATCGATGAACTTGTGTCGAAATATCCATCGGGCCGTTCATTTGTTCGGTAAAGCAAAAACAAGAACCAAATTAGTTATTCTTTTTTCCTTCTTTATAGACCATCAGGTACAGAAGATATCGTACGTGTCTATGCTGAAGCAACTACGCAAGCTGATGCTGATCAACTTGCTGATGAAGTACGAAAGATAGTTCAAGAATTAACAAAATAAATGGTTATTGTCATCTGATAGAATATTTAGTTGAGAGATATTCGTATGATACTTTTTCAGGTCAAAAGTTCTCTTTTTATTTAATATTAAATAATCTCCTTATTCGGCAGTTTATATTGGGTTTATTCGAAAAGAAAATGCGCAATAAAATTGATTTATATGCATATAATTGTTTTTTCACATTTGAAACATTCACTTTGATCATTGTTATCAGTTACTAATTTGCATGAAGATCCAAGGTGGTTTTGGAGCAATGAATTGTTCATGATAAAAATTCACGTTGAAACAATATCGTTCACCACTATATTAACTTTTTAAACATAGTAGTTAATCAGATTTTTTCATAAGAAACTAGATGTTAAGGTTGGTGTGCCGTAAAAAGACCGAAAGGAAAAATGTCGAAAGGGAAAAATATCGTAAGGAAAAATATAGAAAATGACGAAAGGAAAAATGTCGAAAGAAAAACGTCGAACGAAAAATATCGAAAGAAAAAATATCGAAAGGGAAAAATGTCGAAAATTTGCATTAAGATGTTTTTATTCTTGAAATCATAATAGCATCATAGCATAAATCATAGATAAATAAGAGTTATAAAGAAAGATACAAATATCCAATATTTACTAGTTGTTGTTGTTTTATTCAGTTTGAAAATATATTCATCTGATACAAGCAAAGGTTTTCCTTTTTGCGACATAATAAATGAAATAACTGGAGATGGTGAATGATTGTCACCAGATAAAAATGAGCAAGCTGTAGTCATCATGATAGAATTTTAATCGTTGTATACTATTTACGCCTATTTTAGCTAGTTTTCATAAGATATTACTTATCAATAGTATCAAGGGTTATCATTGTCAAACCAATGGAATAATCAGATCAACAGCAATGAACAATAAACTATTAGAACCTTCATTTAGTAGACGTCGCTTTTTTCTATCTTTTCTGTTTTCGACATTTTTCCTTTTCGATATTTTCCTTTCGACATTTTTACTTTTCGACATTTTTCTCTTCGACATTTATCCATTCGACATTTTTCCCTTTCGATATTTTTCTTTCGGTGTTTTTCTTTCGGTTTTTTTCCTTTCGATATTTTTCCTTTCGGCCTTTCTACGGCCAACCATTAAAATCTCAATTTTAACCAACTCTCGTTGGTAATTTTCTCCTTTCTGTTCTGTTCTTATCAAACTCAACAGTCATCATCGCATTTTTTCTACCAATAGAAACAATATTTGTCAATATTCTATCAATGTATAATTCATATATGCGTATGGTTGGCAGAAAGATATCGCACCAACGTAGTTCTCACAACTTTCATGAATGTGATCTAAAAACATTGATTGAGCCAATCTCTAGAAGTGGCCAGAAAGAGGAAAAATATTTTGTCCCATTTCTTATGAGTCACTCGTTATGACCTAACTGGCTCATCATGTGTAGGATACCCAGTGTACATAAATAATCTATTCATTTGAGTGAATTGTTAAGCTTCAAAATTCAGCAATATTAGTTTGACGAGTGTAAAAGTGGTTAGTGTCTAAGAAAGGTCAAACGTATACCGTGAGAACTGAATCTCCTCGTCCTCAAATTTCTGGTTATACTACTACTAATTAATACGCCATAGTAGTACATATCATATATATATATATATATATAACAACGAATTTGATTCTGATGCTGGAATTAAGCACAGGAAAAAGACCAGTATTATGAAATTTAAAATAAAATAGTGAGACGGAACAAATTATTGGCTAATAAAAAAATTTGCCAGGGATGGGGATCGAACCCATGCTCACTATTGTGAATTGGATCTTAAGTCCAACGCCTTAACCACTCGGCCACCCTGGCACGGAATTTATTTGCCTAAAGTGACCTTCTAAATTGTTACTGTATAGTATCTACTTCCAAATCAAATTTCTAACGGACAATTAAATATACGAATGGACGATCGATTTAGGTTCTTACACTTGGTGTTGACCTGCCTGTTGTAATTAGATATAAATAACTTATCTTTTCATGTTCTAGAATAAATTTCACTACTGGTGAACTCGTTCAGTTTATTTCTTAATAAGAAATATATTGTAAAAGACGTTTCGGTGAAAACAATAATATCATATTACCTCAGAGTGTATTTCACAAAAAATACATACAGAGACATCTATTCAGATGCAAAACAAATAGCTTCTATAAGGCTTAATATAGTTGCACATTTCATTCCAACTTTACAAATGATTGTCTAAAACTAAATGTGATTGATTTTGCTCTTCATGGCTCATTGTTTGGTCTATCAGAAGCGTATTAAAAAAAATACACTTATCGAAATAGTTGAAAAAGTATTCTTTTCGATTTTGAATGAATTTTGAGTATGATTAGAATAAAAAATTAATTGACATTCAGTTGTCGTTCAACAATAGGAGATTGTGGTTGTTTATGCTTTTAATTCTTGAAGTTCTATTGCTAGAGAAAAAGAATCAAAAAATATAAAATTTTCCTTTTCTTATCTATGTTCTCAAGACATAATTATACTGCTCTGTGTAGTTTCGCTTATAATTATGATTGAATTAAAGCAAAAAGAATTCCTTACTATACATATTTCACAATAATCGATAAAACTCTCCTTCATGTCAGCGAAGAAAATCAACATTATCTTAATTAATTATATGCGATACAAACGATGTACTATTCATATGACATATTCGTGAATATTTTCACGACAATCATTTGTATAGCTATATACGAATGCACAAGAGAAGACAATCGATTAGACGATTTAGCGACTATTTGCGTTTGACCATATCATATCGGATATATAAATATAATATTTTTCATTATAGATTAACAAATACTGTTGATATTGAATATAGACACAGAGCGCAATTCCTGGTATTGAGTACAAATAATATCTATCGGCCAATGTAGACACAAAGTGAAACATGTTACTTCACAACGTATATAATCTAAAAAGATACGAAAATTTTCTTGACATAATTATTCTCCTCAATTCTTCCTTAGTGTTTGCTAGGATCATTGACATATTTTCATGATAACTAAAGTAATTATTGTCATCTTCGAATTGTTTTCAACAAAAATTTACTTAATATAAACAATGGCGATCAGTTGTTACCTAAGATAACTTTCAATAACGTTATCACTATTTGCTATCATTAAGTATACTATTGCTCATGAAAATATCTAGTCTATATTTGAATAACTACTAGAACTTGTGACATGTTGAATACAAACATGATATCAAGTAATGCTACTGTTTGTATTCGAATTGTTTAATTAGTTAGTAGTTATTTTCAAATGTTTGTTTCCTTTTTGAACGATCTATTTCAATGTCATCGGTTTCAAACTAAATTTTATCGTAAATCATGATCAATGTAGTTATTATGTATAATTATTTCTGATATTTTTTCGTTGAAGCAATAATTAATAAAAATGACAAAAAAATGCTACTGTATGAAATAAATATATTGAAACCATGATTAGAATTATTATTGCAAAAGTACAAATATTGTTCTGCAATAAAAAAAAAAACCTAGTGTTTTATCTTTTCTGGACGAAAACTATTGTTTATAGTGATCAACATTTACAAAATCTGGAAAGATTCACATGGTTGCATCTATGAAGAGAATCTTCATAAATTGCTTATCGTGTGTAATTGTTAAAATATACAGCTGTTGCATGAATCTTTAATAATATAGAGTAGAAGATAGCTACTTAAAACTGCTCAGTTGTTGATCCAGTAGAATCTTATCTGAAATTAATGGAAATACTAGATAAGTATTTTACATGTAGGTTTTCTTTTCAAAAGAAAACAAAAATTTATGAAATCTTGATTTATTCTTATTTTCTAAATCTAAATTGTGTCGTATTCATAAGACAATAATGTATTGAAAACAAATAATTACTAATAGTGTCTGTCTTGACATTCGAGTTGTCTTCTATTGTCTATATTTTTGATATGTTTATTCTTGGTTCACAACCTTTTCCTTCTTTGTTTCTGACATATGTCGATTAATAACATAGGTCCCTTTTGTTTGTTGTTTATGTAGTCATGATTGGAACGTTTGAAAAAATCAATCATTTGAAAAAGCTAAAGTATGAACATATGTGTCACTAAATTCTACAGATGATGATAAAAAGAATGTTATTGCAATATATACCATAGAATTAAGTATCAATAGAAACATAAAATTCTTTGCCCGTAGTATATCTGAGTATAATTCTATTCTGTTAGAATATCACATGTTGCTCTATATTTCTGAATACATATGTTTTGTTTGCATATTATCATTATCGATCTCATTTCTTTCTAAATTAAAAAAAAATGTTATTCACAATGGACGCAGCTAAATATTTGACTGTTTCTCATTCACATCTTTAATATTCACAAACATTCTTGTCGTCTTTTAAAAAGCTTATTGATATAGAAGTGAAAAGGTGTGATTCAATTAGAAATCGATTAACAGTATGTGTTGTGTTTAGATATAATATATATATATATACATATATATATACCTAACGGCGGGAAAAAATCAACAATCACATGTACGTCAAATATAGACATTTGCTGCTTGTTTGACAACTGTTCATTTTTCTTTCTCGATTCTCATCATCATCACCATCTCAGTGTGAATCCCTCATATGGAGCTATCTTTCTGTCATTTAAAATTGTATATCGATAGCTATACGTTTTTTTTTCTTTTTCTTTTTTGCTCCCTCTCTTATCTATTTTATTCGTTTGCTTATTATTGTCGAGAGCTTAATGCAGGTGCACTACGCCATAGGCGATTTGCATGTCTACGTCGCTGCGCGACTTTTATATAAACAAAGAACAAGAAACCAGTAACACCTGATGAGAGAATACACGAAAATTGGTCTTCAATATAACATCAAATCTCTGTTGATGTTTGATAAAAGAGAAAGAGAGAGAAAGCGAGAATCGTTCACAGCTTCCCAATCAAACAATCAACCATTAGAGAAAAAGAGAAAGAAGAAGAACTGAGAGGAAAAAAAAGAAAAAAGGACAGCAGACAGAAGCTGTATGTTTACATATCTCTCTTGCCTTTAGTGCACGATATACCAGTATCATTGACGATCAAGCAACAATACCCTATCAGTTCACTTGTAATATTGTTAGAAAATTGAGTAAGTATTAGTTTTTATATGTGCACTATCATTTCTTGTGTTACACAGTCTTTTATTACTCGTTAAAACTCACATAAAAGTCAGTGATTATAACAGTTCGTATATGAGTGTTTGTATCATACTAAGAGTCAGTAGTTTTTTTCTTGTGTAAGTTTATATAGACGCTTAAATATATAACTAAAGAGTCATGATATATCTAATTTTAATGTACAGCTGTTCGAATCACCCTAAACAAAAATGCTTATCTTCTTACATCTTCTGAAACATAGGTGCCGACAGACGAACATGCCATGCATACGCTAAACCGTTTATAACTCTCTAACTCGTTTTACGTCAACAGCTGGCAATAGCAACAGCATCAATTCGATTTTGCCATCTATCAGTCTCTTCGTTTTTTTTTGCCTTGCTCATACTGGGAATATACACTCGTGCAACTTCTGTTCTAATCCCCCAAAGAGAACCAAATGGTCCCTTCGTAAAAATAAAAAACATATGTTCTATATTCTCTTCTCTCTGTTTGCCGCTTTAGCTAGGCTAATTTTTAACTTATGCTCTGCCTTCGTCTTCCGTAAGTTCATCTCCGAAACAGATGGCTTTTCTTTTTTTTTTTCTTTTTTTCCAAATAGCATCGACTTTTATTTCCCTATTTATGATTTTTGTGGACAAGAAAATAATCACAAAACAAAAAAAAGTAAACCTCACAAATTTCATATTGTTTTCTGCCTTAGTACAAGTGAAAATATGATTGACGGAGTTATTGATTTTGACCATCACAAAACTAGCATCTCTAACCTTTTCTATATATGTATGTATGTAAGCGTAGCTATCGTTGATAGTTAAGTAAAGCAAATCGTTTTGTTTGATTGATACGCGCTAACCTTTTGTGCAGCTGCTACTATATGTATTAGTGCACGCGTAAGATAGACAACAGACCAGATACCTGTCCATTCATTTTTTTCCTCTTCCTCTTGTAACATCTGCATCAATCGCATGTTTATTCATTAAAGATTTTGCAGCTGCACATAAACAGATGACGCTATGAAGAAGAGTCAACGACAACGACGACGATAATGATGATGATGTTCAAAGAGAGAAAAAAATTGCATTTTTTCACATGGCGCGACTAATCCTAAAACAAATAGATCTATATACGTGTATACGTATATATATATATATATATATGTCGCGTCATATAATTGAAAAAATATTTTGTTTGAAGTGAAATGAACACCCACGTAGATTCGGCGTCGGTTGACTAGCTTAAAAGAAGAATCATTTATATTAGTGCATCAGTTTCATTTTTGTTCTTTGTGCATTAAGTGTTCGTTGTAAGAGACAAACCTATGCTTACGAAGAAAATACATTGAAAGAAGAACAATAATGGCAGATTAGATAGTATAGTGCGTATATGTTTCTTTTCTTCTTCTTTTTCTTCAATGCATGCACACATACGTAGACAAACAGATAGATAGATAGAGAGAGATTGACGAATGAGGTCTATTGTATGTTGTTGTAACTTGAGTAGCATAGAAGATGATCGACAGTCATTAACTAGTTTATGTTCTTTATTTGTCTATTGTAGATTACTATATCATGACATCGACTACTTTTACAAATACAGACGATAATTATTATGAATTAGGGCAAGAATTTAAAAAACTTGCTTCGCTCGTACCAACAATACCAAAAGATGAATGTCTTTCGGAACTTGAATTTATTGAATTTGTTATTGCTTACATTCGTCAATTACAACAACTTCTTTCACATGATCAATGGAGTGAATGTTTAAATAAATTGGCATCATCTATGAAGAATTCTCTTCTATCATCAACATCTTCACCACCATCTTCTCCACATGCAACAAATCTATTGAATCAATTAATAAATGAATCTCCACGAACGCAAACAAATGAAAACTCATCGATTATACGTCGAAATCCATTGGCAACCATTAATCTAGACAATACTCGATTATCGTGAACAGTATCCTCTGTGTCTCTCTTTATATATATATCTATGTGTGTGTGTGTATCTGTCTGTCTATTTTGTTGTTCATTGATTCTCATATTGTTTATGAATTGATCTATATACTCTGTCTTCATTTCTACTCAAAAGAAAGAAAACTTGAAACACAACACTCATTTTCTTATGTAGATTAATTTTTTCTATAACTAGACACACATTGATCAACTTGGACATTTATTTTTACTCTAGGCAATATTAGAACTATTCAAATAATTTGATTGATTGGATCTATTATAAAAATTTGTTATTTTTGTTGACAACAACTACGTAGCATATAATCTTGTATTGAGTGTCATAGAATGACGTTTGAGTTTAGTTCTTTATTCGTTGTAATTCATACTAATGAAATTAATCTTGAATGAATTGCTTTTCGAAAAGTATTTATTCAATATATTCTCTATCCATATAAAATATTCAAGTATAATCATATATTAGAAAGTGGTTTAAAGAGAAAAACGGTAACTGGCAATCACACAGTTACTACAAATAATAATTTTATTTTGAAAATTTCATTGATTTAGAGGTTTTGACCTATGTCAACTTTCTTGACATTAGTACAACTTTTCTAATGTTGTAAATCAATTGACATAAAGATTAATATGTAACATCCGAGTAAATGCTTTTAATTCGATTACACTAATATGCATTCATCATATGAAAAATTTGATCAACATCAATTTGTTCTACGATTGCATAAGTTAGTAAAAATTAAAATGTGTAGTTAAGTGTTTGTAAACTTCAAAAAAAGTTTCATTCTTAGATTGGTTTTAAGAACGAATTCATATTTTGAAGGTATAATTTAATATATCATTGAGACTGATGATTAACTTGAAGCATGTTAGACATATGTGATTATATGCACCGTTGTACTAAAATTAAACGTTGGCATTTGTTTTTGAAACACAAATTTATTAGAAGGATTGATATCGTTTAGCTTTGGATTTGTAAATTTATTGATTCTAACTTCCATAGTTCTCATTTTGAATAAGAATTATAGAGTATTTCGATATTATCTTATGAAATTTCTTTTCCTTTTAACTTCACATAACAAAACGATAATGTAAACGAAAAAAAAGATGCCTTTAAAAAAACCGTTTACATCCTTTACTGTTTTTTATTCCAACTAATTTTTTTACTTGTTTCTTTTTGTAATATTTTTCTCGTGTAGAAGAAACGAAAAATCCATTATTCTGTTGACACTCGTATCATTAAATTTGTACAGAAAATGAATAATTTCAATTTTCATTCTATACCAACATTTTAGATGCTAAACAAGTATGAATTCAATAGATTTCATTTTTTATACTAGTATTAAATAAATGTGCTTGGCGATAATTTGATTAATTGGTATTAATTATTTAAAATTCTGAAATTGATTTTCTTATTTTAATGCTCAGTGGGATTATATTTGATAGATCAACAGACAGAAAAGGCACTAAAATTTATGCGTATCCGATTAAGTCATAAAAAATAAATTCTCAACTTATGTTGTTTATTCTCTCGCGGATACATGCAGAATCTATTATCCTCAATAAGAATATTTCATCGTAGACAATTACAAAAAGATTTGAGAAACAATTTTAGAATTAAAAAGAACGCCTACAATCATTTTTCTAATTTCATCATTTGTTGATTTTAATCTCACAGAAGAAATCATGTTGTTGTGTTCTATGTTGAAAGTGTCACTTCCTTTTCATGATTTCATCGATTTCGGTTACTTGCATAAGATTTTTTTTTCTTTCTTACCTATGCAGGTGAAACTTCGTGTGCACATTATTCACATGTTTTACGTAGTAAAAAGAAGCAGAAAGCTAATGATGTCAATAATTTTTATGTTAGGATCAACTATCTGAACGACATAGACGCAGATTTTGTTTCCTCAAGATTCTAATATACTATTTCTTTCTCAAAAAAAAATCCCACTGGTTTTTTCTCAGATTTGGATCATTGTTTATATTAATCTGACAAAGAATGGCTGAAACTGTAGAAGCAGCATTTATCTGTGAACGTTGTAATACTCAGATAGATCTTCAAGATCGGGTAAAGCATTCGGTGAGTAATTACTAATTCGTTTCAAATGTAGATTTCAATCTCTATTTAACATACTGTAGAGAAGATGCTCAAATGCAGGAAAAAAGCTAATTCGACGAAAAGAAAAGTAAAATAAAATATTTTCACTCTAGTTGATTTATTATTGTTATTATTATTTCTTCTTAGAGTAATTGTGAATAATGAATTAGACAATGAAAAGATTCCGTGTGAATTCTGTAATGATCGAATTAGTTTGGATCATTGGAGTTCTCACTCGGTAAGAAAATGATACTTTATATAAGCAATTATTTCTAGTGAATTATAGGCAACATGTGCTGATTTGCACAGACGCCGAATAGAAAATTTAAGAAAGTATGTTAATCTTTTAGAAAAATATTTCTTATAATTTATATTTAGTGGTATCGACAACGAGCCCATTGATGTGTTGATTCCTTGTGAATATTGCGATGAACAAGTTCATGCAAATACTATAGAATCACATACAGTACACCAAAACAAACGAATCTTTTCTTGACAATATAATTAAATAATTCTATCCTATTTCAGAAACGATGTGCTGATAAATATCGACGTCGTCGGGAAGAAGCACACAAGTAACATATATCAATGATTAGATTAATTAAATTTCATTTTTTACATGGTCGTAGTGATAATATAGACTTAATTCCATGTGAATACTGTCATGTTCCAATTAGTACTTTGGAATTAGAGTGGCATACGGTAAAATAATGAATACATTTTGTTTTTGTTCTGTCTAGCTGAAATAGATCGAAAATTTATCAGAGAACAAAACAAATGTTTCACCTAACTATTCTTCTTTCAATATTATGATTGATTGCTGATTTTTCATTATGTAATTGTTCAAAATTAGGGAGACGAAACATAAAGATACGGTAGTTATGAAATCTAGCAGGAAAATAGTATTATTTTGAATAAACGATTTAAGAATAATATCAGTTTAAATCAGAGAATCTTATCTAGTGCTTTTTTATACGTCAATGCACAGAAAAACTATAGGATGTTCGATTGAGATAAACTGATCAGATCTTGTTATTCTGTAAGAATAAAGATCGATGTCCAAAGGTATAAACTTTTTATAGATCATCTTCAAATTTGTTTTGTCATCTATTATGCTAATGACTAAAAACATATTGATTTTTATGTTCTATAGGCGGAATGTATTGAAGCTGAACAGCGAAGAATGAATGATTTAACCATGTAAGGATATAATTCATATTCTAAATCATTTGTCTTTGCTTATTAATTTCACTTTCTATTTGAAGGTATCCAGAGATTGATCCTTCTAATCAGCGTATTCCATGCCAGTTTTGTGATCAATGTTTTCCTGTAGAACACATCGAAACACATCAAGTCTGTATTTTTTAATCTTTTAGCGTGCCGATGTCTAACTATGATATTATTTATGTCTTCTGTAAAGAAACGATGTCGATATGAACAGAGATCATCTAATTTTGAACAGGTAAGAATATTAAAATCATTTGTTTAATTTATGAAAAAAAAAGATTTAAGTTTAATTCTCTGGATTATCTCTCTCTTTCTCTCTTTTTAAATGTATATATATATATATATATATATAGAATATTCTGCACGATCAAGCATTTGGAGACATGTTTTCTTTGCCACAACATTGGGACCCTTCATCACTGAATAATCTAAGTCGTCATCTTCTTGAGCCTGAAACAGAAGAATACAAATTTATCGCAAACAAATTCCACAGCACCTTACCATCGAATCGTATTGTTCAAATTGAACGAATTCAAAATCGTCGTATGTACAAATAATCTTCTTATTCAAAACCTTTTTTCGATTATTTTAATATTCTGCTCTGCCTCAGGAACAGTTCTAATTTTCAAATATTCAAACTAAAAAAAAAAGATAGCTTACATGATACCCAGTATTTTCACTGAAATTCTTCTTTAAATAATAATTTCTTAAATACTCTCGAACAAATTCTGAAGATTCTCTCATAGATAAAAATCATTTTCATTATGAAAATATTATTACAAATTAACTAATCAGATGATGTATAAAAGAACTAGTTTTAAAATTGATGTGTCTGCATATTTAAGCTAACTGTGCCGTTAATGATTTCCTTTCTATTTGTATGGATTACATAGGTTGGTACCGCCAATATGATGCTCATAGAGAAGATTTTATCGAAAGATATGGTAACAGCACAGAACAATGGTTATTTCATGGTGAGTTATACAGTTCACTACTGATGTTATTGTCAGCTGTGAATTGACTAGGATGTCGTCAATCAGAATCGGCTGAAGCAATTATTCATGATTGTTTTAATCGTAGTCATGCTGTAAATTGTGGTAATTAACTTGCATATTTATAAAAACTTTATTTTCTTTTTGTTTCATTTGCAAAGCGGTTGGCCAAGGCATCTACTTTGCTACACAGGCTCTAATAAGTCACGGCTATACTCAACCTGATGCACATAAACTCAGACACATGTTCATGGGTGAGAAAATGAATGCATAACTAATACTTAGACATTTAGCGTGATTATATTGTTTTGTTTTATTTTTGTAGCTCGTGTATTAGTAGGGAAAACAACTACAGGAAATCCATCGACACGTATTTGTCCTCGTGGTTATGATACAACAGGTGGAAATAATGTTTTTGTGACTTATCATGATGCTCAAGCTTATGGAGAATATTTGATAGTCTACAAATGAATAGAAGTTTGATATTTTTATTTCCTATTCTTGTTCGATAACTTTATTATTTTAATGTGTATTTGATAACACAATGTTATTATCATGGATTGTTTTTACTTTTACAGTCAAGTATTAACTTTATTCTATTCTATAAAAAATTATTGAATAGATATTTTTCACTAGGAACTTTTGTAAATATTAACAATAAATTGACGCTCTCATTGTCTCTAGAGCGAATTAAATTCTTCATATTGATTGACAGGTATTAGTTGCAGTCTAAATTAACTAGCAATACATTTACATTCAACTGGGAAAACAGTAAGGAAACTGTTCGAGTAATCATTTCTATTGAAGCAGCGTTAAACATCAACATTATAACATATTTTCATTTAACTTGAATATACCTTTGATTTTTTTGTGATTACATTCTATTTTGGTTTAATATTGCAATATTATGATTTCCTTCCTTCCGATTAAGTTACTTGTGTTTCGTCAACATGCATTGTTATGTCAACTAGAAAGTTGTAGAGAAACACATTCTGTGTCAGTGTCAGTAATCTAAATAAAGACGAAGAATAGCCATCATGCTTGCGAACGTATCTGATAGATGACACTAGTATTCAGTTACATTTTTACATATAATCAAAATTTGGCATAGAACTCCATAGAAATATCTTTATTAAAATATTTTAAACAAATATTTTTCATTAAAATTTGAAAATAAGATATTTTATTGAAAGAATAAACACAAAAAGCAATAAAATACTTGACAAATAAACAAATAAACAAAATTGCTGAACATTAGTCAGCGTACACTTTTCTTCAGTTACGGGAACATTTACAATTCTTTTCTTTTCTTCGGTTAACTGTCAAGATCGACAGCTAGTCCTTTGGGAAGATTATGACCTTGCAATAGTTCGTATTTATATTAGAATTACAATTAAATATGGTTGCTACATATGGACAACGACAACGAGTATTTGTTGAAATTTTCATATTTTTATATTTGAAAAAACATTTTTATATTTTCATAGAGTAAACTTCGTTTTCTCATGGGTATTAACGGTCTATTATTAGCTCTTGCTATCTTTATTATTATTTCTATGTCCATCTATTGGGGTTTCTTTGAAGAATGGACTATTTGGACAGATTTTACCATGCCTTGGGTAAGTTTATTTTTAACATTACAATCGACACATAAATACATATATAATTAATTGCATGTTAGGTTGAATTCAATTTTTTCATCTATTATTGGGATCGTTTAACTATTACTCGTGTTTATCTATCATTGATTTATATATATGGTTTTGTTCTTTTGGCTAGTATGTTTATTTATTACTTATGTAGTTGATTATGAAAACTATTCGTTTATTTATTTTTCTTTTAGTTATTGCATTACAAATTCATGCTTATCGTCGACGAAATATTTTTCTTATGGAATATGTTCCTTATTCCTTATTTTGTTTAGCCATAGTAACAATTATTGGTGGTTTATGTTGGTTTGCTGTAACAATGATAAATATGAATGCTGGATTTTTAACTAAAGAAACATTTCTACTCGAAAGACTACGTTTTCGAGGTAACGCTTTTAAAGAATTGAATTATCGTGAGCAATCATTTAATTTGGTTACATCTGGTCGTGTACCTCCACGTGTTTTTATATTAACTGCTTTTGTTAATCAGTAAGACTGTTTGATAAGCATTTTTTTTTTATGTCATTAAAGAAACTTTTTCTTTTCAGACGTCAAAGAGATTTTCAATGTTGTGGTTGGAATTCTTATCTTGATTATGCTCCTGCACATCAAACGGATTTACCGGATACATGCTGTCGTAAAGTTTGTACATTCATTATAATATTGTTTTTTTACTATTTATTTAATTAATTTTCTTTTAAAATTGTTTATAGAATCAAGCAGTCTATAAGTGTGGTAAAGATATGTTAACTAATCCTAATACAAATATTATTAATACACGTGGTTGTGGTCCATTAATGAAATATTGGTATCGACGTGGCTTTTGGGAAAATGTTTTTATGGGTTTATTTGGAATATTTATTGGTGTTTATATGATTTTTGTATTTCAACGTAACCACGATGAATTTATTCAATTACATGATGAAACTGATGATAAAAAACGAATTTTAAATTCACAATCCATGGCATCATTTCGTTCAATGAGTAGTAATCTAATAAAGCATCCCATAAAAAGTGGCTTAATACGTTATCCATATGTTGGTATGCGTGGTTCACCATCAAATGGTACAACGAATGGTTATGATTCAGATAATAATAGTTCAAGTGTTCTCTATCAATCACGTGCAACATACAATCCAAAACCATAATATAGATTAAAAAAATGTTCTTTTTTGTATATACATTTTATGTAGTCGCTCTGATCAGATATTTCATATCCATTGTTTCTTTTTTTCCTGTGTTTATAAACATCTAGTGTAGTCTTTTTTTCGTCAGATATTTTATCTCGATGCATTGTTTTTAATATTAATAATTAATAGCATTCCATTGATTTGTGTTTTTTTTTCTAGATGAAATGTTAACTCAACATGAATATGATAATATTTCATCTCAAAAAAGTTGTTACAGTAGTGACACTAATGCAACAGTATCAGCTATACAAAGATATTTAACAACAGCAGCCCCGTCTAGTATTTCTTCATCACGTATACAAAATTCACCGCCTGAAATACAAGTTCAATCATCTACAAAAGAATTTCTCGCAAAACATTTTCATGATGTAAGATTTTAAGATAATTTTCCAATTTTCAAAATTTTCTATTCAAAAACAAAATCCATAGGCATATCCAATGTTTAAGAAACCGCGTGGACAATGTTTAATTATAAATGTATATAACATTAATGGAGCTATTCGTCGTTGGTCCGATTTAGATGTGAAATTATTAAGTGATCTTTTTCGTCAATTATACTTTAATGTAATTGTTTATTCTGATTTTAATGGCGATGATCTTGGAGCAGAGGTAAAATTAATTGTGTGTTCATGTTAGTTTTTATTATTATCTTATAGAATTTTATGAAAATTCTTAAACAATTTTCTCAATCAAAAGAACATGTCAATGCACAGTGTTGTATTATTTGCTTGATGAGTCATGGAGAGGAAGGTTCATTAACAGTACAAGATGGAAAAAAAGTTTGTTATTGACAAAAACTTTATAGATGCAAGAGATTCAGTATTATTATTATTTTTTTCTTCAACAGATTTATCATGATCATGTATTTGATCTATTCAGTAATGTAAATTGTCCTAATTTAGCTGGCAAACCAAAACTCTTTTTTATTCAATGTTGCCGTGATGGTATGTATATATAGATAGATGTTTTAATAAAAATAAAACCAACAACAAAAAGATCTATGTTGCTGCTTTTTCTTTCTTCTTAAAGATCCTGGAGTAGGTCCAGTTGATGATGCTGGTTGTCATGTTCAGATACCATTAAATGCATCACTTGATGATCTTGTTTTTGATGATGAATGTGATAGTATGCAACGACATCATTTACCAACGATGACAGATATGCTTATTGCATTTCCTTCACAAAAAGGTAAAGTTTCTTATTCCATTTTATTGATTTGAACTAAACAATTTGAGTATAGGCTTTACGGCTTTTCGAAAACCACATGTTGGTAGTTGGTATATGAATGCTCTTGTTGATATATTGGCACGGCACGCTAAAGATACAGATCTTTGTTCAATGCTCAATATGGTTAACGGGTGTGTATCACGCGAAGTAACAAATAAAGGAAAGAAACAAACTGCAGAATATAAATCATCATTTACAAAAAAAGCGTTTTACTTTTTTCCTGGTATGTGCTTTTGTTTCCATATTTTTCTTCGTATTTGATTGTTTATTTGTTTCATTAAGGTTTAACGGGGAATCCAATGGCACCAATAGATTATTGTATGTTATTGTTATTTCTAATCTTCTTGGTTTTACTGTATTCCGTTGTTTAGCCATTCATAATCGAAATGATGTAAATAGAATTGGATCAATATCGAGAATGAATAATATTGATCATCAGCATGATAGTTCATCAATGAATTTTGATATAATAAGAACTTTTTTCATTGAAAATCTTCTTGACAAATGGAAAAATCTTGCGCGAGAACTTGATGTTAATGAGAATGATATTGATATTATTTGTCGAGAAAATGTTTCACCAAGAGAAAAATTTTCTTTGGTAAGCTAAACATTTTTCTTCTGGAAAGAAAATTCTTTATTGTTGTCTTCAGATCTTGGATATTGTTGCTAAAACGCGCGATAATAATCTACGTCAAATATTAATTGATATGCTCAAAAGTCTTCAACAATGCCGACGAATGTCATATTATTGTAAAAGAAAAAAAATCTTGCTGCTTTTATTTTTATTTTCATTCTAGATCAACTTCAACAGATGATTGCACCATATTATCCAGATTTACAATAAAGGTGTTCATCCGTCCATAATTGGGTACTTCTACACATTACACACACGCCACTTATCGATAACACAGAATAGACAAAGAAAAAATATTCGATTGATCTATCTCTTCTCTAGTGAAAGTGAGTTTGATTAGAGGACACAAGATGATAATGTTCGAATCAGAACAATAGCCATTATCTAAAGTTAAAGTAGCTTAGCTTCTCAACAAATTGGCTTACATGAGATTTAAAAACAAATGTTTATAGCTATCATTCACAAAATTTTGCCCATCCCCACACATTAAGACGTACTCAAACATTGAGAAGATGTTGATGTATGCTAAAATGAAAAAGAAAAGACAAATTGGGCAGCACGTAACTCTTCTGCAAACTCATTTAACGGAGTCTATGTGGCGCCGTTCTCCTATTTGAAAACATACTTCGTTCTATTTGGAAAGTTTATTCTCTCTTGTAATTTTGTTTTTGTTAAATAAATATTTATCTTCTCATACTAACACATATTTGTTGTACTATCATCTGGCGTCCCCTAATCAAACTCCCTTTTAATAGAGAAGAGATAAACCAATTGAATATTTCCTCTGTCTATTCTATGCCATCGATAAGTTGGGTATGTGTAATGTGTTGAAGTATCCACAATTGTTAATAGTGTACATGATTATGAATGTCTGTTTTTAATAGTTTATTCCGTCTTTTTTCTTTTTTTTTATCTATTGTCATACGATTATATAACTGTTGTCTTTTATCGAGATAGTCCGTATAATAAGCAAAAAAAAAGAGAATAAGAAAAGAACGAAAAAAAAATGACTCGTTCAATAAATCATATTTCCTCTTCTAGCCCATTGAAAGTACTATATGGGTCTAAATGAGGCTAGGCCACATATACAATAGATTACTTATTCTTTTGTTATAATAGATCCTTCTTTTTTTCAGATATTGCTTTATCAATAAAATAAGAGAACGGAAAAAATGGAAGACGAAAGACCAGCCAAAGGACCGAAAATCGTACCGGTATGTGAAATTTCATTTTAGTTAACTAATTATATTAATTCTCGTACTATTTTATTGCTTTGTTTAGGTAAAAAATAAAATGCCGGCACCGTAAGTTAATTTTATTGTTGTGTTTTTTTTGAGAAAAAGAATCAATTTTTTGCTGTGCAATAGGATTCAAATAACAGCTGAACAATTATTACGTGAAGCAAAAGAAAAACAACTTGAATATGTTGCACCACCACCAAGACAAAAGATCAGTGATCCAGAAGAATTAGCTGAATATCGAATGAAAAAACGAAAAGAACTTGAAGATGCAATAAGAAAAAATCGTCAGAAAATGGTCAATTGGGTTAAATATGCACATTGGGAAGAATCACAACAAGAAATTCAACGTAACAAATAATTTATTTTTATACTTTTAGAGAAAAACAACGAGCTATTTTTCTTATTTTAGGTGCACGAAGCATTTGGGAACGTGCACTTGATGTTGATTATCGTAATATAGCCATCTGGCTAAAATATGCAGAAATGGAAATGCGTAAGTGATTAGTTTTTCTTTTTTTTTTACTAACTAAATTTACTTTCTTTATTTTCCTTAAATAAAATAATTCTTTTAGGTTATAAACAAATCAATCATGCACGTAATATTTGGGATCGAGCCATTGCTATATTACCACGAGCTAATCAACTATGGTATAAATATACATATATGGAAGAAATGCTTTCAAATATAGCTGGTTGTCGACAAATATTTGAACGTTGGATGGAATGGCAACCTGACGAACAAGCATGGAATACATATATTAAATTTGAATTACGTTATAATGAACTGGAACGAGCTCGAATGATATATGAACGTTTCGTTATAACACATCCTGAACCTCGAAATTGGATACGTTATGCTAAATTTGAAGAACAAAATAGTTATATAAAATCAGCAAGGCGAATTTATGAACGTGCTATTGAATTTTTCGGTGAAGAACATTTGAATGAACGTCTATTATTAGACTTTGCTAAATTTGAAGAACATCAAAAAGAACATGAACGTTGTCGAATGGTATATAAATATGCTCTTGAACATTTACCTAAAAGTTCATGTGACGATATATTTAAAGCATATACAATACATGAAAAAAAATATGGTGATCGTACTGGAATTGAAGATGTTATTACAAGTAAAAGAAAGTTTCAATATGAAGAAGTAAAAAAGAAAATTTCCTTGTGTATGAACAATTGTATTTTTTATTTTATCTTGATTAGGAATTGAAAGAAAATTCAATGGACTATGATACATGGTTTGATTATTTACGTTTACTTGAAAGTGAAGGAGATTTTGCTGTAATTCGAGAAGCTTATGAAAAAGCTATTGCTCAACTACCACCTATTCAAGTATGATTTTGTTTTGTTTTTGAATGATTCTCGAACTGAACAAAATAAAGATCTAAAAAAACCAGGATTCAATTTTTGTTGTAGTAGATATCAATGAAACTGAGTTTCTTCTCTTTGGAACAAGCAACCACCTATAAATTATGTTAGCTAGATTTGCTATTATTGTATTTTTATGTGACGATGAATTAGGATTGTTCGTGTTTGACTCGAAAGTCTTATATATAAATCAAGAATATAGATAATAATAAGAATTACAACAACATTGTCTCTATTTCATAGAATCGGTTATTGCCATCTAGTTATTTTATGTCGGTATTCTCTTCAATTCTAATTCGTATATTAAAAAAATGTTTTCAAAACAATTCCGTATTAATCTCTCGTTTGAACATGAAAAGAAAAAGATTTCGTTTCTCATTCTATCCTTTCTTAATAATAAGAATTTCTGCCATTGTGAAAAGGTAAAGAGAGATAATCGACTAAGTTTTTTTTAAAATTTTCATCTATTTTAGTTATTTACTTTTTATTTCTCATTCTATTAATTGTTCTTTTCATTGATTAGGAAAAACGTTATTGGCGTCGTTATATATATATATGGATAAATTATGCTTTATTTGAAGAGCTTGAAGCTGAAGATATTGAACGTACACGGGAAGTTTATAAAGCTTGTATAAATTTAATTCCACATAAAAAATTTACATTTGCAAAAATTTGGCTATATTATGCACATTTTGAGATTCGACAAAAAGAACTAGGATCTGTTCGAAAAATTCTTGTAAGTATTTAAAAAATATAAATTGTCTTCATTTTGTCTAATTAATATATATTTGTTTTTATTAAATTACGTCTAGGGTGCAGCGATTGGCATGTGTCCGAAAGATAAACTTTTTCGTGGTTATATTGATTTAGAAATTCAATTGAGAGAATTTGACAATTGTCGAAGATTATATGAAAAATTTCTTGAATTCGGCCCTGATAATTGTACAACATGGATAAAGGTAAGAAAGAACGAAGATTTTCTTTTCGCTCATGCAAGTAATTTATTTTTATTTTATAAATAGTTTGCTGAATTAGAAAGTATTCTCGGTGATATTGATCGTGCACGTGCTATTTATGAACTAGCCATTGAACAACCAAGACTTGATATGCCAGAATTATTGTGGAAAGCTTTTATTGATTTTGAAATTGAACAACAAGAATATGATCGTGCAAGAAGATTATATGGTAAATTGCTCAAAAAAACTCAACATGTCAAAGTAAGAGAAAAACTTTTTCTTAATAAAAACATGAAATATAACATTATTTATTGATCTTTTATTTTTGTTAAATAAAAGGTTTGGCTCAGTTTAGCCCAATTTGAAGCATCGATTGATGAATCGGATTCTATTGATCGTGCGCGAGATGTATTTGAACAAGCATTTAAAACACTTCGAACAGCAAATGATAAAGAGGAACGGTTAATGCTTGTTGAACATTGGCTGGATTTTGAAGTAAGAAAAAAACAATCAATATTTATATACATATATATATATAAACTAATACTGTTTTCCTCATTTGTAGAAAGAGCGAGGTACAAATGAAAGTGTAGCTCGTGTTGAGAAAAATCTACCAAAACGAATTAAACAACGTCGAAAAATTCTTGGCGAAGATGGAGTAAGTTTATTTATATTAGTTTATTCTTCCAAATTAACATATTTTCTTATTTTAGATTGAATCAGGTCAATGGGAAGAGTACATGCAGCTTGTTTTTCCTGATGATGAAGCTGTTCAACCTCATTTGAAATTATTAGCCATGGCTAAACGATGGAAAAAAGTACAAGACAACGTTACAGTACCAATGAGTGAAACTGTACATCATAATACTGTAACGACAACAACGACAACAATGGAATCATCAAATGAAGATATTCCTCTACCAGAATCACGTATTGATGATGAAGAAATGAACGATGAATCTTAATATGTGTTGTTGTTGTCATGTGTTTTCTGTTGTTGTACTTAATACATTCGTGATCTATTTGTTTTCATATTATATGAAATAAGTCCTGTGACGGCAGCAAATTTCTCATGATCTTGTAGATTATTTCTTTGTATCGAATGCCGAAACAACGCTCACAAACAACGACATTAAATTCAGCTACTGGAAATACTTCAAAACGTCAATGTGATACTTTATCTAAGCCTAATTCATCATCGGATAACGAAGATGTAATTCCTATTCCAATACAGATTTTTCTATGGCGACAGAGCAAGTCAGTATTTTGTTGACTTCGTTTTATTTTGTTGAACAGTAGAAGAAAACTTTTCTTTTCTCATTATTAGTCCATTTATCAAACAAAAATTTGGTAATCTAACAGATGCATCAGCAATAGTAAGTGACAAACATGTTTCATTGTATGAAATCTATTCTGTATGATATTCTATAGAGTTTTGATCGAGTTCTTGTTCAAAACATTTTACATGGCTTATCACCTAGTCTCAGTGATGCCATTGCGAGTATTCCAAGATGGCTATTAATCAAAGTGGTTCGTTTGTTTCTCTTCTTCCGTCAAAATATTCAAAATAAAAAGCACAAAACAAAATCTTTTTTTTTTCAGGCATTTCCACATGTTATGCATGCATGTTCAGCAGCTATTGAACATAGCCTTCATTCGATTCAACAACAACCGACCACCGGTGGTCATCCATCACTACTTGTTTCAACCTCTTTATCTCTTTCTCCGTCACCTTCATCACAACTTCAAGTTCCAACTAGCCTTCAAATACCTATCAATACTCCTAATGTACCGCCTGCACCTTTTGGTTCTTTGGCTGCAACAAATCTTTCATCAACAATATCTGTTGAACATCAAACTAGTCATCAACCGTTATTTCGTCTCTCGTCAACCGCACAAAGTACAAGTAGTTATACATCATTAGCAAATAAATTAAATCCAACGGAAATTCGTCTGTTTCATACATTGCATTATCTTATTTTGGATGCTGCTAGTCAAAACAATCATACATCTATAAATACTGATCAACTTGTACCATTAAATACAATACAATTATTTATTTATCTGTTTATTCCATATATTCATACATATTTACAAAGCAATGAAAAAGAATTTTTATCTCATCCTGATCTTTCTCAGGGCATGCATCTTTTATGGCAACCATTACTTGAATACCGTCAACCAAATATTCGTATGTTTAGTTCATTTGTTAAACCAATTATACCATCATATGCATCACCTAATGAAAATGGCGATTATATATCAATTCTAAACGATTCACAACAGCATCACCACCAACAACAGCAACAACAACAACAACAAACATATTATATAAATAATAATAAACGAAATCGTTTATCTGTTTTAGTTGAATCGCCTACATCCATACCAACAACTACAAGAGCAATTCTTGAAGAATCGGAAGAAGATCAACAATCTCAACTTTCACCGATTCAAATTCAATCACAACCATCAACAACAAATGAATATGTTACACATCTACCAAGATCAGCATCAGAGAAACAGCCATTATCTGATTTAACAAATCAACCAATAATGATGGCACCTATTGTTAGTAGCGAAGGAAGTAGTGTAAGTTTATTTCAACCAATAACGGCAAAAAAAGATCAAAAATCTGTATCATCTGTTGTTGCTGATTCTGATACAACAACAAACAATTCAATAACTGATCTTAGTGCTTATGGAACATCAAATGGTGCCAAGCCACGAGCGCCACTCGTACACATGAGTTCCATCTGTTCAATATCAGATTCAAGTCGTCTGACGACATCGCCACAAAGCCCAGGTACGTCAAAGAAAATACAGAAACAAAGACAGAACTGTTCATTTTTTTGTTTTTATTCTTTTACATTTCTATTGGCTATTTAGGCGGCGACAAATTTAATATTTTACAAAGTGGCGCAGGTTCATCGTCTTCATCTGCATCAACTCCATCTGTTATATTACCATTACATTGTGCTCAATGTCAACAACCTGTGTTTGTTCCAAATCATCCACAAAATATCCCATATATTTGTTCAAGTTGTACAACTACAAAACCAACATCTACACCAAAAACATCTGATCTTCCATTAAAACCAGCTATTCAAAAAGATTCAACGTCAACAACGCGACGTCAAAGTGTTACAGTACCAAAAACTCGAACATCTCCACGTTCATCTGAATTACTTCTACTCGCAACTTATTTTGATATTGGAATACTGCGTACATTATTTAGTCCATCATGGTTAACCGATGGTTATCTATGGTGTTTAGAATATCTACATAAACGTATTATTGATATAGCAGATGAAATTTTATCTGATGCATTAATGAGTGGTACATTGCCAATTAATATTTTGCGTTTTAAAAGCCTTTCTATTCCACAACTAAATCTGAGTAATGAACATGACTATTATGAATATTTAAAAAATGTTTATTTCAATGAACAAGTTACCAACGATATCATCGAGCAACAATGTATGATGGCCGGTACAGGTGATGTAGCAGCATCATCGTCAATTAAACAACCAGCTACATTATTAAATGTACCATTTAAATATTTTGCTGGCAAGAGTCCATATCATGGAAAACATAGTCAAAAATATGATAATTTTTATAAAAAAATCAGGTAAGATTATGATCTAATGGGGAATATTTTCGTTTATTTTTCATATTATTTATTTTTAATATAAAATAAAAAGTGAAAAACAATTCTTGGCTCGAGGGTAATATTTAAATAGAAAAAAAAAGAAAAACTATATTATTCTCATTCTTTGCAATAACATCCACAGGAATTGCAAATATTTGAGAAATAAAATTTGTTTTTATTTTCGTGTCTCCTATTATGTTGATGTTTACATTCGACTTTTTTTTATTCCTTTTTGAATAATTTTTATTTATTTACTTTGTCTTTCGTTTAGTAAAATTCGTTATATTGATGAAGAAGGTATTGAACATTTGGATTTGGCTAATATTGATCGTCGAGATAACTTGGGAACATCATCATCATCGAAAGCCAGTCGTCTTCATCTTACTGATCCAGGCTTATTATTACTTAAAACAACACCATTGAATGCAAGTGATCGGTCTATATTACCTACAGCAAATGGTACAACTCGACAATCGGTTGATAGCTTATTGAATAGTTCAAATTCTAATACAACGAAAACTGCTGCTCCAATAACAACAACTAATTTAAACACAATGAAAACTTTTAGTGTTAGCGATTCAGAAATAAATTATAAATTTTTAGAAGAAATCGAAGAAGCACAAGGTTCAAGTGCATATATTAATCGAAGTGGTACAATTAATTTTGGTGTTGTTTTGGCTGGCATACATGCTGTTATATGTAAAGAACATCATTTAAAAGTTTGTGAATTAGTCATGAATATTCTCGATGTATTACTTGGTTTGGCTGTTATATCATCATCAGAAGATGACATGCATAAGAAACAATTACTAGCCGTTGGAAACAGTGGAACAGCTGGTGAAGATCGAGTTGATGAACAAATGGAAGAATGGTTAAAACAAATTGATGCAAAAGAAGAAGAAAAATTTCAATTAGCTGTTGATATAACGCTTAGGTAAAGACTGAATATTTCAAATTTATTGATTACTAAAAAATAGAAGCTAAAAAGTAAATGTATCTCAACCAATCATCATACTACAAAGACTGACTGAGTAAATGAATTGCGAAATTTCTAAATCAAAAGATGTTTGTTATATCTGGAGAGAAAGAAAAAAAATGACATTAAACCATTCTGTCTTCTTACTACAAGACAAATCTAATGAAAAAATTGAGTAATGTAAGAAATAATTCAAATAGATATCAAAATCATTTATTCTAGGCTATTCAATAGTATGTCGATATTTATTTACTATAGAAGGTGATGAAATATTTTCAGAAATCTTGAAATTTCTCTGCCAAAGATAAAAACGATCATTGATTAATATTGCAAGAATATGTTATTTTTTGTTTTCGGTTTTGAACATAAGTTCTGTCACTAAAGGTGACGGAAACATTTCTTGTCATCTCTCTGTACGTGCTTCTGAGTTTTTCAAGCCTACTGTTTGATCTGAAAAGAATTGATTGACAGCAAAAACTATGAAATCTACTATTTTCCTTCAAAATAGAAGCATTGCCTACTCAAATAGTTCAAGTCATAAGACAAGAATTTCGTTTTTAATAGAAAAACTCGACATGAAAAGAATAAAGAGTAATCTTATTAATATTCTATTTAGAATAATAAAGCGATTAGGATGTCCACATTGTCAACCGCGTGGTCGTAGTTTTACAGCTGACCAATTACGTGGTAAAGTACGTTTATCATTAAATAAACTTCGTATACTTAATCAACGTCGATTTGAAAAGTATGTATATCTGTATTTTTGTTATTGTTTTTCAATCAAATTTTCCATTCGATTAGATATTTTCTTAATTTAACTCTTCATGGTGATCTTGTTCATATTCTTGACATATTTCATGCTTTATGTGGTTATTGTTCAGAATCCAATGTTGGTCTTGCTCATTATTCGCCTTATAGTGAGCAATATTTTATTTTGTTAGATTGAATTTTTATTTTATTTTATTTTTCATAGTTCCGACGAAATCCGAAACACATGTACGACAAGCATATTCAAATAATTTTGGTAATACACATCTCGGTGTTGGACCGAAGGGTATCGATGGATTTATATTAAATATAGTATTTAAAACATTTGTTACACGCTTGATAATGATGAAAGAGTATTTAATGAGTTCAGAAAATGTTGCTCTATATGGTGAATGTCGAGCTTTTCTAACATGCATTAAAGAAAATCATGGAGGAATATTTCGTTTGGTAGTATTTTCCTCGTTACTTGATCCAGAAAAAAAACTGAAAGCATTGAAACAGCAAGATCTCAATGCAAAAGCAAAAGCAAAAGGATCAAATCCTTTTGTTCGACAAGATGGTATTAATAGTAATGGAAAAGGGGTAGATTTATTGATTAAATAAATGTTATTTGTTATTTAATTCCCTTTTTTTTTCAACGAAAGACTCTTATTAATCGTGATTTATCGGATGACGCTGATCTTGATCGTCATGGAAGTACTAGTCATCAAATAACAACCAACGGAGTTGAAGAGACACCAGCAACAGTTACTGCATCGTCAACGTTTAGTATTAAATTAAAAAGTACAAGATTGTTTTTTTCTTCTCTTCTTGGTTTTTTGATTTACTTATTTTTTTTTATAAATTTAAAGATATTCGCACAAGAACTGGATCAGTAATCGGCGGTGATGATCATAGTTTATATACACATCAGGAAGAAAGTTTATATGTTGATTTATCACTTGTTCGTCTTGGTTTATTACGTTTGAATTTCATGATGGAATCATGTCCACCGGGCTCATTACCTGATCCACAATTCTTAAATACTCTTCTTACTTTGGTTTGTAGTATTTATTTTCTTATTAAATTTATCTGCTCTTTTCTATTTTGTAAATTAAAAGAATGAATATTTTGTTTCTTTCTTAGGATTCACCCATTATATCAAAAGCAGCATATCTTGTTGAATGCGCACACTTTGTTCGTCGTTGTGCATTAGGTCAATGGCCGGAATGGATGCGTATAAATATGACAACGTTTCGTCCACATGAATCATTTACTGTACGTGCAACTGGAAATATGAATTCAAGATTGAATAAACTTTATCAAGCAGCAGCAGCTAGAATGTTTTATATCTGGGGCGAAGTAAGTTATTTTAGAATAGAAATACTTTTTTTTGAAAAAACAAAAATTCATACATGAATTTTGTATGAAAAGGCTCTTTCATCACAACTTGAAACTATATTAGACAATGAACAACAACAAGTAACAACAGACCATACCAATGAAACGGGAATAGGCTTAGAAGGAGGAGTAGGATCAAGCTTTTGGAATAGTGATGAAACATATGAAGATTATTATAATGAAGGTAGACATGCACGGAGTTATGTCTTGCATGTGATCGTATTTCGTCAGCTTCATCTTACATATCGATATTTGTCTGTCATTTGTGTAGTTGTTGATGTTTAAATATAATCTAATATAGATTTACAGATAATAATATGTTCTTTTTTTTCTTGCAGCAATTGTTAATCGTTCAGGCCATGATTGTCCGTATTCATTACGTGTTGTTGCTTGTTTACTTCTTTATGAAATTACATCATTTCTACGTGAAGTATATGATACATTACCTAAACTTTCATCGATCCCAACAGCAGGAGTTAATGGTCGACAGCAGCAGACTCAACGTACAAATAATCAAGGATTCAATGTACCAACAAATCTTGTTGAAACATCATCAACATTAACTGATAAACGTTCAACAGACCGTATGCGTATGGGTAGTGTTGTTTCTCAAATATCAAATAGAAGTTCTGCTTCCATATCAAGTGAACATCCAGCACGTACGTATTGATTAAATCTAGGTTTATTTCAATTTTTATTTTATTTTACAAATAAAATTAGTTTCACCACAAGCATCATCAGTAATAGCTCCATCGGTTCTAAGCACTGTACCAGCAACAATAATTAATATTAATCCAACATTAGCTGGCGAACGACATATAAGTTTTGCTGTTAATAAAGAAAATGATTCAAATGAAAGTAATCATACAGCTCTTGTACTCAATGATGATGATGGTGTTGTCGTTATTGATGGAAATTCTTTATCTGGAGCGAACGATAGACGAAGTTAGATAATGATAAATCATTCTTTTTCTTTTTACAAAACAATATATTGTTTTACTTTTCAGTGTCTGTTGCAGCATATAAATCTGGCAGTGTTACTGGTAGTACCGGTAAATCCAAATTAATGCGGCGAAGTAGTGTTAAATTAAGAAAACCATCACTACGGATAAAAGATTCTGGAAAACGTAAGAATAATTTACGAAAAAAAAACAAAAGCGAGTCCTTCCCTATCAGATGTGTCAACTTGAACTCTTCCTCAACTGAAATTCTTTTCGATATAGGCAGCAGTAATGATCCTTTGTTCGAACTGAAAAATATGCATAATCATTTTATACATGATTTAAGCTTTATTGTTTCTTAAAACTTTCTATCACTATTATATGAATTTTAAAAATAAATGATCGTTCAAAATACTTGAAAAAAAATTTGAAACTGAATAATTATCAAAATCAACCTCTACTTTTGTTTTGCATCAGCATTGATAGCGCAGAACGTATTTCTAACTGTCATAGTTGTGTAAAGTCAATCTTTTTACTAAACTATTGTGAACTACTTTTTGTGTCTATTTTATTTTATTTAACTATAATTAATAATTTAGCTAATCGTCGTTCATCGTATCGAACACGCCGCCGTAGTCATGCATCAAATATTTCATCGGAAACAGATGGTCACCAAAGTAATATAGGAAGTTCAGTGATGGAACCAACTGATGAATATCTAAATGGTAATGATGAAGATTTCGATCAAGGAAATTTCGATGACATTATTAATACTCGACCGTTTCCATGGATAAAAGTTGTTATAAGAATATTAAATGATGCGAATTTAACATGTGATCATCAAATAAAATGTTTATCAAATTGTTATGATAAACGAACAGCAAGCTGTAAAAATCTTACTCAAGCATTATTAAATATGTATCGATTATCGCCATCAAATCTACCAAATATTAGCTCATCATTTTCTCGTTCATCATCATCTACACATAGATCAACTATACATTTAAAACGTAATGACACAACATCAAGTAAAGGTCAACATGATCCTAAAAAACGACGAGTAAGGACAATTTGGATTTAATTTTTGTTTCTGTTTTTAGTTATAGCTAAATCACTCTTTTCTAGCTTTCAACTTGTTTGTTTGGTGATGGTACAGGTCCAAGTAGTGATAATGCAGCAAAAGGTATAAATGCAAGTAAACCACCTGATGGACCTATCTATGGTATGGTTTTTGAAACAGCTGATCCACATTTTGATAAACAAGTTAATACACATTTTACTGCTATTGCTACCTATTTGGAAAAACAAGTACATTTCATATTGATTTATGTGAATAGATTTTTCTCAAAATGTTACATTTTGTTTGTTCTATCTAGGTTGGAACATTAACACAAGTACCATTGATGATACTTTGTAAATCATCTGTTTTATTAGAAGATGAACATTATGCACAAATTCTAAATTTATCATGGGAACTCCTATTAGATCGTAACGAAGAATTAGCTGCTTGTGCTGGTAAATAAATTATATTGATTATTAAAATTTTGTTTGTCAATAAATAAAAAATGATTTCTTTTCTTTTCATTTCTAGCAACCATTGTTATTTTAACAGCTGCTCGTGCAAGTCATCTAGTTGATGCGCTAGTTCATGAGGAAATGGAAAATACTTCAGCATTGATTCGTTATAATGCAATATTAAAATTTCAAACATTATGGCGTTTTCGTTATCAATTTTGGATTCGACTAGAAGAAGGTGCGCACTCAATGATGAAGGTAAAATTGATAAATATGAAAACGAGAAATGAATAATCCCGAAATAAATTTACAACTGATTAGATTCTTCCACCAAGTATCGAATTTGTTTTACCATCACCAGCGCTTGGCATTTCTAATCTTCAAACAGTCGATCCACCATGGATGCCACATGCTAAAACACTGGTTCAACAAGTTGCTTTAAATCAAGAAGAAGTCGTATGTTGTGACCTTCATTTAATCAAAGAATAGGTTTATCCAAAAAAAAAAACTTTTTTTCTATAGCGAGCTGTTGTTACAGCAAGTAAAACGCGTAAAAAACATCAACAAGAATTAATACATTCAGCATTGATGGCCGAAGAAACAAGTAAACGTGTAGCAAGAGAAAATTTTGCTATGTCAACTGTATCAATGTTACAGTCGGCTTCGTTCGAACCACTTTTACATCAACCCAGAGATGAAGAAGAAGAAGGTATAATATTGTTTCTATGTTATTTATAAAATACAAATGATATGGTTTTTTTTTCCACAGGACATACAGATGATGATAGATTTGTTGAAACGAGTATTCAAATACGTCAAGCACAAGGAACATTTCCTTCAGCATTTGGTGCAGCTGTTTACCTTCTTGTAGAGATGTTAGAAGATGAAGAAACGCTTGAAAATGGAGCAACAGGTTTGCTAGAAAAAACTACACTGTATTATTGAAATGATAAAATTTGAAACAATCAATATAATTGTTTTCTTGAAAGGAAATTTAGATAATAACATGTTCGAACAGGAAAACTGAAATTGATACTTTCTTCTTGAGTTATATTCATGTGATTGAGTTTATAGTCTAATGCAAAAGAAATATTGCCCTTACAGACTTCTCAGAAAATCTAGCCGATAAAGAGTTTAATCTATCACCAATATATTCATAAGCTCAACAAGGAATTTTATAGACAGAATTTCAGGTTGAAATGACAATATTGGATGTTTAATGAGATTTCTTTCATCAAGTCATAAATTCAGTTAAATGAATATAACTTAAAATGAAAGGAAAAAGTTATTAACTAAAGCAGTCTTCTCATAATATTACTAAAGACTATTTGGTTTTTCACTTTTGAACATAAAAAAAAATCTCGTCCTATCTATAGTTCATACCGAAATTTGAAATGTTAAAATTCTTAAGTCGTAAACGATTTAGGTCCCTGATATTTTCATTTAATTTTTACTATATGTAGTATACATTTAATGATTACTCATTCATAAATGATAAATTTTTCATTGTATTCTAGTATCAGCTGCAGCTCGAAAAGCTATTTGGACATGCTTAATTGATGAGCCAACATTATTGATTCGGTTTTTCTTTGAAAAACTTTCTCATAAAGAACGTCGTGTAATAATGATCTATCTCTATTGATTTCCTAATTATAATATCTCATTTTTATCACTATTAGATCAAATCTCTTCAAAGTCTTCGTCGTCTTATGATATGTTTAACTGATATACCACCACAATTCGCTCATGCAGTATTCAATTATGTTCTTGGTTTATTAATGAGTATGGTACGTTCACCACTTGACGGCTCACAAGAGCTCATCATAGCTGGTCTTACATTATTATGGCAAATAATACCTTATTTACATGGTCTCGTTTTAAAAGATTTAAAACAAATCTTACGTAAAGAACAAGCTGAAATGATGATATTAATAACCGGTAATATTCCATCAACAAAAAAAGTTATTATACATGGTCCAGATCTATCACAAATTCCGACACAAGCTATCATACAAGAAGATACACAATTTAGTAATGTTTTCCTAGAAGCATTAGATTTTTTTGGTATACCAGATGCAAAACGAGATAGATATTATCTAATTGATGTTAAAACTCAACAAATACATATTCCAGATACATATGTAAGAGATTTTTATTTTTTTCGTCGAAATATCTATCCGCAATTATCATTAATACCTATGGATACAAAACAATCGCAAAAACAATTAGAACAAATGTCCATCTATTTAAAAACAACAGAATTATCAAAAGTTTTATTTGCTCGTTATTTAGTTGAAAATACGCCATATAATCAAATTCATAATTGTGTCACATTTTTTCATGATGAACTTATAAAAAGCCCATCATTTCCACGAAAACCATTAGAATCAGATTATAATTTATATACAAGAATATCTGACAAAGAACTATTTAACTTGGATATGTTACATAAATATAATTGGTATGTTCTAGAAAATTACCAATTGCAGAGATTAGTTTGTCATAGAGTTATTCTCGAAATGAGGTGGCTTTGTTTTGCTTGCTCCCGTCGAATTTTTAGTGAGACTACTTAAATTATATATCTCTACTTCAATGATTTATAAGCATCTGAGATAAATGATAGCGAACATATCAAATGATTAGATTTAGCAGTAAAAAAACGGTAAAAATTTCGTTTTTACAAACCTGAAATTAACAATTTTGGCTGTTTTTGATAATGAAACACTGGCAAAATCTTCAAAGTGTCCCAAAAATCTTCATATTAGTAGAGTTTCCCATTGAAAATTAAATATCAAATGAATCTATTAATATCTTTCTCACATACTCAGAATTTATATACAATAACACCGAAAACTTCGAAAATATTGCAATTCAGGTTAATCGTCTCCAAAAAAAACATGACCTTTTGAATCTGGATCAAACTAAAACGTTCATTTCGATTTAAATTTTAACATAAACTATGTTTTATTCTAAAACTTTAATTTATACTTCTCTCTTTGATTTTAGGATCAAACTGATTGCATGTCTATTTTTTAATATGGACGGTAAAACAACTACAACATGGGATATAACTCTTTTTCTCAATGTAATCAATGGTGCATTTATTTTACATTGTGAAGACTTCGCTATGTTACGCTTTTGTCTTGCAATCTACATTAGTACAGCAAAACATTTTCGACACATATTTGCTACAAATGGGTCAGTTAAACGTCCTTTTTGTATTTTACTTTTTAAAAGGCACTAAAGATTTTTCTTTTTCTCTATTTTAGTTATCTATTAATAATGCCAACATTTCTTCGTGTTTATTCAAATATTCAATCAAATCCAATGTTAAAACGAGCTATTGAATATTGTTGTCGACAATTTTTTATTTTACATCGTATACCATTTATATTGCAAATGCTTGCTAGTATATCACAACTGTTGGATTTCGATGAACAAGCCGATGTTACTGATACAAATAAAATACAACCAATACACTTATTTCGTTTATTAATTGCTTTAGAACAAACAAGTGTTGATGCTATGCGCGACGATTATTCTATATTGGAATTAGTTAAAGATGATTCAACATCAAGTAAAACAACATCAGTTATAACACCGACAACGATGCCTATAGCAAATATGACGGTTGTTGCCGTCCTTGGCCAAGGAAATATGATTGCACCATCAACTATTAAAACTTTAGATTTTTGCTATGCAGATGATGATACAATTTTCACTCTACTTAATTGTATTGATGTTTGTGTAACTGTTGGTAAGTTATATAGAGAAACTTTATGATTGGAAATAATAATTTACATGAGTTTAAAACTACGAGCAAAAAGTCTAAGATTTTTTTTCTTTCTTCTAAGATTACTAAGATCTCCTAAGACTATCGACGAAATTTGACAAGCAAAAGAAGCTTTAGTTTATTCTCTTTTTTTATTCTTGATTAATGTTGGTTCAAAACCATCATAGCTAAAACAATCGTTTTTAGTGTTTGAACAATTTACTATTCATGTCACACGGCTTTTCGTACTAACATTAGTATATTTGCAATAGTATGTCGGTGATAAGCTCGCGAACACTCGCTAAGTGTTCTTTTTTTCGATTCAACTTACACAAGCATCTAATATACGATAGGCGAACAGTAGTACTAAAGCAAAATAGAAAATGAATTCGTTGGTTTAAAACTCGAACGAATAATCACTTTTTATTCGTTCAGATAAGCTCTCATCAAATTTGATTCTATAATTCATCCATTTGATTTCACTTTTGTTTTTATAGTTGCATATGCGCCTGATTCAATCCGATCATTACAAATGCTTGGTATCATAGATTTACTCTTACCAAAATATTTAGAATATTTAAAAGATCGTACGAATAAAAATGATTGTCAAAAGCACGGTCGCGAGGAAGTCAAAATAATTGAGAAATTATCAGTTGCTATTAAAACAATGATAAGTGCATCAGAATCATTAACACGAGCATTTGTTGGACCAAAACATGAGACATTAGCAGGTGCAAGTTATAAACATTCGCGCGGTTCGAATCGTTCGCCATCAATTGTACCCGATGAAGATTCTATGAGGTAAATATTGATGGTTATTAAGAATCTTATAATAAAATTTTCATATCCTTATCTTTTAGTCGATTTATTGATGATCGAACTAAAAATAAAGTTCAAGATGTTGACGAACATAAGCAAGCATCAGAATTTCGTTGGCCACGCGATACACTACTTTCTGTTATATCAACATTTGTTCATTTTTCTTCTCAACGTTTAAAAGAATTAAATAAATTAATCAATGATCCAACATTTCGTATGCCTGAAATACTCGATGCTAAATCTCATACACGTCTTGCTGATATAGCACATACATTACTTAAACTAGGTGGGTTTGATCCAATAACCATGTCATGTCGTGGTATACAAAATTATTTTCAAAAACTTTTACCATGGACCAATTGGAGTCAAGAACAATTACGGCCAGCATTAAATCTTTTATTAAGACGTATCGATAGAATGTTTTCAAAAATATGTAAAAAGCCAATGACAAAAGTAAAATAAAAACAAAAAATCTACAAGTTTCATATATGTATATTTTCTTTTTCTTAGCGTTGTTTTGATTGGGAAGCAACAGCAGGAATATTAAATGGAATTTATTTAACTATTGATCGTCATCCATATATTGCTTATTTTCCTAATCTCAAAGTATGAATTTGATCATGTTTTCACTTGAGAAAAAAAAACAGAGAATAATGAATATTTCTTTTTTGTAAAATAGGCTTTAGTTTCCGGTTGTATTGCACTTGTATTAAATGAAAATGTATCAGAATCAAGTCATAGTGTACCACGATTGGATACAGCTGCTTTTCCGAAAGAATTTTCTCGTGTTGTTATTAAACTTGTTGGCAGATATTTATTAGCTATTAAAGTAAACTTATTATAGTAAATCAAATTTAAATCTCTTATTCTTTTTTTTCCGTCTAGAATCAGCCAAATCTAGAAGCATTAACTGGCAATAGTTGGTCATTTCCTAATGTACCATCGGCAATAAATCACTTATTACATTTTCTTTTACCACTAATGTTCTGGGCTGGTAGCGGACGAAAAGATGCACCAAAAATTCATCCAGTTGATATTTCATATATAATTACTATTCTACTTAATTCACTTAAACCATCGTCAAAACTTGCTTCCGCTATGGGTGCACAGGGTGGACCTGGAAGTGGTGCTCCCGGACAGATAAGCAGTGGGTCTGGTACTGGTGGTGGAAAGCAACATTTAACTATTGGTGAAGCTATTTTACAAAATAGTAGTTTCACTCATAAATCTATGCGACAATTAAAAGATCTTTTACAAACTGCATCCTTATTAGGTAAGTGAATATTAACAATTGATTAGATGTTATTCTTGAAGATACAGTAAATGGAAGAAAAATATTTCATTTTTTTTTCTATATGCTAATAATTGGAAAATATAGAATATCATAATTAGTTTGTCTTATTTATTTTAGGTTTAAAAGTTTTAATGATTGGTTTCACTAGACAATTAAAAAGAGAATGGCGACGAATCGCTCAGTCAATAAAATTAATGTGCAATAAACAATCGAATGTTTCATCTATTCTTTTATCATTTATTGATTTTATTATTTCATATAAAACTCCAATATTTGTTATTCTTCGACCATTTATTTTCCATTATGTAAGATTATTTTTTTTTATGGAATAAATTTTTAATATATATATATATGTTTTTCATCAAAGATCTATTCGGTTACATCGGACAATGATCGTGATTATGAAATGATCACAAATATTCAACAAAAACTTATTTTTGATAAAATAACCCCATCAAAATCAACAGGAGAAATTCTAAATACATTGATGCAAGAATTAAATCATTTAAAAGCTGAATTAACAGGTAAGATTAACTTTCATGTAACTAAAATTATACTTCGCCTAACAAAAAAATAAAATATCGAAAACTTCTGTAGCCGTATCGCTAACGACTACACAAGAAATGAGTCGTACAGGCTCAGGTGGTGGAAAGAAGAGAGTTATTTTATCGCGAACGCCACGACGAAGAATGCGCGATGATATTCCTCTACTTCGTCTATCATCATCTGGTTGGTTCTTTTTTTCTAGTTTCGCATGAATTTTCGATTGAAATTTAAAAGCATGTTTCACTCATGAGCATGAGCATTTTCTTTTTTTCCTCCTGAATTGATTTTCTAGCAAAACTATAGATATGTGTGTGTGTGTATAAACTGATTTGTTTTCTACTTAGATGAATCAAAATCTTTATTTCCATATGAAACACGTCCAGTAGGAACTGAAAAAGTTCGATTTGATACTGAAGCATTGGAACAAATGAAAGATCGTGGTGGTGGTACTGGTGCATCTGCTGCTACAACTGATGGACGATCAGTTGGTAGTCGAGTAACAAATACCTACCGTATTCGACAACAACAGTCAAGCAATAGCAGTTTGAATGCATCACCGAAAAAGAAAACAGAAAAAATTCGAGTTAAAGAAGCATTAGATATACTTGAAACATATCTTGCTCGATATAGAGTTCGGTCCGGAGGTAAGTGTTTTTGCTTGTAAATATGGTTCTTTTAAATGTAATTCAGACAGAAATAATAATTGATTTTATTGCTCTCAGAAAGAAAAGGTTATCAGATGGGGATGCTTTGTTAGCTAGAACATATTAGATCGATATAATTAATATTCAATAAGGTTGAAATAAAATTAGAAGACATTAAATCTATTGTTTTTTTTTATTCGGTTCTGCGATCTCTTTAGACGATTGTTTTATTTGTTTAGTTGAAATAGCTGATATACCAATCAAATGGACAAGAGATTTAACATTGAATAATCCTTTGACAATGATCGATGAACCAATAGCTCCTGTTAAATCTGGTAAATCTATCTGTTTTTATTATGATTCCTATCGATTTGTTTTGTTCAAATTTCTATAATAGAAAGTTCACATTTCCAATCCTCATCATCAAATCCAAACGCACCTAGTCATTTATCGCGTTCAATTACTGTTGCTGGTGATCGAAGTCCAGTAACAACTGATCGATTAACACGATTCTATAATAAACTTGAAGAAACTGATATTGATCAATCAACAACAAATAAAGAAAGTGGACCTATCCTACGCACTTTTCGTGGTCGAAAACGAGATACAGCACATTTCGATAAATCTCGATTAGCCAAAGGTTTAATGCAATCACATGTAAATTTCTTTTCGTTTTTTTATAATTTTTTTCATTGAATCAATCTATTTTTGTTTTGTATTGTTTCTCTAATAGATATCTAGTGAACCAACTATAACCTATGATGCTACTAAAGAAATGAACGAGATATTTCGACCAAACAAGTAAGTTACACAGTTGTACTTATCTTTTATAAATGGTTATTTTATTTTACTTTACACTTACAGTTGAATGAGAAAAGATCGAGAGTAGGTCGATCTATTTTTGTTTTACTTTGGTTATTTTTTAATTTTTTATTCTATCTTACTCATATTACTTTTTTTTTTTTGCTTTCCTAACCTAATCGCATGGAGAACGACATACATTAATATACCTGCTTTGCATGATAAACTTATCATATTTTAGAAGGAATGAATAATTCAAATTAATAATATTTATTGCGACGCATTTATTTTTTTTTCATTTTAAAAAAAGAAACTATAGCTACATTTATATGTATAAATATTTACCATACTTAATTCTGTTTAGACAAGCCAATCAACAAAAACCTACTTCAGTAACTAATGAAACAACTTCTGATTTTATTGAAACACGTGCTTCCAATGATCAAAGTGTACATGCTTCGATATTTGTTAATACTAGCAATAAACAAATCCCTTCATCGCCTTCTATTCCTATGACGACAATTCTTCCAACACAAACAGAAGTGTGGATATCACGTTCACCGAACACACCAACTGTAGCTGAAGCCGACTATGAATCTCAAGTTTGAGCTTGTTCTCAGGTCATTTGTTCGTCTTTTTATTTTCTCTATCACTTTCTTTCTCTGTTTAATTGATGCTTAACAAGACAACTAAAACAAAAATCAAGTAGCTATAATCTGAATTTGAATAAATATGTATTTCGTTCATTATTATCTCTTTTTTTCTCTCTACTTTTGACGTATTCTGTATTTTTCCTCTGATTTTAACTTTCAAATATATAATAAACAATACATATTGAATAGATAATCATTAACTAAATTTTACTTCGTAATTTGATAATATTAGTAAACAAAAAATAAAACGGACATTATCAATTGTTGTTCTTCAATATTAATGTTTACTCCTCATCTTGATTGAAATTTCTCTTGTGATTTGATCATATAATGATAAACAGTTTTTATTACAGAGAGAGAGAGAGAGGTTGAATATGTACAAAGAAAAATCGATGAAAATTCACTTATATTTGAAAGTAGTCCCTAGAATGTTTCTGTTCGCAGAGCCGCTCAAGCCCGCATTGAATATTCTTCTTCATGTTTGTATACTCGATGACTTGAGAGTTGATCTCATTTCAGAGGTCTCTTAACAAACTTGATCGAAATATTATGACAAATATACTTTAGCAATAATATTCAAGCAAATATTTATTGGATTGTATGCTTCAATCAGTAACAAAACTGAAAAAAGAAGAAGATTTCATCAAATATAAAAAATATGATTTTTATTTTTTATCATGGATTATTTATCAATCTATCGGCAAACTTTCGATTTATTTCTCCTCCGATACTACAATACTTGTACTCTCATATATTTTTAAACAATGATCGTTCAATTTTGACAAGTAGTAATTTGTTTCGAACAAGATTATAAACAACTAAAATGATTGATGTTGTTAAATTTAATTTTCTTTTCTATTCCACTGACAAATCATCGTATTCATTGAACTTTTACTACACGACATTTCTCATAATGGCTATTGAAGTGAGAAATATTCCCTTTAGAATTGCATCGAAACAGTTGTTGAATGATTTAATTCCCATGGTAAAATTAAACCAAAGAAGTTCAACGAAAGGGTGAAAATGATTTAGAAAGTTTTTTTTTCTTACTTTTGAATTTGAATTAATTTATCTTACCTGTTAATATTGCTATTTTCCACATCTCCATCTTATTCAAGGTTTATTAATTTCATTATTTAGTTTCTCTTTAAACAAAAACGATATGTCTCTCTTTATCCCATATTACATAATCATTACAGATTAAAAATATGCTTCAGAATTTTGTAATTATTTTGATTGTTTCAGTTTATTTATTTTTCAATAAGTATTGTTAAGTATGCACATATCCTTCATTGTATTGATAATAATGGATGTGCGGTAGAATTTCTTTTATTTAATTAAGATGTGTTTTTAATAACTACATAAAAGTTTTTATTGATAAGATATGACGACAGAAAGTAATCTGAGCGTTATGAATTGTACTACTCTAATATCCATTTTGTCCAACGTCATTTTCCAATTTGATTGATAGGAAAAGTGCTAGAAAAATCATCAATACACGTATTAACAGTTGGTGTTTTTGTCTTATCCATTGTGAACTATCCAAGAATGACACGATCACATCATTATTTTCGCGACTATTTTTGTTTTTATTTATTTAATTTATTAATTCTGTTTCATGAAAATTTATGATTTGAAAGAGATTTTAAGTGATTGATATCTCAGATTTTATGGTATTGATTATTGATGTTTTTAATTAATAAGTTGACGGTTTATAGATGATATCTTCTTGCTATTTCATACTTGAATTAATAGCATAGAAATTTCTCTGTTGTTTTTTATCTTCATGATCATCTCATAAAGGATGATATTGTGTTATTGTTTCCTGATTCTCAGCTTGTTCAAAATAAACTTTTGATGTTGACCTTACTCATTTCTAGTGCTGCATGTAATAGAGAAAAGAGACAAATAAAATTTTGTGGAGAATCACTCGAACGATATACTGATAACTAAACTAATCGTGCGCATACATGTTCTTTTATTTTCTATTGATCTTTTATTCAAATAGAAGATTCATATGCATAAACATTCCGATCAAAGAAACAAACGAAAACATCTCCACGTATCATTAAAAATACTATTAACATTTGACATGAACACATTCTCTATTCCTATCGTATGATCACAATAAGATGAAAACGACATTAAAAATGTATGCTATAAATATTTAAGATAAACTTAATAATAATAATAATAATAATCAATTACTATTATCTATAATATCATATGATTTTCGGATAGTATCTTAATGCATTAGTCTGATTAATAGCTTGCACATTGAAAAAATACGACATGACTCTTAGAATGGATAGCCATCTGTGTATGGCAACTCGCGGGTAATATGGTATATCTTCTGTTTATTTACTACGCGCGCTTCCGATCTATCTCTCCTGTCCGTTTGACCTCTTGAAAACGAGTAAGAAGGAAAGAGACAAAAGAAAAGGAGAGACTGACAGAGAAAAAAGAGAAAAAAGACATACACGCAAAACATTTGTTAAGCTTTTTTGTGTACCGATCATTTGCTTTTCTCTCTTCATCGTTGTCCTCTTCTATTTGTCTAATATTATTAATACATACAAGAAACTAATGAATTCAACATCATACGATATCAATTCGTCACCAGATATCACACAAATGTCTGAAGCCATACTAGAGTCGAATTCTAGTCAACCGTTAGTAACAACAAATGATATCGATACAAGCAACGAAGAAAAACATCTTTTATCAAATCAAGATTATTTATTGCAAAGTAATCATTCTTTCTTTTTTTTTTTAAATTTGTTATCAAGTATTTTTGTTTTCTTAAAATTTAAAATATAGGTCATATCAACAATATACCATTGGAATCGCCAGCATCGTTAAATTCAAATATACCTAAAAGGCAAGAATCATTAATTTCAGTTTACGATAATTCAAATGACGGAGAGCAACAACAAAAGCAACAAACGAGTCAAAATTCTTTTCCTCAAATTGGAATTCTTGGTCGAAATCAACGTTCACAAGCATTTACTAAACGGCTTCTATTGTCTGGTTTTCCAAAACCAATTCTATGTGATAGAAATACAATTGAATTTGATCTTAATGAAAAATCAAATTATGTATCATATGAAACATTTTGCAAACAATCGCCGCCAATAATTCTTATAACTGATAATCTAACGAATAATATTGATGATTTCATTAATCATGATAAGCAACAATTAATAATAGATGCACGAGAGTCAATTGAGAAATATCTTTCAAATCAATCTTCTCAATTTTCACTACCCATTCCAAGTTCATATCGTGCTTTTGGAAATTTATCAAATTGGGAAATTGAAAATGGTACACAACGTGTTGGAGTTGCTATTGAACAAGCATCACCTTTAAATTTAATAAAATTTATTCATGATTTAAGTTGTTTTTCACGTGGAATTATTTTTCTCGATCAATATTCTTATAATTATAAACAATTAAAATCATTTCGCCATTGTTCATTTCCATTTGTAGCAACAATGATTATTTTTACTCTATGCTTCGTTTTATCAATGTTAGAAAATAAAACAAATAATCATTATTACCAAGCATGTTCAATAACAGGAACAACAAGTGTAACATTACTTTCATTGTTATTTTTAATAAAACCAATACTTGAATTAATTGATTTTATTCATTCATTTGTTTTAAGAAACGAGAATAAGAGTAATTTTTTTCTTTATTATATTTTTATACATGAAGATTCATTGTTATTTTTTTAATTAGAAAATATTGTTCCACGTTTGAAATTCGTACAACGTTGGCTACAATCACGACGATGTTTAGCATGGTATTCATTAACATTTGCACTTTTACATTTACTTTTTTTATTATTTTCAAAAAACAATTTTCATCAAGAAACAAGCTTTTATCCCGTCTTTTTTGGTTTATTTACTTTAGTACTTCTATGTATTTTATCATTTGTTTATTTACCATGGATAAGTGAACATCTTCTATGGCGTGAATATCATTTATTGACAGCATATTTAGGGCCATTTTGTCTTTTAATTAGTTTTATTCACGTTTTTATCAATTGGAAATATGAATATTATTATTCAAGTCAAAAACGTTTATTTAATTTACAATTTATGTCAATGTTTTTACCATTTGTTGTATTATTATTAACTTTTATCATATATGGAATAATTCGTCCAACAATGGAATTAATTCAATGGAAAGAAAATCGACCAAGAGAATCAAAGACTTCAACAATAACAACAAAGGACACATCGCTTTTACCATAAGTGTACCATTACAATGTGTTTTGTTTTTCTTCGTATTCGCTTTAGCGTATATCTGTGTGTCTGTGTGTGTTTGTGGTATACTATAGAAATAATAACTCTAAGCAACAGCGGATAATAGGAAAAGATTATGGTTTTTGATACATAATGAGAACTATCGTCAGAAGACCAATCATATGTCAATGCTAGTGACATGACATATGGTAGGTGTCAAAAAGGAAAAGCAAGATACGCTAGGACAAGCTCATGTAACGAGTTTGTCTTTTACACAAATTATGACTTCCAGCATTTTGTTTTTCATCATATAAAAATCATGAAAGTTCTTTTCTTCTTTTTAAATTGAATAATATTAAATACATCTTACATGTTATTCATACAAATTGTTACATGTACGATATATTCTTGGCGATTGTACTTGCTTACTTAATTTTTTTTATAACTCGTAATATGAATACTAACATTTGATTTCTGATTTCCAAATCTTATCAGTTTTTCAGACAATTACTGACATTTTTATTAATATTGAAATTTTCAAAAATAAGATGTGAATGCATTATGACAATTGAAATTGAATCAAAATAGAAAACAAATATTAGAAGTAATTGCGTAAATACGGAAACAGATCGAAATAAATAAATATTCTTTTTGTTTGATTAATATTAAAGAAAAGGAAGTTTGAATTCCGTTTCATTTACTTTATTCTATTGACGAGACAAATATCTCGTGTTATTACATCTTATAGTTACATCATGTCACCTATTTTTCGATCATATTCAAAGTACAGCGAACTAAAAGATTAGTTTCATAATGTATAGTAATAGTTAGTGAAAGATTCTCGACATCAACTTTATTTAATTGAAGTTTATTCATATTAATTACAGATAAATAGATAGATAGATATTGCTTTTGCAACTATATCCAATTTGGTCAGACACTATTCAATTGATTATATGTTTTCATGAAAATGTTTCACATAAGTTGGAATAGTCATTTTCATTCTACATATTCCATTCTTTTTCTAAACAACTTAATTATGGCACATTGATGTTGAAAGTATCGAACAGAAGTTTCTCGCTTACATTTATTTTCTGTCCCTTAAATGTACATACGCGTGTGTCGAATGCCTTCGTTTTTGTCAGAAGCTCAATGCCATTTTAATTCAAAGGCAAAGTGTAGATAGCTAATATCAACCTTATTATTAATACACCATTATAAAAGAACTATCGTTTAATGATATTTATATTTATGTTCTATCATAGGCCAATGGAATAGAACAATTCAACGTTGAAAAAAATGTGACAGGTTGTTTTGACAAAGCACGAAATTCTTCGTCGGCAATATTCAATTTCGAAATTATATTTATTGATTTCATTTATGACTCGTTTGTCCATAATTGGTATTAGATTAGTTCTATTTGGAAAGATGTGTTCATCATTCTTCAATATAGAAGAATCCGCATAAGCGCAGCGTCTATTAGTACTTCGTGATTATTTGTTCCGAAGAGAATAGTTTCTTTTCATTTTACATAATCAACATATAAGAATTATAAATAGACAAGTACAGTTCAGTGAAATAAGAACTGTCTATTAAGTTCAGACTTGCTGATTGTGATGTGGGTGGTATTGGGCTTTCCCTCACCTAAAGCAACTGGCTGTTCGCGAAACTTTTATAGCTAATTGGGAAATAAAAGATCCTAAAGAGGGGTAGGGGAAGAGCACGACTTAGTGAGAGGTGCCTCCTCTCCCGGTCACAATTTTTCACATCACGAAAAGGAGAGCACTTTCTGCCAAAATTCTATCCCCCTCCNCCCCCTTTCCTGAAAACAATCGACAACCCTGATTAAGCTCAACACTCAATATTGGCAATTCAATGTTGAAAACGATTGGTATCGGTATCCTTTAGAAATTTACTTATTCTACGTCTATCAAATTCAACAATTTCTAAATTTGTCCAGTCTTTTGGAATAAGGCAAAAAAGGAGATAATCGAGAACCTGCAATGCTATAATCACCTAGATAACATTGTCGGAACAATGCGATATAAGATCGTATGTCTAAGATAAACCAAGAAGCGTTAGAGAGACGGAGAAATAAGATAATGCTATAAAACTAAACTCTAGTGTTCTTTCCTCTCCCCTAATTTCAGAATATACCTTCAGTCGGATAATTCTATGGTACTTGTTCTATATAGCCCAATCAGTCTCATTTAGTATGTTAAATTGCTTTATACGAATCAACGAGTTCAGTTGCTTACTTCGCTTTTTCAATTTACAGTCTTTCCCAGCCACACATTTTTGTGAAATTTTTTCGAGACTTTTATCGAAATGTCAACCAAAAACGACTGATTAGCGAGTAAACTTCTTCATGAGATGGGGCCATTTTTGACATTTACGCGAATTGTTATTTTACAGAATGGCAAAGAGTTATTTAGTTAATCAATTAACTTAAAAATACAAAAAGTAACAAAAAAATTAAACGCAGTCTTTCTCTCGCTCAGTGTTTCTGAATTGTTTAATATATCCACGCGCCGATGTCTTCGCGGTAATCTTCTAAAATTGAAAGATATTGTCAAAATCACCTTTGAATCTGTTATTCTTGTTAAAAAAGAATTGTTAGCGTAATTCCTGTAGAATGATAATTTGAAACACGATCAAACTTTTGTTACTAATCACCTGAAAACTTACACATGAGGCATTTGTATTTATTGGGGCCCATTTCTTCATTATCATTTACTATGCACACTATACAACTGTAAAAAGAAGATATTCCATATATTTCATTTAGATCTAAGTCATAAATGATTTTCGATAACTTCGAGAGTCTATCTGTCACGACCTATGATTGTTCATCCATAAATTACGAATGAAATATCAAGTACAGCTTAGTTCATTTGTGTATCATAGATCGTGATTCACGGTCTATGAGGCGAGAATTCAAATTTCCAGCTTTCTTTATACTTGAACAATCCTTTTAGATCGTGTTTCATAGAATGTTGTATGCATGGAAAGTTTTTTTGGAAAATTTTGTCTAGGAACGTTTATTAGAAACTAATTTATTAAATTCGAGCAAATAGTTCTATACTTTTTACCGTTCACAGAATTGTTTTTCTTTTCATAACAGATTTTTCTACATTGGGTGTTGCACTATAATGCTGGAGAATATCATACTTTCTCAAGACATCATTAACATGTTTTAGTATCATTGAAAGAAAAATTAGAGTTGCTTCAAGTGTCATCTATTCCTTCTTAATCGAAGATGATCACCACTGTGAAATAGTACCTTTTTTCCAGTCGTAGTATAGCTCGAAATCTTAGATCTATCAATGAGAACAAACGTGCTATGACGATAGATTTCCCGCTTTGATCTATAAAGGCAACTAGCCACTGAATTAAATTGATTTAGTTCATTTTATTAATTGGACTGAAGTTACATGGAAAAGTATCACCGACGAACCGCTAAAACATGCAATGAAAAGAATTCGATATAAAAAAATAATTTTAGATAATCGCTAATCTTAGCGAATTCATTTCAAAGAGATTCTGAGAAAATGACGAATTTGTTTTGTACATCAATAAACAATATCATATTCTTTGAGAATGAATAGACAAATTTTGTCAAAAGAAACAAAACTTGAGAAAAGGAATATCACATACAATATGGAGAAGCCTATTTTCGCTGCAAAAGCCATTATAACTTATTCATTTTTCAATGCCTGTTCTATATCAAACTATCCAATAGCCCATCAAATATTAATAAAACTACCCACAATAGTTGCAGCACTAATCTCTTGATTATCAACGACAGTTTTTCTACTCCTTTTCTTATGAAACACGATCAGAACGGAACGTTGAACTATACAGGGTAGAAATTTGGACCCTACCACCACTCATAGACCGCGACGAGCATTCTAATTAATTAATTGTCTGTCATAGACAGTGACAGAGGGCGTCAAACGGCTATCGAAGATCATGCAGAACTTGAATCTAATTGAAGTTCTATGCTGTACAGTAAATAATCAAGACAAAGTAGGCCGTAATATCCGTAAAAAGAACAGTTTTTAGAGGATTAGCTACAATAATTATATCGTGTTTCACACTCTAATCCCGTAGGGGTTGTGCTAACAGCTGTTTTAAGTGTATATACATTTAACAAGATATTAGGACATGCTTTGTTTCGATTTCTTTTAAGATAAATAGAATTGTTTCTAGTCAAATATGCATAATTTATCAATGTTGTCGATTAATGAAACTTTTGTAACCTTACTGGACGAGTCATCATCTAGTAATAATAGTTCCATGTCATGCATAACTAACATGAAACTTTGGCTATTCGTTCATTTTATTGCTACGTCAATTTTCTTCTTTGTCTTCATAACCCGGATGATCTCTCTATTTTCAATATTACTTCTCATCAATAATCTTTTTTGTCTACGTTTTGTTCAGATCATTACAGCTAATGATCAGGTAGTCTTGTATGAAGAAAATGACGGTTCACATTTAATTGGTCTATTGAAAAAAGAAACACAAATGATTTTCTCTCACGTTCTTGCCGCCTTTATTTACACATGGCTCGGATTGGCAAAGAACAACTATTCTATAACCTATATGAATTTTTTTCTTTGATTGATTGAAGGTTCATATGCTTCATTGGGTATAATCTTAAGTATCCGCTCGTATTGTTTTGCATTTCCGATAAACTTCTACTATTTGTCACCATATAATCTGATACAGATGTGTAAAGTATTTTTATTTGTCTTCATGCGCTATTCCGAGACTCAACCCGTTTTTTTCCCACGACTTTCGACAATTTATCTTCAACAATGTATGCCCTTCTATCTCTACGTGATATGTTACAAACCAACTGAGTAAAAGAAAATGTAATCTGTTGTCTTTCGTGTCTATTATTGTATGACACCTATGTTATTGAAAATGAGCATGGTTTCTACTTCATTTGTTTTTTGGTTTTCGTTATTATTTTTTTCTTCTATTTTGATGATATGTGTGCTGTTATACATTATTACTATATTTAGATTAAAAGAAAATAAAAATAAATAATTGTTATGTTCTTCTCTGTAAGAATCCATATTTACACTTGAAAAAGGAAGCACGAAAAATAGAATTAATGCAGTAACCAGAAAAAAAATAGTCTGGGGGGGGGGGGGGGGGGGNTTCTATCTAAAATATCAACTATTAGAAGAATCATTATTCGTTTTAATCTTAATAATTATATGAAACTAACATTGCCGAATTAACTAAACATCGCAGGGGGGAGGGACAGTTCAGTCATCGACCAAAACCGTCATACGGAAGGGAGATGAAGACTAAGTCCATGTTCCCATAGAGTTTACTCTTGAGGGTGTGGGTGTGGGTGTGAGTACGATGGTGCGTGTGTATCCAGAAATCAACGCAGAGAGACTCACACCAACCGAAATCCACTCCTACTCACACCCACATAGCTGTTGAATCACCCTCAGATTGAAAGACGATGTCTGTACCTTGCTAATATTCCGGGGTCAATTATGTGATTCGAAAAAAAATTTCCGGGATCAATTATGTTACTATATAACTAATTAAAAATTCTTAGAAAAAACAGGATCATTTGTGCATTTTTTCGTGAAAAATACTATCCGGGATCAATTGTGCTTAATTTCCGAGATCAAAAATGTAAGTGTCCTCTTTATATTATATTTTCGATTTTGTCTTAGTATAATAGATTTGCTGATTCACAAACCCATTAGTTTTTTTATGTCGCGTGCAATATTCTACGTCGTATCACTAAAAGAATAATTATCAATCCTTCTTGCAAGTTATGGGGCGAGTTTAGGCTTAATAAACAATGTATATATCGAAATATTTACCTTTGAATTTATTATCTATACAATATGAAAATAGGTGAAATACGCACATCGAAGTAAAGATTCTCATGAACACATAATCAATATTTTTTTTTATAATATATCATTGCGATATTAATAATAAAGAGATATATAGGAAATAAGAAATGATAATTTTGCTAAATATTTCTATCTTGATCGAGTATGTTGTTTGAGATATCTAAGAATATCGATTTAGTATTAATATTGCATCAATTAATTCTAATTTTAAATCTTTTTTTCTAGGACTAAGAAACTAATTTAATGCACTGCTAATGCTAAGTCATGTCTTCGTCTATTGCAGGGCAAAATTCTTGCCATTTTGAACAACTATTATCGCTATATCACATAATGTGTTAATAATAACCTTTTCAAAGAACTTTTTGGGCTCTCTAAAGTACATTGACAAATTTGAAAACGATCTCTATTCGCGACTATTTCAAGTCTAACACTGATATTATATTCATTTTCATGTTGCAAATAGGGATTTTTAGAAAATAAAAGTAATTAGTAAATGACCTAAATTGATATGTCGAACGAGAAGACTCGAAATAAAATTTCTAAAAAAGATGTTGAATAATTGCTTCTCTAAAATAATTTTATACTGCGATGACGCTATAAATAAAAACAATGGAAAACTTTTGCACCAATTTTTATTAACTGAATTTAAAAGTTCATATTTGGTTTGGTATAGATGATTGTTCACATGACTATCGAACAGCAAGAAATTCGGATTCACAGAAGAGAACCAAATAAATCGGCTGAATACTTATTGTGATTATTTACGAAATAGTAACATCATAGTTAATACTACCAATATGGAAATAATCAATAAACTATTATACGATTATATTTGAAACATACTTAATATAAAGTGTCGTGCTTATTTCTAAAATGAATCTTGCAGAAGATTTGTAAAGTCATCGAGAGAAAATATTTGGTTTTCTTTTGTAGTGAAAGTCGTTTAAATCATTTCTCAATGAAAGTTTTCCAATTATTTCGAAGTAATCTTTATTCAGTTCATCGAATAAAATACGGAAGTTAATCTTCTTATCCTAATCTTCAGCATGTGCTTATATGTCAAACTTGAAACTTGAATTCCATTGTTCAAGTTTTAAATCATTGGAATTCTCAATTCAAGTATTCAATCCACCATGTATTATGACAACCACAAAACAGATAAACACACAACTTGCTCGGTATAGGTGTCGGAAAATACGGACACACATCCCTTCAATTGAGATTTCGATCAACACACATACTTCAAGACTTGAAAAATTTAATTATCAAATAACTGAAGAGTTGAAATAAGATTTTCTATAAATATAATTCAAGTTTTAATTCGACAATGCGGAATAAATTTAACGTAGCTGCGAAAATAAGATTCACGGGGTATCTATTCATATTCTGTATTTCGTCACACTGAAAACATCGATATCTAAAGATGATACAGGGCCACTTGATCGAGGCACATCAATCATTTTTATTATTGGGTCAATTTCTTTTTCTATCGGTGCATTAACCTTAATACTAGTGGCGTAACCACGAGGGGGGCTGGGGGGCTGAGCCCCCTCCAGAACTGCTTGAGCCCCCCTAGAAATATTTCTGTTTAGCTGTTATTTAATGTTATTCTAATTTTTCGAGCGACTTTTGTGTTAGAGAACACAATCTAGATGTTATTCTTGATCAACAATAGTAAAGAAAGAAAAAGAACAATTCTGTTCTGTTTATGTCGTCTTTGTACAATGTGAGTAATCGATCGTCATTTATCTGTTCAACAACGAAACTTTCGTCTTGATCAACAACAGTAAAGAGAAAAGAAAAAGAACAGTTCTGTTCTGCTGGTGTCGTCTATGTCAGAGTTGCAACCGGTAACGGTAAACGGCCGGTTCGGCCCGGTCTAGGATTCCTTACCGGCACCGCCAGATATACCGGCCGGTACAAGCGACTTTTTCAGACCGGCCCGGTCTAGATTTTTTAAAATTATTTTCGCTTTTTTCCCTTATTTTTTGCAAAAATAGATGATAAAAGTGTTTATTTTTGCATATCAAGCTAGTTTTTATGACATTAATGACGATTTCTAAGAAAAATTATGAGATATATTGTTTATATTAAATCAGTATTTATCAAAAATATATTTCTTAGTGACGAAGGAGAAGTCTTAAATAATTGGAATAGTGATTCAGAGTAAGCTATGACTGATATTAAATGAAAAAAGTCAATAGTGACTCATATACGATGAAAAAAAACACAACTATGACTCATGCCGGTCCGGTCCGGTCTGATCGGCTTAGGCCGGTACTGGTACCGGTCTAGAAAAAACCCTACCGGTTGCAGCTCTGGTGTATATTGTTGTTTTGTGTATTGATGTAGTGTATATTGTTGTTTTTCTTTAAAATGCAACTCGTAACATGAAAAATATGTTAGTGAACATCAAGCAAGTACAACATCTCCTAAAAAAGGTGGAAGAAATTCAGTTTTTAATTAATTCTAAAGAGTCTTGGGGCCGAGCCCCCCTCCCCACTAGCTTAAAATCCTGGTTACGCCGCTAGCAGAAAATCGAGGTAAATTCCTCACGGAAGATTTTCAAATAGAGAATTGGATTTTCTAATGATGATGCATCAATATGTCGTTCATCTATCGTTATTAACTGAAGAATCAAACATAAACACATTTGAAAGTTATTTTTATTTGCCTTTGTTTAGTTCAATCAATATATGACATAACAGTTGGTCGTAAAAAGAGCGAAGCCGAATCGACATTTCTTATTATAACACAAGGACGTTCTGGTCAAGCTGAAGTGTATATTAGGTACGTTTGACCGCTTAATTATTTCAAAATTTTCCATTAAGTTGTTTTATTAGATCTATTCCTGTTTCTGCAATACCAACAGATATGGAAGGATCGAGCAATTGGGTTCATCAGTTCTATCGTGATAAAGATGAAATATATGATTATTTTGTTCAACATGGAACTTTGAAAGACTATGGGTTACCTCGAATTGAAATTCCACATAATTATTATGCTTGATAAATTGAACTTTGATGGGTTGTTATTATTATTGGAATACCATCAATTATTTATTTATTTTAATTTCTTTGGGCAAGTTCATTTCTTGCCCAATTAATATTTGTTATTATTGTTTGTATTGGTAAGAAGCTTTTTATTAAATTAATTAAATAAAGTAAATGCTTGACTTGGCTGTTTTTTGTATAGTAACTATTGGTGTTCGAACAATGATTGCCATAACAAAAACTGAACGAAGTTCTCATTATGATGAAACAAACAAAAGGATTAATATCAATTATTTTACTGCATTCTTTGTTTTTTGTCATCGTTCAATATGATATATCATAAAACAATAAGATAGCTAACTTTTTAAAAATAGCTATTGTTTCTTAGTTTGTTTGAGCATTGTCTACAGTCACTATTGAAACATACTCTATACACACAGTGACATGATCTATGTTAAGATCTTTGTTTTTATTTGAGACAAGACGATAACAATCCTCGCAGGTACATCCACACCTCGTATGAGGTTACATTGATCAATACTCGAGCTAATTTCGAACCGTACATGATCAAAGTCTTTTTATCATCATGATTTTCTATTATTGCTATTTGTTATCATTTTCCTGTTCCTATTCCTGTTTGAATGATTATCAATAAATGTTGACGAAAGAAAATAGGTTTTAAAAGCATCTCTTGCTTAGTTAACTTGTTTATTAAAAGAATTTAAGAAGAAATTGCAATTTCATTATTTCAAATTTGAAGAAACAGATTGTGTTGATAGTTTAGAATGAACTCTTTTTTAGTAAATTCTGTCGAACTATTCAGCCAGTCTACTAAGTGTATTGCATCGACGAGCTATCACAACTGTTTTCGTCCTTATTAAGATAATGATTACTGTCGTGATGCAAAACATGAACATTTGTTTACACTATAAAAACTTTATGAAACTATATAAATGATCTGCGCTGTTATAAGTATATTAAAATTGATATTCCTGCACTACCAATCATTCGAAATTTATCGCAACCAATATATAAAGCTATAATTGACCTTTTGAAGTCTTCTATAGATGAATAAAGGTAAGAAACTACAATACGATCTCTTTGCATTGCTATTTTTTCAGCAATTACGATAATATGCTACATAAAATTGAATTATTTTCTTAACTTAAAGCAAAAAAATTTGTTTTTGTTTGAAAGAATCATATAGAAAATTTTAAATTTTAGTAAACTTTATTCCATTGAATAGTACTTTTCAGTCGAAAAAACCGATGAGATGTTCTAATGATGATATTAATATAATATACATGGGTGAATCGTATTTCCTTTGTATGATAGACTTGAAAATCATGTACAATACTTCCTCTTGATGTATTCCTACACTTGTAAAAATTTCAACAATCTATAAGATTTCCATCTCGAGTTAGGCCTTTTGAAAATAATAGATATGTAAAAGTACACCAAATCAGAATCTGACTTTAGTTGTCTTGAAAAAGTCTATCTTTAATAAATACATGAAAAATACAAACTTGAAACACAATGTGCCTTATTTTGTCGCGTCATCTTAAAATATGATTTTCTCTTGAAAAGACCTATGTTAACCGGAACGAAGCTCACAGATATGAACAACCTCTCTGGTCGAACTAATGGTATAGCTTTCAGCTGATAAAACTACATTTTTAAGTCTATGTTTTCAAAACATCGCTTTTGCAATCAAATTCTACTTTTGATTATAATATAATAGTGTGTTTCTGCTTTTTATTTGTTATATAAAAGAGGGGGAAGAGCGACAACTGGGCGCTACGACAATTAGCCACAATGTAGAATTGGTCACATGTCTAACAGAAACGTAGTTCATCTTCACTTCCACACAAACTTCATTCTGCACAGTTGCGATTCAATGACATAGCACAGCGTAAGGGCGAGAGCGACATGCGAGAAATGAGGATGTGTCCTCTCGAATGGACAAGTAGATGATCTTATCGGTTAGTAATAACTGAACGTTAACATTTACCTCTTGGATTTATCGAAATTAGAGTCCTGCAGGTTAAGACTTTTTTGTACCCTAGTCCTGCCCTATCGTAAAACTTCGTACCCTTTTCCTGCTCTGCCCTGCCCTGCCCTAGGGGCTTTGTACCCTTACCCTACCCTACCACAGAGATTTTTCATTTTGACACTCTATTATATCCTTATAGTTTCAGGTTCAAGTAAAAGTCAGCATGAAGTTTTTCTTCACTATGTTTCAATATATTTTGTTGATTTGCAACGAGAACCAAATACAAAATTAATAAATATTTCGGAAGTTTCTTAAAAATAAAATGTCATTTACAACATCACCACTTAAATTTTGCCTTCTCTCTTCCAAAATTCGTCCGGTTGCATTAAAAATAAGTTCATGTCGAGATGATTTCGAAGACATCTTTTATTACATTTACATGCACATTTACTCGACAAATAATCAAAGTGACTGAACTCGTCAGCTTTTTTAAAAAATAGTACTAAAAAATAGGTCATTGTTTTCCGTTTGCTGTTATTCTATCTAATGAACTTAGATTATGATATCACTCCTTACACGGTTTTTGATCAAAAAGATGTCAGAAATATATATTAAGTTCTACTCTATAAAATTTTTATTAGTGTGAACTACACCCTACTTATACCCTATATATTTTTTTGTAACCTTACCCTACCGTGCCCTGCAGGGCAGGGTAAGGCAAAGTTGTCCTGCAGGATTCTAATCGAAATGTTACGAAAAGATGAAAACTATACTCATTAAGAAGTAGCAAAAGTCGCAGTCGGTTGAAGCCTCAAAAAGTAAGAAAAAACTGTATGGCTTATGCAAAAATATTTTAACCAGCTAATATTTGATCTACTGTAAAACTTTATATGCAAATACAAGAATTTATTAAGCAATCTTATTTATGCTCATATTTGATGTCCTTGTTCTTGAATAGATTATTGGTTACTTTCTGAACCTTTCTGCGTTATTTCTTTTAAATACTAATAAAAAATTTTGGAAATTTTATTTTTCAGCATTGCGATCAATGTTACCCTGCGACCAATTGTCGTATACCCATTTTTTTAATCAGGAAGTTCGTTTTTCCTTAGAAAGAAATCCATACCATTTAGTAACAATAAATGCTTTTATTATCATGAACTACTTGATGAATAAAAGAAATAATAAAGAACCTTTGTAACGCGTGCTTTAATTCTCTCAATAGAATCTTTTGGTTAGAAGCAGGAGCTAATTGAAATTAATTATTGCGGGATCCCTATCGGATCGTTAAAAGACTGTGAAGAATGCTACTCATCAAACAAAAACAAAAACAAAAACAATAGTATATCGCATGTTTGAAGCAGCAATTAGAATCAAGTTAGAAAAATTCATCAAGAGTTTTAAGAATACCCATAGATTTCGAGTCTGAAATAATTGATCAAAGCGTTCGGATTCCGAGTCTGATTCCGGGTCCATTGATCTTTTTAGAGTGCCATCGAGTAAATGGTTGCCATAGTGACTGTTTTATTCAGTTAATTTGCAAAGTGCATAAGTATGTTAACATCAGTTGATTACCAATATAATAGTTTTTTGTTGATTAACAAATGAGAAAAAAAACTACGAGAATTTATTTTCTTTATATGATTCATATGATTATTTTTATGGATAATAATATTTTAATAATATACATGTATAGAATACATATATCTTCATTGAAGAGAAATCGATCCGAAGAATAAAGACGAAGAAAAAGAAGAAAACAAAAATCGAGGGGTGGAGATTCGTCGCTTATTCGTTCATCATTCATTTATTTTACACATGCTCCCTCTCGTCACATTTAGTCAGTCATCTCTTTCTTTTGCTTTCGTTCGTAAATAGTTGACAAATAATGCTACGGAGAAGAACCTAATAACATATATATATATATGGGTGTATATATGTATCTATATACATATATGCATGTATTTACCTCGTTGGACTATTATTCTAGTCGTTTTCGTGTTCGCCCGTTTAAATTTATTCTTTGTTTTTCCTCTGAATAGATATTCATATACCAAGAGATATTGGTGTCATCGAGATTTTCATTTTCATTTTACGTTTTTGTACTTAAAAACTTTTATTTAGAACAAATATAGAAAAACAGTTAACAATGACCAACAATGATGAATTGACGGTAGCAACGCCATCAACAACGACTAATAATACCAGTATAAATACAAGTACTGCAATTACAAAATCACTTCTTGATGATCCGAATTGGAAAGAAAAATTGAAATTACCACCAAAAGATAATCGACCGAAAACATCTGATGTTACTAATACAAAAGGTCATAGTTTTGAAGATTACTGTCTTAAACGTGAATTATTAATGGGTAAATATTCAAGAAAGATGTGTTTGATATCAAAAAATGAATCCATTTTCTTTAGGTATTTATGAAAAAGGTTGGGAAAAACCATCACCTGTTCAAGAACAGGCGATTCCTATTGCATTAACGGGTCGTGATGTTCTTGCACGCGCTAAAAATGGTACAGGGAAAACAGGTGCTTATACAATTCCAATTGTTGAACGAATTGATCCCACGAAAAATGCTGTTCAAGCTATTATTTTGGTTCCAACGCGTGAATTAGCATTACAAACAAGTGCTATATGCATGGAATTATCGAAACACCTTCAATTACGTGTTATGGTTACAACAGGTGGTACATCATTACGCGAAGATATTTCACGATTACAAGAAGTTGTTCATATTATCATAGCAACACCTGGTCGTCTATTAGATTTAGTTAATAAAAATTTAGCTAAAATTGATGCATGTCGTGTTATTATATTGGATGAAGCTGATAAATTGCTTTCACAAGACTTCAATCATTTATTAGATGAATTATTGCATGTAATGCCAAAGGATCGACAAGTTATGCTTTTTTCAGCTACATTTCCATTAACTGTCGATGACTTCATTAAGAAACATATGAAACAAGCATATGAAATCAATTTAATGGACGAATTAACACTTAAAGGTAAGAAGCAAAAAAGATATTTCGAAAAAGAAATAAAGAATAATTATATTCTTCTCGTTTTACATCCTATTAGGTATTACACAATATTATGCATTTGTACAAGAGCGACAAAAAATCCATTGCTTAAATACACTTTTCTCTAAGGTAAATTCTGACAAAGTATTTAGAATTCTTATGAAGAAAATCTTTATTTAATATTAACTTTAGTTACAAATCAATCAATCAATTATATTTTGTAATTCAACACAACGTGTTGAACTTTTAGCTAAAAAAATCACTGATCTCGGTTATTCATGTTATTATATACATTCAAAAATGCGACAAGAACATCGTAATCGTGTCTTTCACGATTTTCGTACTGGTCTTTGTCGTAATCTTGTTTGTTCGGATTTATTTACTCGTGGTATTGATATTCAAGCTGTCAATGTTGTGATTAATTTTGATTTTCCTCGTTTCAGTGAAACATATCTGTAAATAAAACGAAGATTTTTGTTTTCAAGAAATGAATGTATAATTTATTTTCTTTCATTGTGTAGTCATCGAATTGGTCGTTCAGGTCGTTTTGGTCATTTAGGTCTTGCCATTAGTTTAATAACTTATGACGATCGTTTTACTGTGCACACAATTGAACAAGAATTGGGTACAGAAATTTTGCCAATCCCACGTCATATCGAGGAAACTTTATATGTGGCAAAAGCACCAGCTATTGAACAATCCATTGATGAACAACAAGCAGATAAATGAACAGCCAGATAGTTATTTATATTCTTTGTATGTTTGTGTGTGTGTTTTACTAGTCAAACCAAAAAAAAAAACCCAAAACACATTCCTATGAGATCAGATATGATGTATGTTCAGTTTTTATCGTTTTTTTCTTCTTTGCCTTATATATCATTGTGATCAAAACGTTTTCATTTTGTTCTATTGTTTCGATAACGGATAAAAAAAAAGAGTAAAATAAGAAAATGTTTAGATTTTCTAATTGTTTTATTACTATTTTCGTTTTTATAAAACATACAAAGTCACAATGATTTTATTCTTTAGATAAAAGAAAGAAACAAGCTTTTCTTCGATTTATACGCTATTCACACATAAATATTTATACATATACACCTATTTAAAACCATATTACATTTATTCATCCAAAATTTTGACCAAAATATTCATTTGAATTTGTACATATTAATATATCTTTTTCTTCTTCTCCCTATATTGTTATTTTATTATTTGATACCATTCAGTTATGATTGGTTCATCAACGGGAGGCAAAGCCTCACCTTCCTTACCTTTTTCTACAACAAATTTTCCGGGAAACTTGGCAACAAGAATCGATGGCAATGAAATCAATTCAATAAATAATGGAAATGCATCAGCGAATGCAATGACATCAATTACTAAAGATGATCCTGATTGGAAATCAAAGTTAAATATTCCAGAAAAGGATCATCGTGCTAGAACAAGTGATGTTACGAATACTAGTGGTCATGATTTTGAAGATTACTGTCTTAAAAGGGAATTACTCATGGGTATATATTTTAGCAGCAAAAAAAAAGAAAACTTAAAATATATATTTTTTTTAATTTAAAGGTATTTATGAGAAAGGTTGGGAAAAACCATCACCTATTCAAGAACATTCAATTCCTATTGCATTAACGGGTCGTGATGTTCTTGCACGTGCTAAAAATGGTACAGGGAAAACAGGTGCTTATACAATTCCAATTGTTGAAAGAATCGATCCCAATAAAAATGCTATTCAAGCAGTTATATTAGTCCCAACACGTGAATTAGCATTACAAACAAGTTCTATATGTATGGAATTATCGAAACATATTCATTTACGTGTTATGGTTATGACTGGCGGTACATCATTACGTGAAGATATTTCACGATTACAAGAAATTGTTCACATCGTTATAGCAACACCAGGTCGTTTATTAGATTTAGTTAAAAAAGATTTAGCTAAAATTGATGCATGCCGTGTTATTGTATTGGATGAAGCTGATAAATTGCTTTCACAAGATTTTAATCATTTATTAGATGATGTCATTTTTCATTTACCACAAGATCGACAAATAATGTTGTATTCAGCTACATTCCCTTTAACTGTCGATGATTTTATTAAGAAGCATATGAGAAATCCATATGAAATCAATCTTATGGAAGAACTCACTTTAAAAGGTATTGAATCAGTTTGTTTCGCTAAATTGTCAATTTTAATGTAAGATTCCAGGAAAAAGCGAAGATTTAATATTCATATTTTCCTGATGAAAAGTCATGGAACATATATGTTGTAGGACAGATTAAAATCCAGTTCAGATCAAAACTATTTTAATCTGAACTGGATTTTAATCTGTCCTGCGGCATATATATAGATATATATGTTGTTACAGGGGAGATTGAAATGCAGGGCTATTTAAAATAGCCCTTAGGGGAAATTGAAATTTTAATCTCCCCTAGGGCAAATTAAAATTTTGTTTTTTCCGGGTTCAATTTATGAGAAAAAGTAAAGATTTTGACTTCAAAACGTACTACATTCGCACCCACATTAACACTGGCATCTAATTGTCAAGTTCCATCACATCAGTCTTTTCCAAATACCTGAATTCGCGCAAAAGACACTTACCTTATTTGTGGGTATGGGTGTAGGTGCGTGTATGGGTGCTAGTATTAGTGTGGGTATGAATGTTGTACGTTTTGAAATCAAAATCTTTACTTTTTCTCATAAATTGAACCCAGAAAAAACAAAATTTTAATTTACCCTAGGGGAGATTAAAATTTCAATTTTCCCTAAGGGCTATTTTAAATAGCCCTGCATTTCAATCTCCCCTGTAACATATATATATATATATACAGAGAAAGAGAAAGTTATGATAAGCATCATCATTTATGCAAAAGTATAAATACTGAATGATAATTGATTTTAAGTATCTCTTTGTTAAAAATAGATTTCTAAACTTGAATGATACATATTTTTTCGCATAATCTTCATTTGATTTCATTATCGATACGAATCATTAAATACATTTTCTTTTTCTTTTCAAGGTATTACTCAGTACTATGCATTTGTGCAAGAACGTCAAAAGGTCCATTGTTTAAATACATTATTTTCTAAAGTAAGATAATATTTATTTTTATTTCTATTATTGTAATTTATTTGTTTTTTTCTTATATTAACTTTAGTTACAAATCAATCAATCAATTATATTTTGTAATTCAACACAACGTGTTGAACTTTTAGCTAAAAAAATCACTGATCTTGGATATTCATGTTATTATATACATTCAAAAATGCGACAAGATCACCGTAATCGTGTCTTTCATGATTTTCGTACTGGTCTTTGTCGTAATCTTGTTTGTTCGGATTTATTTACTCGTGGTATTGATATTCAAGCTGTCAATGTTGTAATTAATTTTGACTTTCCTAAATTAAGTGAAACTTATTTGTAAGTTAGATGAAGAGAGAAAAAAAACTTCAAGTTCTTTCGAATTTTGTTTTTTAAATAGACATCGTATTGGTCGTTCAGGTCGTTTTGGTCACTATGGTATTGCAATAAGTTTAATAACATATGAAGATCGTTTTTCATTGCATAAAATTGAACAAGAATTAGGCACAGAAATTCAACCAATACCAAAACAAATTGATCCATCACTTTATGTTGCGGAATATCAAACTGGTGATGAAAATGTAGGTGAAAAGCAACAGGAAAATAGCGCTGGTGCTTCAACTAATAAGAACTCATAAATTAAAAAAAGATAAAGAACAACAAAGAACACAGTCGATGTTGTACAGTTTTTTTTCTTTTCTTTCCTTTCTGAATTTTTTTCTTTTGCCTCCGGTGCACCAATTGCATCTGTCATCGCCATTATAAACAACTATAAGAATCTTTTGGCTAAAACTTCTTCTTTTTGGTCTTCTCTTTAACTTCAAATCTTTTATTTCGTTGGTATTTTCTCCGTTGTCTTGTGTCTTGTTTATTTGTTCTTGATGTAAGATTTTTCTTTCCGCTTTTCTTTTTTCTGTTTTCTTTTTCGTTTTTTTACTCTCACAGCTGATATTCGACATGCGCTTAGATTTGTGAGATGATCATAATTTCTTTTCATTCATAAAAAGCAAAACAAATGATTGTGTTGTAACTTTCGCTTTCTTTTCTTGTCTTCTTTATCCTTTCGTTCTCTTTTTTTCCTATCCGTTTCTCTACACTATTTTTCATCACGATCTCATCTTTATTAGCCGAAAGAAAAAATAGTTTTGTGTTATATTTAATCTTTCGGGAAAATATCATTTTGTTCCGTTTTGCATTACCTTTCATTTTTTCCTTCTTCTATGTCCTCTATGTTTGTGTTCTAAGTCTTGATTGTCTTTTGTGTTCTATGTATTTTTTTCTCTGCACGCCAAACGAATATGTGTGTTACGTACCGGATGAGACAAAATTATGTATTTAAATACGTTTGTTTTTGTTTCCGCTATTGCATATGAAATATTTAACAAAAAGATTTTTTCAACGCGTGCACGCGTTTTAAAACTCTATTATCTATAAGACACACATCCACATATATATATATATATATATATATATAATATGTTATCTCATTCTCTCGGTTTTTGATACTTTAATGCGCATGTTTATGAATATTGTACGGTTTTTTGATGTTTGATATGAGAGAAGAGTGTTTTGTCAACTGTATCAGAAAATTTTTAAGCTTTGTCATCAAAAACAAAAGAAACAACATGAAAAAAAAATGAAAATAGAAATAGAAACAACAATAAATATATGAACATCCATCATGAAGATGATAACATCATAAATCAATCTTTTCTTTATTTTACTTGATGATTGTTTTTTATTCTTTACCTTTTAGAACATGACTGCTAAACCATTGTTTAATATTAGTATGTAATTAATTGTATTCATTTTGTGTCATATTAACAATTATTCTTAGATGAACCGGTATTTGCCTTGCACCAAGGAAAAACATACAAAGCTAAGGTTCGTATTCATCGTTTTCTTATTTGAAAAAGATCATAACTATTGTGGTTGATATCTCTTTATATCTAATAAAAGGTTTCATTTTAATAAAATTCTTCATCTTATTTCCCTTTTACCGGCAGAATGATAGTAACTAATTTCTAGCTCCGCGATGATTATGTTGATATTTCTTTTTCACTTTTGTTTAATGAAAAAAAAAATAGAAATACGATGATTATACTTTTCATGATAAACAATTATATGGGACTTATGGAAAGTTATGCAACCAGAAAAATTTACAATTTCTTTCACATATTTCTATCTAAAGATCTAATATATTTTTGTTGTTGCACTAATAAAGAAATATCTATTGGTTACATTGAGAGGAGAAATCTAATCAAGTATAGTATTGCAAGTAGGGGTGGACCATTTTTTTTAACGGAACTTAATTAATGACATTAATTAATGACTTCCATTAGCCATTAATCTTAATGCTTAATGTTTTCTAAGAAAAACTTAATTCATTAATATTAATGATTAATGAAAAACATTAACATTAATTTTAAAATTAATGTTTTCATTAATCATTAATATTAATGTCAATGTTCTTAAATGATATTAACGGTTAACGGAAACATTCACCATTAGTATGAATAGTAATGTTTTCGTTAATATTAGGGATTATACTTTCATTAATCATTAATATTAATGTTAATGTTTTCATTAAAATCAATGACTTAATATTAATGGTTAATGTTTTCATGAAAGCATTATAACTTTCCATATTAAGTAATTAACACTTTCGGAGAAAACATTAGCTATTAAGATCAGTTAATTGATTAATAATTGTAGATAATGTTTCCTTAGAAAAGCCTAATTCAGTAATATGGAAAAATTAATGTTTTCATGAAAACATTAACATTAATATTAATGATTAATGAAAATATAATCCCTAATATTAACGAAAACATTACTATTCATACTAATGGTGAATGTTTCCGTTAACCGTTAATATCATTTGAGAACATTGACATTAATATTAATGATTAATGAAAACATTAATTTTAAAATTAATGTTAATGTTTTTCATTAATCATTAATATTAATGAATTAAGTTTTTCTTAGAAAACATTAAGCATTAATATTAATGGTTAATGAGAAACATTAACATTAATATAAAATTAATGTTAATGACCCACCCCTAATTGCAAGTACTAACAATTAACTTAAAATAAAGACCTATAATAACCTTTCACGAGCTATGAAATAATAGCAGATGCTGTTTCTTAGTTAATAATACATGACATCTAATATTTGCTATTGACTCTTCTGAATTAGTATAGTCTGAGCTTATATTTACACAATACATCCGTGTCTTTTTATTCAACACATCCTAATAGTTTCATTCATCAACAACAACAGTAATTTCTTGACTACATTGTAATATGAATATTTTTCGTATTGATATACGTGAAAAAAATTCCTTTCTATGTGTGTATTCAAACTATGACAGAAACACCCGAAAAACATTGTTTAGTAAAAATAATTTTCTTGTCATATTATATCAAACATCTGTTTGTAAAAGAATAATTGTTTTAAAAAAAAACTAAAACAATTATGTTCATCAAAGTTTCGGTGAACGTATTAGAAATAGGTCATCGGATGCTTCAAAGAAACGTCTCTTATATATGCATTCATAATATAAACAATGCTTCATATTTCTTTAATACATCATTGTTCTTGAATTTATATCGAAAGTATCTGTTTTCGATGAAACTTATGTACATATATTTCTTAACGGATAATAATCAGCCTCTTTTTAAGCGTAAACGTTCTTGTTAGATGGTCTATTCACGCAACAGTTACTTCTAACGAATTGTATATTTTTCTTCAAAGATCAGATGTTATCGTTCAGAAAAATTAAAAGAGTTCAAAGATGATGTTAGATCTGACGTACGCGTAATGTTAATAATGATTAATACTATTGCTCGACTCTAAGATCTTATTAATGATGATTTCTCCATCTCAAAGTATAACAATTTAATTTGAATATCGATACAATATTGAAAACGCTTAAATTGATGTACTACTATAAATGTAGAGACTAATAATCTGTTACGATATATTTTTAAATATCTTATTGTATTTCATGTTGGAAAAATAAACAGTAATGAAACATATCTTTCAAGGTTTATAGGTGCAGTAGTAAAACTATCTTTAAAATCAGTTAAAATAAGTTTGAGATTATTTTCTAAATGGCACTAAATAATAAGAACGATAATGAAATTCTTTTATATTTAAAGGTTCTTGAATCAAAAATTGATGAAGAAACAAACGAATGGCAATATTTTATTCACTATGATGGTTGGAACAAGAAGTGAGTTTTCTCGGCAATTTTACTTGTCAATAAAAATTTCTTTCTTATAGGTGGGATACATGGGCTAAAACTGATGTACTGCAAAAACGAACAGAGAAAACAGAAGAATTATTCAATAAAATGAATGTTGCAGTGTAAAAACAAAATATTTTAGTGCCCTAATATATATCTATGATATTTTGATATTAAAATAGAAAAAAGAATGACTCAAAAAAGTCCGGTATCAATAAAACAGTTAGCAAACGTTCAACGATATCACAATGTGAGACAAGCTCACAAGCACAATTAAATGTAGCTGATGATAGTCAAGATTCATCATCAACAACAGCTACTTCAAGTAAATTATAGATATAATTTCTTTGAAAATTTATTGCATTTTCTTTTTAGAAGAGAATAGTAAACGAGTAAGAAAACGACAACGTACAGATTCAGTAGAAAAATTGAAAACATTTGAAAATAAAGTTGTCATTGAAATAAAACTATCTGATGAAATAAAAGCGTGTCTCTCGCGTGACTGGCATCTAATAAATAATGAACATAAAGTAAAAGTTCTTATGAATTAATCTAAGAAAAGAAAAAACGAGATGACCTTTATTAATTCTAGCTTTTGATTCTTCCTTGTCAACCAACTGTGGAGGAAATTGTCAATCTCTATCGTCAATCAAAATTAAATAAACAAAAATCAATGGAAGCGTAAGTAGTTTAGTTTCAAGAAATTCAATAAAGGTTATTTGGCAAACATAATTTTGTTCATAAGAATAAAAATTTCGATAGAGGCTTTGTTTCAAATAATTAACTTGAAAAACAAAACTAGCATATAACAACGAGGAATCACTTTATCTATATGTGCATTAGTTGACTGCTCAAGTATAGTTTTTCATTCCGAAAAATTATCTCTAACGTAAAACTTTAGATTAAGAAGTTCAGAAACAGCTCATAAAATCATTATTTTTTTAAATATCTAGCATAACAGAAGTATAGGAAATTATATTTCTATTCTATGATCAATGATTACGTCAGATTGATTCAGTTTTCTTGTTTTACTTTAGTGAGCAAACTCATCATTTTACTGAAAGTATTGTAACTTATTTTGACACGGCTTTATCAACCATGCTTTTATATGCTGTCGAACGGGCACAATATAAAGAGGTTAAAAATTGTTTTTGTTTTATGTTTTGTAACTAAATCGAATTATCTATTATTCTTTTAGATTCAAGAAAGTCATGGTATCGGTGATAAAATGCAGTCATCGAATGTTTATGGTATTCTACATTTATTGCGCTTAATGAGTTCGTATTTGATTATTAAAATTATTCAATATAATATGAGTATTTATTCTAGGCCAATTAGGATCAATATTAGCTTATTCATCATTGGAACAAGCTGAAGTTGATTTTTTACTTGTTCATATTGATGATTTTAATCGGTAATATCAAATAATTTTCGTTTTTTTTTCATGATAGAATCATTTTTTTGTTTTTGTTTCTAGATTTTTGGAAAAAAATATAAAAACGTGGCTTAATGATGACCATTATCAAAATGCCACTGATGGCACCAACCCAATAATTCAATGAACTTTACTGAATCAAAACATACAATTATATATGAAATTATATAATACATATATATATATATATATATATAGACTAAAATTCCGTTTCTATTGATTGCTCTCTTGTGTCTGCATATTGTGTACAGTTGTTATGTTCATCCGAAAAATCGGAAAGAGCATAAGACTTAAATTTATCTGCGTTTGTGTGTTATTGTATATATCAAAGGTATGTGTATTTGTACGAAAAAGATTTAAGTTGTGTAATCAACCATAATACATTACATATTAGTATTTTTCTTCTTGTGATTCTGTTTCGTTCTTCTTTTTACTGGCACCAAGTTCAAATGGAGGTCATCATTGCAATGCACATGGAATTATCCATTTTCCTTTTTTTTTTCTTCTTGTTCGTCTTTGGGTTCACACTCTACGCTGGATGAATGGGTAAGAAGAAAGAGAAAAAGCAAGAAAAAAGGTCCAATGTAGTAGCATTAATTCTATTGATGAGCATCATTACCATTAGTATAAAGAAGAATAGAAAAGTCTAATGGTTGGATAAAAATCTTGAAGCATTACTATTACAGAACTCTCTTAATAGAATGCCACTCTTTCGTCACTTTTTATTTGATTATCAGTTAACTTTTTTTTTTCGTTTTGTTGATTTCTCAACAAGATGAAAGACTACGAGCAATATTTTGAAGTGATATTATTCGCCTAAACAAGCATCGACTGACGTAAGTTGTGTGTGTTTACTGAACAATAAAATAATAAGTATGACACAGCAAGATACTCCATCAATGTATACGCTTATCAAACAGACTTCTTAGCCTGTGGTGATGGATTGATAGATGCTTGCTTCATATACTAGCATGAAGACAATACATAATAATTGACATACACCACATATGCCACTCAATTTCCCCAGGAAAGAAAAGGAATCATTTGGTTTCTTTTTTCTTCGTTTACCATTTCCAATAGATATTACGATTCTTTATCGTTATGGAAGTCGAGTTCATTTGCTATTTATCAAACAAAACAAACAGTATGTAAAAGAGAAATATTTTGCCATTTTTCTATTGATTATGAAATAATAATATAGCTAGAATTAGATAAGTACATTGAAAAATCGACTAATATTTGAGACAAATATATTGCTTACTTTTACCATTCGTTGTTTTTAATTGATAAAATCAATGTTGAATGATTGAACCGATTTCTTTCAGGATGCATCGATTTATGTATGCAAACATGTTAAACAAATAGCTATGCTTCAATTCGTCTTGAGGTTTATTCACAAATTTTATAAGCGTCTTAAAATACATATATCCAACCATGTTATATTATAATACAATTAATATTTTTAGATTAAAATAGAAGAAATGAAGACCTTAAAGTAAACATCGATAGAGAATTCTCAAAAGAACATCTTATTCGTCTGAAAGATTATAATTTTTGGGCTAGAGTCTAATGCGATTATAATAAGATTGAGTGATATACGTTTGAGAAGTTGTTTTTTTATAAATAAATTTATTCAGATAATATAAATAATTATTTTCTTATTTTGATGACCATCCATTTACTATTACTGTCTTTTTCCTGAATTTTCTTAACGTTACTCTTTCAATATATTTTGTACGTAGTTTAAAACGATAGTTATTACATCTCTGATTTTAACTTTCCCTTTTATATCTGTAACTAAATATAAATGAATCAATTCACACAAGAAGTTTTCTTTTTCTTCTTCATTTGTTCATCGAGCACATATGTATTTCACCTAATATTCATCGGTTTATTTATCTTACATAATCGTCATAATTGAAATCAGTAAGTAAAGAAAAAAAGTAAAATCACTATTTTAAGTAATAAAATTATTTCTTACTAAATTTTGATCTCTAAGAATTTAAATAACAGCGCACTCTATCAAAAGCATTTACTATTTCTTATTGTCCCATACGACTTTATCCTCTAGTGTGATTGGTGGACATTATAGAAGAAGTTGTACCATTGTGTCAAGCGTCACAGAGACGTTTATTAGGTTGTTTTAGTCGTCTTTTGAAATCTCTTGAATGTGTGCACGTGGCATTTGAACGGAAATTTTTGTTGTATACTACATATACGATTGGTGCATGTGTTATATATCTGATGTATATATATATATATACCATTAATGTTGCTATCATCTCTTTCCACTAGCCAGTCTTTTCTTTTCTTTTTTTGTATTTTCTTCTTGTTAGACTTGACGTCTAACTTTGAACGAGAAACAAAATGAAATAGAATTTTATTCGTATCATTTATTCTTGTAGTTTTTAGATTTATTAACTTTTGAACAAAAAAATATGAATCATTTTGTCCGTTTACTATTACTTTTTACGCCATCATTAGCTGCACTTGGTTTACTTGGAATAGCATTCGCTACAAATTGGTGGACAATACCTTTAGAAAGAGTAAACGTTTAATTTTGCTTGTTTTTCTTTTGTAATTTACTGTTTGCTCATATTTAGAATATTCCTACTGAAGATTCTTTAAAACAATCATCGAACGATGAACGAATCTATTCAACATTGATTCGTATACCTCTTTCACGTGGTTTATTAACTGAATGTGTTGCATATCGAAATGTAAAAGTATTAATATCGAGTGCATACGATTTTCGACCTGAACTATCTCGCGACCAAGCTGCTAAATTAGCACATGAAAATTGTACAGTTAATCAGTTTACTTGTGAAACTGGTTTTTCTATTGTACGTCCATTGACACGTTGTATTGATCGTCGACAAAAATGTAATCGTATTGTTGATTGTGAAGATAAAAGTGATGAAATATCTTGTGCTGAAAATCCCAATGCACATAATAATGAATTTTTCAATTGTCCAACTGGTTATAGTAAATGTCAGGATGGAAAATCATGTTATCGAAAAGCTGAACAAACATGTGGTACGTAGAAAATTGACTCTTTAAATGTTTATATTTGGTATATATATATATATTTTGTTTGATTTCTTATTGTAGACGGAGTTTTTAATTGTATGGACAAATCTGATGAGCAAAATTGTAATGATGAAAAATGTCAACAAAATAAACATGTTTATTGTCCTCGAGAAGGCACATGTGCACGAAAAGAAAACTCGAAACGGTATCATTCGCTGACTTACTGAATTTATAACATTATGCTTCTTTTTTGTTCTGCTACATTTTCAAGATGCGATGGAATCGTTGATTGTGCTGATAATTCTGATGAAGAAAATTGTTCACAATGTACTTCAGGATCATCAGGTTTTCCATGTGATTCAAAATGTAAGTTTACTTATTAATGCAAAACTACTAACTTTGAAAAACAACTATTGCAGGCTTCCCTGTTGAATCTAAATGTGACGGTGTTGTTCACTGTTCGGATCTTAGTGATGAAATTGATTGTAAAGAATATACGACAACATCAAATTATCAAAAGAAAATCTATGACAACAATCAATATTGTATGGAACAACGTTTCGATCCGTTTCGATTTACTCCACCAAATGATTCATTGATAGAATCATATTCAAATCCAACGAAACGTATGTCATATGTTCATTTAGATTACTGGTTACATCTGATAGTTGTTTATGGTATTATTGGTGGATTAATATTTCTTTTATTTGCTGTCTTATCGTTGTTCTTCTTTGGCTGTTGTCGTCGTCATTGTATATGTGTACCATTTTATTTCTACGGTTTTGGGATGTTATTAGCATGGTTACTCATATCAATAGCTTTAATTTCGTTTGTATTAATATGGTTATTTCAAAAGCAAAATATATTAGATGATGAAACAACTTTACCATTGGAAATAATGATACATGAAAGAAATCCAATGCTAAGACATGTTGAATTTTTTGGCCTAAGTTTTTGGTTAGCATGTGGAGCTGCATTAGCAACATTCATTGGTTTATTATTATCATATTGTGTTTGTTGTACACTTGGTTCGGCACGAGCCGATGATAAAGAATATGAAATAATGCAAATGCATAATTATTAGAAATATAGAAAAGAAAAAAATCAAAAGACTTTTTCGCGTCTAATTGTTGGTGTTGTTCATTGTTATGTAGAGTAGGGTGAGAAAAATATTTGCTCTTACTGTTTTATTATAAAATCACTTTGTAGCGAAGCTCAACTTCAACGCGTTTTACTTTTTCTTTTGTTCTCTCTTGCTCTAGTCATGTATATGTGGTTATTGTTGTTGGCGTGCATGTCTCTATCCGTTTATTATGTATTCTATGTATAAATTTCTTACTTCTACTTTATATAAACAATTAGCGAAGAAAACCACGAACAACTTGTATGTTTATATTAAAATGATATTCTTGTTCTTTTGACGTGTATATTAAATAAGCTTAGATGTTTCGAAATGTAAAACTACAATGGTACGAGCGTTTAATCAACATTTTAAAAATATCATCATATTTATCTGGAAGAATATTTCTCTAAACTGTAAGACACAGAATTATGTTGATAGATTCTTAGAAGGTCAACGATGACGTACAGATTCAATATGATCCAGATATAGAACCAATGCGAAAGCTCCAATTTAAGTCGACTGCTATAAAGAATTAATTATGATTCCTGAGTTGGCATCACCAAAATCTACATTCTTTTTCTGCGTCAAATTTTAGAATCCTTCAATAGATTGAAAATAGAACCATAGTAATCACTAGAACTTGACCAGTGCACTATTCCGATTTGTTTGTTTCGCGAGGCGGAAACAAAACGTATAGTAAATAGCGCAACATTAGTAATTCTCATAGGGCGAAAGTTTTTTCGGAAGGATGTGGCTTGTTCCTACGCTAAATTAGACACTGGGCTTGAGTATTATAAGAAGAATTTTGTTCCGTTACCGTTCTGATTTGTTTTTTTTATCTTACTAAAAGATTCAGATTTTATATAATACTAAAAAATGATCATGTCTATATTTACAAGTTTATTGCTTATAATAATTACAATTAAACTAAGAAATGCCTGTCCATGCGTCGACTAACAGGATACCAAAAACTAAAAAGCTGTTTGACAGGTCTAAACACTGCTGAAAGCTCGAAAACTTGGCAACGTCAATAGAAACTGACTTTTTGTACAACAGGAATACAAACAATAATTAGAATAGTAAATTTGTCATGGAAAGAGATCGATCAATGCTCGAAAAACTTACGACAAATAGAAAATGAGCTTTATAAGAGTGCAAATTTTTTTTCTTTCATGCTTAGGGGTAAACGAAGAAATTACTGTTGAGCCGAGTAAAACTAGTTCTAACTTATTTGATTTGATTTCGTGTCAATCTCTCTTTGATATATTGTAATAACTGGTGACTTTTGTTTTCTACATTTATCAATAAAATTAAACGAATATTCAACTACAAACAGAATTTTTTTTAAGATTCATATCTATGTCGTTCTTTACTGGACAGAATTAGTTAATCTAGTATCTTTTGTATCGACATATAAAATATGAAACAGATCTAACAGACAGATTCGCTTGTTGTATATATTTATCATTTTATCTTCAAACGTCTTATTCAATAGTTTGTTAAGTTGAGCTAAATGTGTATATGAAATATGCCAAGTAAACCATAGTACATTGTAATAATTTCTAAAGATTCTGTCATAATGATTTAAATTCTGTATAAATAAGAATGACTCGAATATTAGAATTTAATTAAATACTTTGGTATGAAAGCTTAACAAAATGATATAGTTATCTGGTTAAAAAAATTTTCGATTCCAGAAGTGCAAGATTAATTTCTTGTACAAAACTGAGAGTATTTAGCAAACAATCAGAAAAATAGTACTTAATTTGATATAATGTTTTCATCAATTTGTTTCTAATGTTATCTATTATTAAAAAAAATAGTCTATCCTTGTTAACACTTTCGAATCTTAGACGCTAATTGCATGTATAACCATAAATAGAACGAACCGAATACTGTTATATTTCACATCATTTTTTTTTCTAGTCATTTGGTAGATTCTGCATCAATCTATTGTTTTATTTTTTCCTTTTTCTTTTGATGATTGATTCAACTTAATAGTTTTTGATTGCACTTTCCATTTTCATTGAGATGTAAATGTATTAGAAATGTTTCCTTCGAGATTTTTTTCATGTTAGCAATAATTTGCGTTGCATATGGTAAATTATAATTCATATATTATTGATATGATATTCAATATTTTTTAAAAGCTGTCTAATTCAAAAGTTGATTATACATAGATCCGCCCGTATTATTCGGTTTCATCTTTTTTTTTCTCAGAAATAAAATACAAAATCACAAAAAAAATTCATAAAACATAAGTTCATACAAGAAATCTCTTATTGAATTGAGTTTAGTTGAAAGACATAAATGTCTGCATGAAATAAAACATTAAATACTCATAAAATCATACAAACTTTCGTCGACTGTGGACCATGGCCATTTATATCTGCTGATTGACGTTTAGGAGTGTTATTTACACTTCGCTTGGGTTTTGCACTTGTTTCTCCACAGGAAACACTATTTGCTTTTCCAAATGAATCTCTTCTTCCACCGGGTTCACCACTAACTGACATTGAACGACCCCATGAAGTTGATAAATCTTCATTAATAGTTTTACCATAAAAGTCATCACGTTCAATTGGATTGGATTGTTTTTGTAATCGATGTAAAATAATACGATACGTACCATTGATACTATCACGATTGGAAAGAAATTTATTGTTAGAATTTTTCGTCGTTGTTTGTAATAATTCGCTTGTTATACCCAAATCTTCTAATTTTGAATGAGCTTCATGTTCAAATGATGATGTTGATGGTATGGAGTCAGGTGTACTATTTATACTTTGACTTTGGCTTAAATCTTTATTTACAGATGTCCAAAAATTTGTTAAATTTAATGGTAGAGGTTCAAGTTCATTAGGGAAATTTTGATTGCTAAGCCATGAACATGCACGTATCTGTTCTATTGACCAACGTTGAATAGCTTCAGGATGAAGAAGGCCGCCTAGAAATATTAAAATATAGCATTATCCAATTCTATTCATAATTAAATTTATTTAGATTAAGTTTTATTAATATTTTCTAAACTGTAGTAAATCTACATTCTTCTATGAATCGAAGACATTTGCCTATGAGGTGATTTAGTTTTAAAGAAGAGAAAAAAAAGGCCATTTTCATGCACGAGTTATCTACTATGCCACTGCAACTAGTTCTTTCAATGTTCTAAAGATGATAATAAACTTTTGAATTTCTATCAGAAAAAAGTTCACTTGATATTCCTAGGAATTATGCAAAGAGAAGTATAATGGTAGCCGCTATATCAAACTTTCAGTGTTTTAAACATGGATATTTAGCAGTTTAATTTATCGCTTGTTTGTTCGTTATTTTGCGAAGATTTTATCCGTGCGATCAGACAATTTTCTTATACAAATATATGTTTTAGCATGATATCAAAAGGAAGCTTTATTCTCTAATTACTTTTAAGATCTTTTTCGACAAATAAAAAAATACAATACATATGAATTCATAGTTTTATAATAACCGGAATGGCATAGAAAGTTTCCTTTTTTATTGCCTCATTTATTACCCTGGATAAAAGAAAAATGATATATCATGCATTATACTTCTAAAGTGCGTATCCTGGTACTTTTAAAAATAAAAGCAAGTGCAGCATGAGTCATGCTGCATGACTAGAAATAGAGTTTGAATATTTAATCAAGATTTTTAATCCACTCACAAATAAGTTATTCATTTCAAAATCAGCAATATATGACATTTTTTTGAAGAAGAAGAAGACAAATGATTGATTTATCCTATTCAGAGCGGCAAGGTAAAAATATCAAGTAAAAATGTTATTACCTATCTTCATGAACACTATGTAATTGTTCTTTTCGATAAATATTAGATTCATCATATTTTTCTTATAAAATGAAAAAAACCATAAAAACATGAATAATAAATTTCGATAAGGAAAATATGGTTACTTTCATGAGAAATACTTCATGTTATGTATTGATAGAAAGGACAGACAAGCTTAAGAAGATATGGTGCCTAAAGACTTATAATTATAAGTATGCCTTATGAAACCGATTTACTGATAAATTAAATCTTACATAGAAGTACAAGATTAAAACTGCATTTATATTTAATTTAAAATATTTGCCTGCATGCTTAACAATAATCTCATGGGACGGTTTCAAAGTATAAGAAAAGCAGTATCATTTTAATCATAATCTTACTGGTGAAACCATATTTGCAATATTGAATAGCAAGGTATGTAAGACAAGAAAATGACTTTGCATTTAATTTAATGATTTCTTTTTAGTTGTCAACAGTCTCTTTATCAATTGTAGAGATTTTAATTGAATCCATTAGAAACATACGTAACTTGAAATAACAATAAATTCCGAATTATATAATCGAAAGAAAATTTTTACTTTCATCTAATACAAACTATTATTTTTTTTACCAGTAAATCAATAGAAGAAGAAAAAACTATTTGAAAATACTTACGAATAAGTTGTCGACATTCATCTGATACATGTGCTGGTATTGAATAATGCCCTTCGAGGATAGATTTTTTTAATTTACCAACATTGTCTGCTCGAAATGGCATTAAACCAGTAACCATAAAATAGAGTAAAATGCCCATAGCCCATAGGTCTACATATATTCCAATATAATTTTCATCACGAAATAATTCTGGTGCTGCATAAGGCGGACTACCACAAAATGTTGTTAATGTTTGATTTTTTTCTGAAAACGTACTAAAACCAAAATCACCCAATTTTATTAAACGTTCTTTGGCAAAAAATACATTTTCACTTTTAATATCACGATGAATAATACCTGTTCTATGCTGAAACAATGAAATAAAATATTCATCAATAAATATTGGTTTCGTTTCTTAATGAAATTGTTTTATTACCACATGATCCACAGCTGCAGTTATTTGAGCAAATATAGTTCTAGCTTCATCTTCAATAAATTTTCCTTCTTTATTGATACGTGTATAAAGCTCTCCACCGGGTGCATATTCGTTAGCAATATAAATTTCAGTTGGTGTTTCAATAACTTCATATAAACGTATAATATTTGGATGATGTAAACGTTCCATTGAAGTTATTTCACGAAGAAGTAAACGTTGAGTACGTTCATCAAGTTTAGTTTTGTCCAGAATTTTTATTGCTACTTTCTCTATACAATTAACATTAAAAATTAAATAAACAGATTTTTTTTCTATTCGTTGTCGATAATGATAGAATATTTACTGCATAGAAAATTTTTGAAAAATAGAACTTCTTTGGGTGACGCCATCTCTTTTTATGTACTCAACAAATAATGTATTTACTAGAAACATAATAATATGAATATCATGATTTTCTCATTTGATATTCAACGCTAAAAGCATGAACAAAAGATTTCATATATTCTAAATATAATTATACATTTGAACACAATATTTTTTGCAATGCATTTAAATATGATTAAAAGTTGTTCAACAAAGTCTTCTATTTCTTTCTTACAATACATTGCAGATTTATAATTATTTGTAAAATATTTGATAAAACATAGTGATGATGATGTTTAACAGAAATATTATTAAACTGATATGTGGAATATATAGATTGTTCAAATCATAGATATCCTTCAAATGCTAACAAGTGTGTTCAAGTCAAATCATGCAAGCAAAATTATGAGTCACAAGAACAAGAACAAGAACACAACAACAGAGAAGTGCAGTGAAATGGAAAATCAATGTAAATAAACCAGCATTTTTAACTTATTTTTATTTCTCTCCAATTTTTTCTTGACTCCTATCAACATTTACAGCCAGTCTCGTAATAAATTCTGTTCTTCATTTACTGAAAAGACAAGTGACGGGCGGATATTCCTTATATAATATGTTAATTATTAATTTATTCATTCTTTACCTTTAGCTAATAGATGTACACCAAGTTTAACACGAGAAAAATTTCCCAAACCAATATCGCCTCGAATACGATAAAAACCAATACGACGACCAGCTTTTTCTTCTGCTTTAAAACGCATGTCATATTGTGAATCATGTAGAAGTTTTTCATAAGCCGTTAAACGTTTTTTTTCGTCTTTATTAGCGAAGGATACACTAAGAGCTGCTGCTGATGGCATACTGTTTGATGACGAGAATTCATCGCTAATAATAGTATCGGTTCTATTTATTTTAACTTTATTGGTATTTTGTGTTGGCGCAGAAATAGAATTAATATGATGACGAGTTTGATTCAATGATGTACGACGGGATCTATTATTTGTTTCAACTGTAGAAATTGATGTGGAGGGTGGTGATAATGTCACATTCTCTTTAGTATTCATCATGACTAAATGCTTTAAAGAGGCCTCCGTCTTTTCTTACATCTAAAAAGAGTAATTATAGAATAGAAAGGTTAATAATTATGGCACGACAAATGAATAAAGCGATGACATACACAATAAAAAGAAGACAGAAAAAGAAAAAGAAAGCAAGTTGTCATACATAAAAGTGTCGTTATTTATAAGAGAATATCAGTAAATGAGCAAGTATCGACAACTATCTTTTATTGGGATAAAAATACTGAAGAAAACAGCTTTGATAAGGAATGAGGAAAATGCATTAATTGAATTTTGACTAGATAAAATGAGAGGTTTCAATAAGCGATCAATCTCATATAACAGACAGAGAGGCAGACAGACACACCTCGATAAATGGAAACAAGAGAACAAGACTTACATAAAACCAAAGAAGACTCACAAAGAAGCATTATTTTTCAGTACTAAAAGATTTTTAAGATGAATAAGAAAGGATGACAGAATTAATTCATCGTTTCTTTTTTTCCTTTTCATTTTTTTTTCTGATCCTTCTTTTTTTATTATAATCACGTTATTGTTCGAGTTTCATTCGAGACATCTGCTTATTATTAAAAAAAGACGTCAGATTAATGGTTCTATCAGTGAACTTATTTCAAGAATAGAAAAAGAAAATACTCGGCAAGAATTGAGAAGGAAAAACACGCATATATATATATATGCATGCCTTCTACGACTTTATGTACTTAATAAACTAGTTATTAAAAATATCTTCAACAATAAAAATAGAAGCAGAACAAAAACACTTCAGAGTGCTTCATTTAATCAAATAATGTAAACATATATTGACAACAAATATGATACATGAAAAAAGTTTCGTTAATAAGTATGCTTGAAAAAGTACAGGTAATTTGATAGATAGCAGACTTTCATGTTATTTTAACTGGAAGCAAAACGTTTACGAGAAGAAAAAAAGTCTGTCTCTTTTCCTTGGCTTACTCTTTTCCTTTCTACAGGCTCACATTTGTTCTAAACAACATGTTCATATCTATGCAGATATGTAAGCATCCGCATTGACGAGAAAAAGAGAGAAGTGACAACAACGGCAATTCCTGCTTTTTTTCTCTTCCTGTTTCATTCTTTATCCCTATTATTACTATGCACTGTTTTCTCCTAATTATTGCTTAGCAACTCCCTTATGGCTAAATGCATTAATGCATTACAATACATCGTATGCATTTTTCGCTCTTTCATAATCATTAGAATTAAGAGAAAAATTTATTTTGTAAAATTTTTTAAATCATAAGTAGTGAAATACAAAATAATTGAGTACAGATTGAATTGAGAAAATAACGACGAATGATCAATCATAGAACGATTGAATTGGTGTTTACTATTTATTTCTGTTTTCTTTTTGTCGAACACACTTTATTTTAGCTGTTATACTATTTTCAATTCGAATAATTTCATCTAGAGTTTGTCTTTTTTTTTTTAATTTAAAGATCAGTATATATAAAAATGAAACGTAATCGATTTGTCTCATCATCACGTCGAAAAGCCCGCAAACGTTATTTTACTGCACCATCACATATTCGTCGTCGTTTAATGAGTGCGCCATTAAATAAAGAATTACGACGACGATACAACGTTCGCAGTCTACCTCTTCGTAAAGATGATGAAGTGGCGGTTCGTATTCTGTTTTTTTGAAATAAACTATTAGAAAAAAAACGGTTTTATTTTAAACAGATTACACGTGGTCATTTCAAAGGTCAACCATCAGGTAAAGTAACACAGGTATACCGAAAGAAGTTTGTTGTTCACATCGAACGAATTACACGTGAAAAAGCCAATGGTAATACTGTTCATATTGGTATTCATCCATCAAAGGTAAATGAAAATACATTACGATAGTGGTACAATTACAATTTATTTTTGTATATTTCAGGTTCAAATAACCAAATTGAAATTAGATCGTGACCGTAAACGTATTTTGGATCGTCGTTCAAAATCGAAATTGGCTGCCAAAGGCAAACATACTGAAGAAAGTATTCAACAAACAACAACACCAATGGAAACAACATCTTAAACAAAGAGAAAAAAAGATCATTCTATTCAAGTTGTTTGTTTTTTCTTTTGTTTTGTATTTGTATGTGCAACCAGAGAAACAAATCACAAGCAGCACAACAGAATAAAAAGAAGAAGAGATAATTCTTAATAAAAAAAAATAGGAAAAAAAACAGGCTTCTTTTATTTTCAGTCAAATAAAATTTTCCTGGAATTGTTTTCTTCAATCGTTATTGAAGTATATTTTTACTATTAACAAAACTAGCATGTTTTGCAAAATGTTAGTGAAACGAATAGAGATGCGCTGCAAATCTAATTAGCCCCTTTTCGGTTTGAAGTGATTACTTTGCGTGTGATTGATATGTGCTCACAAAAGAAGATGTGCGTCTTTTTTAGAAGATGAAATCTGGATCAAGCACTGGCCCCAAAGAAATAATGGTAAAAAGAGTAATCTAACCATAAATACACTTACCCTTTTCGAAGTAAAAATACATAGCAAACGTTGTTCTGCGGTTAGCAAAGATCTAGCAAGAATTGATTTAATGAAATAAATATTTGCAGATTTATTTGTTTACTACTGCTATTTGTCAGAAAACATGATTATTAGGGTGATGTCTTTACAATACAACAACCAGTAATGTGAGTCATTCGTTATTTCTAAGATCAAAATCAACAGACATTGTTCTAGTAGAAAGAATTGCAAAAAAATGATCTTCTTAATCTGAGATTTTCATACAAAATCCGTCAAAGAAGAAAATCAAATAAACTTTTAATTTTTAACCTCGACAGCAATCATATATTGAAGTGTATATCGTATGGAATCAAGCAGATACGTTGGTGAAATTTAAAAAAAACGTAGTGCTATTCTAGCTTAACTGAATACTGGGATATACTTAAAAATGAAGAAAAAGAAACGAAGCAATACATATATATATATATATATATATATANACCTCCGAGATCTACACATGACGGTTTAGAAGATAGTTTTAAATCGGTAGGTAGTTTAAAATGACATGAAACACTACATAATCTGTATTGTTTACAAAATGATTGATTCCCATAAAAAAGAAAGTACTGTTGGTTGTAACTTGGTCAATAAAAGTATGCTTTGATTTTGAACATAAAAGGTGGAAACCATTGAAAATTCGTCAACAAAACTGAATGGATCTTTCCAAAAACGAAGCGGATCCTAAAATAGACAAAACTTGATTAAAATCTGAAATACCCATCATAGACGTACATGAAGTTCATTGCAAGAACGCTAAAATAGTTCATCAAAATGATTAATTTTCTATTATCTAACTTTGGATATACTCAAAGAATCCGATAAACTTACAGGTAAACTAGTATAATTATGTGATCATACTATAATTATAGAGTTACTTTGAAATAACTTTCGGATGCTTATTGGCCATTCTAAAATAGTTCATAATATCGGTCATGACTCATTTGTACTAACATGAAAACAAAATTTCGATAGGCTTCATGTTACCTTATTATCTTCAGCTTTGACTATAGTATCAGCCCTGTCTCTAGCTCTTGCTGAAACAAGTGAAGATAGAGTTCGTAATTATTTTTCGCCTTTATATAGAATAAACTATTTATAGAATATTTATAATAATAAGTCGACTTTTCGACTACGAATTTTACATGAAAAAATCATTAATCAGCTATTCAGCATAGACAGATGAAAATTTGATTGTTACCATAGCACAGCATTTTGTCAGATATCAGATTCTCAATCTAAGTTTATTTATAGTTAAACATCGACTTAATCTATCTCAAAGTTTACATCAGAATAAAATAAACTTGAAAAACATTGAGAATTTCAATCAAAAAGATGATCTTAGTGGACTATGGTTGAAGATTCTGAGAGTCATATAAAAATCGGTTTTTTGTTTACAACTGTTGACCGACTGAAGCATAATGAGGCTACATAAAGTGTAATAAAAAGAAGCTTTTGAACAGAAATTTATTAGCAAATAATACAATCGAACAACAAGTGCAAAATAGCTAAAAGCAAAGAAATAGCATCATACATTGACAAGACACGCAATAGTTGCATCGTAATATTCGGTGGTAATTGTTATTATGAAACCTAATCGGACTTCACAGCAAATCATTAAAATTGGGGTTGTCCAACAATCGATGAATACACCAAATATATAATACACGTTAAATAAGTTATTCTGACTAATAGATTTATATGACTTTCACGATCATAAAATTTCTCGAAATATACGTAGACAAGGTAACGTTTATATAGTTCTTAATTTTTACTTATTATTGAAAAACATAATGATAGCCGATCATTATACATCTTTTGCAGAGCTATTGATATACTATAACTTCTTTTTGCAGAGAACAAACCTATTAATAATGCAAAAAATGAGTATGTCTTGAAAGATAGTCAAAACGAGTAAGATTTCATTCTGTTTGTTTGATAACAAAAAATGTATTTCATAGAAAAAAAAACTCATTAGTACGATCACTCAAAATAATCATTACTAGTGTCGAACAAAATCAAATTTTTCTGATAAATGTTACTCATTTCGCTTTCTTTTATTGCCCATTTTCATTTGTGACACCATTTTCTTCAGGCGAAAAGGCTTGACAAGTTTTGTTTTACATTGAGCAAAACCTCTGTCGTATGTCTATTTGATTGCTTGTATGAAAAACAAAACGCGTAGAAAATCTAGTTCTTGTTAATAAAAAGTAATTTTATATCGAATTTCATGTACTCTGGCGTATTCTAGCAAAACAAAAATAAATGCAAATATTACATGGGGTGTCACAATATTGATATTACCTTCAAAACTGTCTTATGATTTTATGTCTTACAGCATAAATTGACATGGATGAATAGTTTTTTAAAACTTTTTTCAAGATATTACAACTACAGAAAATATTCTCATTGATATCACTACGTAGTTTTCCATTTCTTAGAAAAATTTCTTGTAGAACTAATCGATACTGCCCTCTATGGATAGTTAAATTCTCTATTGGTTTTATATTTCTTGAGTAAGACGCATTGAGTAAATAAGGAAAGAAGAAAATAATAAACGTATCTGCTTTATCATTTCATACACAGCTTCATCGTTTGACTAAATCAAAAATCTTTTTTTCTTCTGAAGATCATCATGCTTTCTCTATTGTTCATTATCATTCCATTACTAAGTTCAAATCAAGTATTTTCTTCGCCCGTTCTCCTGTGGAGCAATTCGTAGGTCTTTTTTTATTTGTTTACATTTTAATCTATATTTGTTTTTAAATTTCAAACAGAAATCTTCCTCGAACAGATTTACCTCTTTCAAAATTGTCGTCCATTTATGTTATGTCAAATTATGTTTGCAAAATTGACACTCAAAATGTTCAAGTTCGCTTATTTGCTGTTAATGGAGTAAGTCACAAAAAAAACAAGATAAGAAAAGAGAAAAAGATAAAATGTTTATTTTCCAGCTGACTAATGAAGATATTCAACGAGTGTTAAAAGACGAACATCAACTTCTACTTGATGCCAATGTATAATAAACAGCTTGCATATAATATTTACATAGAATTTGTTTTGCTTTCAGAATGAAAAAAGTCAATATCGTTATTTTCCTAATGTTGCTGATGACATATACACAGCATTTTCATTGATTCCTGGATCAAATAATATGCAATGTTCACATATTCGTTTTGAAATCACATCATCGAATAAATATAATAAATTAGAAGATGGTTTGTCTAGATTCTAACAGAGAGAGAGAGAGAGAGAGATTATTTTCTTTTCAATCTTGTTTAGCATTGAATGAAATGCAGTCAACAGTCGTTACTATTGGCACCAATGCAGAAACGGTTATCGTCATGGCATTAGTTGGTGACTCAGTTGTTGATCAAAGTGTGGTAAGAATGATTATGATATAAAAACAAATCTCTAAAAGTATCTTAAATCAGTTAGAACATAAAATGCCTGTTTTATTTTTCTTAAGTAGAAACATAAATTTTTATTTGAAAAGTAATCATCTTCATTATTTTGTTTTTGAAATGATGCATCTGTGAATATGTACCTTCCATAGAAAACTTGAAATTGTGTTTTGAAACTGTTAGTTATTCTCATCTATACGAGATTACTGCTTAAATTTCAGAAAGTTTGGCGTGATACAATTTGGTATCAAGATTCGTTGTCACATCCGACGGAGAATCTTTCATTGTTTAGTATTCGAGATTTTAAGTTAGAGCTAACTGCTCTCAATCTGTTCTGTAGATTTCTAAGCGCATAAACTCACATGAAAAAAAAATCGAAATTCCATATGTGGGCTAATCGTTTTATCGAAATATTTACGATGAGCAAGATGTGCCTGAAATAAATGATTCAGTATACAATTTTGTCTATGATTAGAATTGTCCATCCGATTGTCAACTAAAAATGATTATTCTATTTTTGTCTTGTCAGCCCTTTTTGTTTTTTTTCTATTGAATATCTCGATGTGTGAATAGTTGCTTCTGATCCTTGATTACTTTATCACTGTTCATTTGTAGTATACACATAATTGTAGATCAAACATTTTGTTTTTTGGGTAAAAATTTGAATAAAATAACAGTCACGCTTCGTAAGTAAGTTATGCACACGATTTGTCTCCGAGTTTCTTAGTTTTAAAGAAACCTTTTGATAAATATCAAATGAAGTTGAGTTGTTTCTACCAGTCAAATGCATTTCTTCATTAAATAAAGAATCATGTGTGCTCGTAAAATCTATGATGAAATCTTATCTCTTTCTTTTTTGTAAACTTGAGAGAACCTTCAAGTACGATAAATAGCCTTTTCTTCTCAATATCTTCCTGTTTTCAATAATAACATGTTTAAGTCTATCGCCTACTGAAAGTCACTCGATTTTTTCCGATGTAATCAAATTTCAACAAAACCGTAATGACTCTTTCAATTTTGTTCTGTTTAGGTTCGTCGACGTCGAGCTATTGAAGTTACTGAGAATGATGTTCTGGTATCTGAAGATCAAAGTTGTATGTTTTATGCTGACAAATTATATTGGGGAGATGTTAGCGGGCAACAATATTCCACTGGAAACTTTACACTTGATTTACATAATAGTTCATGTACACCAAGTCAAATAGTGACTCCAAGTGGAAATATTACTTCAGTTGTGTATGTCTTTTTTCTTGAAAGAGAACACTTGAAAATATTTATCTTGCCGTTGTTTTCAGTCTTAATTTATACTGGAATAATGGAACTAGCGATATCGTATCAATGACGTATGTTACTAGTAAAATGTTTTTATGTGTGCAGAAGCAAAATTCTTATGTTTAGTTTAATGGCAAATATAACTGGTCGTTATTGGTATTTAGAAAAAGCAATAGTCAACGGTTCTGAATATCGTTATTTTGCTTATGGTATGCATAGTCTAATGGATACGCCACCAACGTATTCATACGTGTGTAAAACAGCAGTATTTGTCAAATATAATTCTTCGGTGAAATATGGTACATATGATTTTAAAGATAAATTCTTCTTAACCAATTTACAAGTAAAATAAACATTAGAATAAATATTGAATACGAACTTTTGTTTCATTTATTTTAAAGTTTCAACCATTCTTTGGAAATGGTTCATATTTTGGTCCACCAAATTATTGTACATCATTTTTTACCAGTGGCATATGGATGGGTATAACATCAAGTTTACTTTGTTTAGGTATTTTACTATTTGGTGTTTACCGTATGATGAGTATTAAATCGAATGATCGGTTTGATGATCCAAAAGGAAAGCCCTTAATTATCAAAGCACAAGAATAAATTATTTCATTTCTTTTTCTGTTCGAATTATTTGTGCAATAGAGATTTTATTGATATTTATTCGATTATTTAATTAATCTTTTATATTTTCTTTTCCGTTGTATTGTGATGATAAGTATTTAAACAAAATTGGTGTTTTCTTTTCTGTCATTTTCCTTGCAATATTAAATCTACGTTGCGTCTATCGTAAGTTTTACATTGGCTATTTATTTTTTTCTAAAAGAAAAATCAATGCAGATCAAAGGCCTCAATGGATCAGACCGAGAAAAACTAGTCCATGGGCCATTAACCTTGATCCGGCCCGGTTTATTTCTTTCTCTTAAAAAGTTGACCTACCCATGGGCCACTCATGTAATTACAAAGATTTTTCATACATATTGACTTTTTATGCCAAAAAATTTCATTTCATCATTTTAATTCCTATCAGCTGCATAATATTATTAATTGATGGTTCACTTTTCAAAAGAAATTTGATTTTTTCCGTTGAATATTGTTTGATGTTTGATGAGGAAGCAAAACTATCAGTACTAGCAAGAATTGATCGTTGGGATGCTTGATTAGGAAACCAAATTGTTGATATTAAATTTCTTGTTGAAGATACTGCAAATGATTTTGTTGAGCAAGAATGGGCGATTCCAAATCAGAACTTGAACTCGAAAATCTGAACATCTAGACGTGCCTGTTTGACTCGAATCGATAATTCAAAGAGTTTGTTTAATTTATATGAAAAATTGCAATTTTTAATATTAATTTCTCATTGAAATACAATCTTCTTGTTCATTAAATGCATTCCACAAGAAGAGCTTCTTCGACCTCTTTGCTCATATGTCGACTTAAACTAAAACTTGTCACAAATTAGCTTTTCTAAAACAAGAATTTTTTTTATCACAAACGAAATCTGTGTGAAAAAAGCAATTTATTGTGTGAAAATATTATTCGACAAAAAAATATAATATTTTAATCGAAAAAATATTTCTGTCTGAAAAACCGTAGTCAACTCCGCCTCTAGAAAATCCCAGGAAGTCTCATCAAACTGTCAGACAATTCATAAGAACCAAAAAGTCACCAAAAACGGTCAATACACCTTTTCCACAAATATTCATTTTTTCGCTGAATTGGACTCAGTAGATAACCATTTTCTTCAAAAAGTCTGTTTTTTTTCTGTTAGTAGAATTAACCGCCTAAGACGTTCAATAAGCCTTGCCTCGTTGGATGACTCTCAAGCATCAAATGATATCTCACATTAAAACGATGAGTTATTGCTGGGAAAGCTTATGTAAAAGAGCTGATTTCTTGTCAAGAGAAATAACTCTTCTTGAGTGTTTCTTTCTACGTTGTCTTATAGGCATATGATACGATACAAAGACAACTGTTAAATATGATAGAGACAAAAAAAATTGCACGATGTCTCGTTGATTAACCGTTTTTTTTCTTGATGTTACTGTATCCATCATGCTGTACTTTTATCTGTTCTTTAGCTTTCAAATTCCGATCACTTTTTAGCTATCAAGCAATTAACAGTATTAATTAAAAGAAATTTTTATTGATACTGTTCTATATAACTTGAGATTGAGATACACGACACCCGTGAATTGATCGTTTCTTTTCATTCTTTATCTTTTGTCTCTTTCCCTTTCTCTAAATGCACTATTTGAATATCTTTTTAAACTCAGGGATATGTTGCGATTTATTCACCTTTAGAATCAGTATAATTTCAGTAACAATCTTCGACGAATTTTATGCTGGTAATTATTAGAAAAATTGATAGATGACGTACTATGCTTATCAGCTACGACTGATGTAGATGATAGCATTTAAAACTTCTTTTCACTTAAATATCGGCAGATTCGAGTCAATGCATCATGAAATTGGGTTTGCACAATCACTGGAATCATTTGTACGCACCACAGCAGCTATTTTGGTCTAGTGTCCAGGTTTGAATATTCATCATAAAGATGACGCTAGTTATGACACCCACACCCTCGACACCGCAAAAAAATGACCAAGACAGAAATATGATATAGTGACATTTTGAACTATGTCTGATTTTTCTGTGCAACTAGTTTTTATTCGGTCCAGCTTAAATAATTAACTGTACAAGTGTATCACTAGATTCATTGTAAAAATAACGAAACGAACCATTCATATCAGTCAGTCGATCAAATAGTCTAGTCTATAGTAAATCACATATACCTTCTTCTTTTTATATTTTCTGCTTTTGCTGTCTCTCTCTCTCTCATGTGTGTGTGTCGCACGCGATATAAATAGAAAAATAAAAATAATAAGAAAAGACGAATTGGTTATAGAGAAATAAATTTTCTATTTTAGAATTTGATCGAAGTTACAGCGAGAATCTCTGTAATAGTATTATATTGGTATAAAAGAGTTTTTTGATTTTATTGAACGACTACAAATGATAACCGAAGAGAGTGAAAATTTAAAAATTGAATCAAGGTAAAAAAAACTTTAATATTAATTTTTTTCCTCAAAACCTTAATATTTTATTTGTGCTTTAGTGAAAATTTTCCTGAATTATTAGAATCAAATGCAAAACGATTACATCAAGACATATTATGTCATGAAAATGATTTGATAGCGAAAGAAACTTCTGAAGAACTTTGCCAATGTTTTCAAACGATTCAATCCCTTATGAATTATACTTCACCGATTCGAGTCTCTTTTAAAATTAGAATGTTAAACTTTTCTATCTCTATTCTGCTTTAGTCTGCATCATCTGACGTTACATTAACTAGTCGTCGAATTATTCGGTCAATCACTTGTATATGTGCTAAGCAAACAACAGATTCATCTGTATTTATTCGGAAGAATGATGACCATGAGAGTTCATCAACTGAATTAACACCAGCAACTTCTACTGGTCTTATACGGTTTGTATATTTTCAAATGTTAACATTCTTTTTTTTTTATTGATTATCTTTGTGTAGAAGTCCTTCGAAACTATCATCGACTGTAACTAATCAAACAATAAGTGTCTTAATTGAAGAAAAATCAGTTAGCTCTTCAAATGAATCAATATTTGTTTGGCGATCGAAGACTGAAGAAAACCAACATGTCGAAAGACAACAAATATCGTCAAATAAAACTCAATATCGACCATTGTAAGCAGATCATTTTCAAAATTTTTTTGTAACTATTTACTTTTTTGATTTAGTAAATCATACCGATCTCTTGATTTATCAACAATCCATGAAACAAGTTTAGAATCAGATACAATTGTAAAAAGTCAAACAGGTCATTCAACGAATTCTGATGATAAATTTCAATTGGAATCAATCAGAAAACGCCAACCATTACAAGAATTTGATATAAACTCTTTTAATGATGATGAACGAAAAATTAAAAATGAAAAAAATTTATTTGAAAATTCAATTGTATTTAAATTGCCAAGTGATACTGACCAAGAAAATTTACCGATTACACTAAAAAAAAGATCAATAGCATTACCGATATACGAGTCTACCAACAAAAAATACAAAAGAAAACAAATTTAAAGGGGTCCATACCCGGACAACCAATAATTACTAGATTTTTCAATCGATAAATTACTTTATCGGATAGAATTATTTTCATTCTATTCTGTTATTTAATTTCCTTATTTCTGTTACTGTTAAATATTATATATTTGAAAATGTCAGATATACATTTAGATTAGTTAAATGTTATTAGTCAGCTAAATATGTTCGATATTATCTCTATATGTATAGAGAGAGAAAATTTGGCACTTTATATTTGATTTGTGCTATTTTTTAAAAAGAAAATTTTTTTTCTTTACTTTTGTTATTTTTTTCTTTGTCTTCTCTTCATTTCTCAAGTTCAGTTAACAAGTATGGAGGTTATTTTTGATACGTTAAAATTAAATAAAATAAGTCGAATTTGTTACATAGAAAATTATAAATATTGTTGATCTCTGATGATTCTGAAGTTTCAAATATTTTATTAATATTTGAAAATTATCATAGTTAAAATACCAACAAAGAAATTTTCAACAGAGACAAAAGCCTTGTCAAGTCAACATTAATCACCAAATTCTCTGATACGAAGATTAGAGTAAACCAGAGACATGCACAGGGCAGGACGATCCTGTTGTCCTGTTCTGTAGGACAGGATGCGATTTAGATTTTGTCCTGTCCTGCCGCCCGCTCGCCAGGACCAAGGTAGCTAACAAGACAGGCAAGGACAGGAGAAAAACGGATGCCCTGTGCGCGCCTCTGGAGTAAACGTAAAAATGTATGACTAACTGTGAAGTATTTCATCTGTTGAGCAGATTATTCAATAGTATACAAACTTTCTTTTCATAATATATTATCAATATCTAATAAATATTGATAAGATTACTGTTCAGAGAAATAATTCTCAATGCAATTGTAATAAATAGCTGTAGATTTATCAGCTTGAATACTGAATTTATTGATAGCACTCTTAGAGAATGAATTAATTATAACTCGTTCTACTTATCAATTCAAAGATCATCAGAAATTATTGAACACATGTATATGATGTTCGCTTAAAAAGGTGGCGCCATCGTTCGTATTTATACATGTATCTTGTTCAAAGATACTATAAAACGTGAATTAATTAGTAATGATTATAAGAGATATTTTATAGTAACGCATAGTTTGTGTTGGTGTGTTCTCTAAATTGCATGAATTTATCTTGTCCAATTGGTCTCTTTCTTATGTGGTCTTTGTTGCGGCTAGGCTGACTGACGATCGGTTGCTTTTCACACTTTCGTTTGTTGCTTTTCTTTTCTTTTTTGCTTTTTAATTCGATTTTAGAATTAAACAAATAAATACTTAATTTTGTTTAAGAGAGATTGAACAACATGCCTTCTCAGTTTAACATTGATGATTTTGAAAGACTGAGTAAAGTGGGAGAAGGTATGCTTATGCATTTTATAATTAGAATATTTCCTTAGTTATCGTTCATGTCAGGTACATATGGTATTGTATATAAAGTATGTCATAGACCAACATCACAAATATATGCATTAAAAAAGATTCGACTAGAAGGTGAAGATGATGGTGTACCGGCTACAGCTATTCGTGAAATATCAATTTTGAAAGAACTTCGACATCAAAATATTGTTCAGTAAGATTAGAAGTTGAAAAATAAAATAAGTAAACTCTCCTTATTATGTTTTTTTTTTCAAGACTTCGTGATGTAATTCTTACGGATGCTCGTCTTTATTTGATATTCGAATATTTAGCGATGGATTTGAAGAAATATTTAGATTGCCTAGGCGAAAATGAAGACATGGACATTGTATTAATTCAAGTATAAAGAGAAAATACATTAAATTACGATAATATGTCTTTTTGTTAATTATTATTCTGTAGAGTTATATGTATCAAATAATCGATGCCTTACTTTTTTGTCATTGTCGTCGAATAATTCATCGTGATTTAAAGTAAATATACTTTACTGTTCGAATTTCGAATCACGATTAGTTTTATATTACTATAGGCCACAAAATCTTCTTGTTGACACTAAGGGTATTATTAAACTTGCTGACTTCGGTTTAGCACGAGCATTCAGTGTGCCATTAAGAATTTATACACATGAAGTAAAATTCAATTGAAACATATTCTTGATTATGATTTATATCTTATTTATTTTTTATAGGTTGTTACATTGTGGTATCGAGCGCCTGAAGTATTGCTCGGCGCTTCACGTTACTCGTGTCCAGGTGTGAATAGAAAAAATATGTTTCCATCTCTATTTATAAATTGTTTTTGTTTTCTAAATAGTTGATGTTTGGTCTATTGGTTGTATTTTTGCTGAGATGTATACAAAACGACCATTATTTCAAGGTGATTCGGAAATTGATCAACTCTTTCGTATTTTCCGGTAAAGTTCTTTTTCCAACAGAAAAATATTATGCATGAGCTTTTTCTGTCTAGAACACTTGGTACACCAACAGATGAAACATGGCCAGGTGTTGTATCCTTACCTGAATTTAAATCTTCATTTCCACGATGGAAACAAACTAGTGATTTATCATCATTACTTAATGACCGTATGCGTGATGATGCCCTTGATTTACTTCTTGTATGTTAAAAATTTATTTTTTGACCGTTGTTTTATTATAATTTTAATTTATTCTTACAGAAAATGCTCGTTTATGATCCGGTACGACGCATATCGGCCAAACAATGTCTCAATCATGCCTATTTCAAACAATTTGATCCACAAAATTTTCCTGTACCAGCTCCTGTTATTGTGCCTGTTGTCAAAGAAGGAGCCAAGTGATATTAAATTTGCGTGTCTTTGTGTGTGTATGTATGTGCTGAGTGTTACGTCAGATATATATATATATATATATTTTTTTCTTTTCCTAATTGATATATGTTCATATATTTCTCTTAAAATCTTCCCTTGTCTTTTCTATATCTATCATATATTGAAAAATCGTACATTTACTTGTTCACTTATCTGTTCATTTTTTTTCTTTCTTCCACCATCGATTACACAAACTTTTTTTTAATAATACGATGCGTGGGCTTAACTATTCGTTCTCTTCTCTCTTCTTCTTTTTGTCACGCGTACGTATAACGTGAAAAAATAATTAATCTGTACAAAGAATGATAACATGAAAGACTTTCACAGAAGAAATACATACGCATATATTATGATTATTTTAATTATTTGTTTTCTTTTACCATACTTGCAAAAAAGACATGATGATTGAAGAGTGATTCTTTTTATTTTAAATTTATAGAGAACAGGTGTTTTTGTGAACTTTAGTAGCCTCGGAGATAATCAAGAACGCAATTTTGACGACATTCAATAGAAAATCCAGGATAGGCACCAGATGTTCGATATTGATCTTGTCGAAGAATTGATAGTCTTGTAAAACTTTGCTTTATACAGCTAGCTGCAGATAATGTTTTATTTATAGCACATGCGTGGTAAATTTTCACTAATGCTATTTTATTACATTGTCGCTTTGTGATACTACTTGCAAATCCCTAGTAGAAATAAAAAAATAAACAGTATTTATTTTCAATAATCATTGATTAATTCTAAATCAAAAACTTACACATGCATAACATAATCTATGTCGTTCACATATTGATCGAAATAGCCCTTGAAATGTAATATTGTTTGTTGGGAAAATGCAACCAAGCTCTTTTACAGCTTGTACTGGAATACAACGAGCAGGGCTTGATAAAAAAGAGAGCAAATCTAGTTTTTTATCTATTATCGAATTCTTTTCCCCATCATCTATAAGCAATACATCTTTATAACTATATGAAATATCCTTTTATGAATTTACCTCTATTTTGTAAAATTCCATCATTCATATTATAACAGTTGATAATGAAAATATTGATAAAACATAGGTTAAATATGAAAAGAAATGTTTCAGTCATTTTATTTATAAATCGAGTAAGAGAGGAGAATAGTTGGAACAATCGTGCATAAAATAGAGATTATCAACAAAGTTTTCTATTCTTCTCGTTCTGATTTTTTTCACTTCATCTATTTACGTGCTTTTCACAAGGAAAATTATCCAGAGAATTAAACGAATATGTTTAATATGAGTGTGAAACATAAATGCGATAACCAAACTCACAGTATTGTCAAGGAAATATATATGTCAGGATATATTTTTCATTCATGATGATAAAAAAAACAAATTTAATCAACAAGATATATTGAACTATTTATAGAAAAAAAAAACCCATTGACTCATAGTATTAGCAGCAATGAAAAAGTACTATAATTTTATAATAAGTCTTCTGAATGTATGCTTATTCATGATTATTTCTTCGCGTGTATATTCATTAAACGTAGCAAAGACTTTAGAGTATTCTTCTGTTCAACTGCAACATGCCTTGATATTACAGATATAATTCCAGTAGACTAACAATTTTTTGTTCGTTTTCCGTCGAATAAAATTCATAGCCAATAATAAGAACAAAAGGTGAATAACATATCGATTGATTTTTGTTCATAATGGCTGATTCCTGAAGCAGATCTTTCTTATTTTTGGTTTTGCTTGAATCGACTTCATTGGCTGTAAACCGTTTAGTTTCTATCAAAATCGATAGACAGTACATTATGCATGAAAAAGAACAGGCAACATTGTTCATCGCTAAATATTTGATCATTGACTAATTTTATTGTTTTATTGTCCTATATTTTTTTATGAAAATGAGTAATCAAGTTTTTACGGATTCATTGCGATACGTAATATTAGGTGTAAAGACATGTAATGGTTCACTGCAAACGCTTAGCTGGCTTAAGTGAAAATAAAAACATACATAAATAATAAGCTTATGACAACAAATAAAATAAAAGATCTACTTTTAGTAATTAAAAGATACGCATTCTTGAAATTTTGATAAAAACAAGATGCAACTTTTTCTTAAATGATCATAATAATATGCGAGTGTGAACTTCATTTTTACACTTCACTAGATATTAAAGTAATGTTTCATTCAATTTTTCGAGTAGAAATAAGTTATAAAGAATTGAATAACAAGCAATGCAATCAATAGATAAATGAATAGCAAGTCTAAAGGGAAAAATAAATTTTACTACGATGAGCATTTTTCTTGACAATGATAAAAAGTTTTCAATGAAACTATATGTAAATTTTACATATTTCAATTCAAATTGCAAACAAACTAAAGAATTTCTAATGGTATTAAATTTTACAATATAAATTATGAAAATATAAAAGAAAATGTTCGAGTTGAATTATTGTTGCCAGCAACGATCTTGAAATAATGCTTCATGTCATAGATAAATATATCAAGTGTCATGAGATATATAAACATTTAATAAAAAATATATTATGGTATACTCAGCCTTTTGGCAATTAAAAATGACTATGCATATTTTTTAAGTTTTCATTGACTGAAATATTTTTCTGGGTTAATGCGCCTAATAAAGATTTCCCTTGTCGAACAACGTCTTTAACGTCAGAGAACTTATTTAATATGAATCCATTCATTCAATAAGAGACGAAGAGAATGATGTACTATTTGAAGAGTAAAGCAATATCATGTAATATTTTATTCAAAATTAAATTAAAAATTTCAGTTTGAAATTTCAAAGGATAATCAAGCGACTCTTTTTGTTTAAAAACGTAAGTCTCACTTAAGAGTGGCAAGTAAATGTAATGTATTGTAGAAGAATCTCTTACTGATTTTTTTACTAAGTCATAGCAATACTCATGAAATCATTTTAGTCAATGTTTATTTGAAATTCATAGATAGAATATTTAGATAGGCTATGAAGAAAACATCTCAAACAATAAACTAATCAAATATGAATATATCACAGATCAATGGTATGCTTCTTCTCCTTTAACTTTGTGCAAAACAGGCAGCATTACAGTCATATACCTAGAATTGTATACAACAATGAGAGATATGTACGGACAATAACTATAAATGTTGAACGTTCATTCATGTATCATTCAGTGTATACTAAATATTCATAGTGAAAAGAAAACTCTTGTATGATACAATTTGATTAATGAAAATATTTTCAATATCACATCGAATATTTTCTTCACGACATTCCATTGATGGATGGTGTACATTAAGTAATTAGAGAATGAATATAAAAGTGAATTCAAATTATACAAGAAATAGAAATCATATTAGTAACTACATTTGGCATTTCACTGGGTGAAAATTACGCTTATATCTGCATTTAAATAGGTATCAAGCTTTTTATTATAAAATAGCTTAATTCAGCATATAATTCATCCCTATAGCAGAGTCATATATGAGAGGGTGTCATGTCGTTATTTTAACGATTAAGATCTAGGTGAAGACGCGACTGTTTAAGTATTGACAAATGCCACAATGATAATGACGGCAAATGACAAGATGAAGTAAATAAGAAAATGAAGCTTGAAAGAAAAGTCACTAATTTATTTAATAGATTAGAATTAATCAATGAAACAGTAGATACAACAAGGATAAGTTGTACGATTTGACAAGACTTCCAGAAGAAGAAGTTTTAGAGTCACATAGAAGAAAAAAAGAGAAAAAGGAGTTGATTATAATAGAACCAACTAACAGAGAAGAAAAGTAACAAGCTAATGAAAAAAAAGAAAGATACAGTAAAAGTAAAGACGTGGATAGTAGCTGGACAATAAGAATCAAGAAATTATATTGAGAAAATATATGTGCAAGCATAATTAGTATCAGCACATAATACAGGTGATTTTATGCCGTCACAGAGGGGTTCGCATTACATTGATAAGGCATTATTTAAGGAGGTAATTTTGAATTTATCGATTATTCGTTGAAAATTTTCTTGATTTTCGATTACAGATAGAAATTTTTTCTGAATTAAAATATTTGATAAAATTTGAACAAGAGTTTGTCACATCGAGAACTTTGATTCTATATATGACCACTCAAAAGTTATGAATTCATTTTTCTCAAATTCTAACATATATGATTTGATCGAACTATGATTATCGTCTGCTTGTACTTGTGTGGCGTAGTCATCCTATGATTAAAGCAGTCAAATAAAATACTAAAATTCATTCGAGTATTTTGAATCAGTTAATTATAGCAATTTAAAAATTATCTGTTAGCGAGCTTCAAACCCATTGATATGAAACCTTAAAACTGTTTCCAAAATTGGAAGTTTTTATTAAGACACCAGCACTTGGTGGAAATAATGCAGTTTTACTATTCATAAGTGTAATGTTTATACTATTGAAATAGTTATTTGTGTACATGATTTTTCTCAATTTATTTAATTTTATTCTATTATTGATAGATAAAAACAATATGTGGGAATCATACAAATTATTGGATGAACTCCTCGAATCGTTTCAATTGATTTTTAAAGTAAATATAGATGAAATTTTATTTCTACATAACTTGTACACTTGAAATTGTAACATCCCCTTTGACTTGCAATGCTTGAACATACTGATACGGAATACGGTGTCGAAAAGTGAACCATGCTTGATTATTGCAATTGACCTATACAAATAAAGAAAAGATCTAGTGTGAGCCAATCTTTTTAAGATCCCATCAAAATTTTCTAACCTGGTAATGTTCTGGAAAGCAAATAATCTGAATATCAAATTGTTGTTCTGGTTGCAATGAAAACCCGCCTTGCTTTTCTTCAGCACCCCAACCACCACCTTGACATGAATTACGTACAGCTTCGCGTTGATCAAAACGTGGATTTAAATGAAATGCTACATCAGCTCCATGATTTAAACCTGTTAATAAGTTGAATTCAAATCGTGAAGCATTATTATTTGATCGACCATTTATATTGAATACACGACCTATGTTTTATGTTTTTTTTTTAAAATAAATATCAACTAGTTGCATTATCTAACTTAAATAAATATTACCAGGAAACATATTGATAGGAATTGGTGTTTCCTAAAAAAAAGAAACAACAAGAATTTGTTACCAAACTAATATTTTATATAAATAATATTTCTAACCATAATAAATTGCCATGGTTTACCATATTGGCTAACACCTGGATAAATTTGCATATTTGATAAGGCAACATCACCTTTAATTGTAACATTCTCAGCTGCATTGAATGGGATACGATAATTAAAATCAGCCGCATATTGATTATTAACAGCAACCTTTACAATAGTCGAGCAAAAAAAAATATGTAAATATAATTTCATGATCTTCATGTTTGAATCTTACTTTAAAACTTTGTGGTGTCACCATAATAATAATATTGAATTGTTGACCGCGTGAAATCATTAATGGTTTACATTCTTCATTGCCCCAATTACCACCGGGTGCAGAGTTTAATATTAATTGGCGATCGTTTACACGTGGATTGACATGCAATATGATATCACCTCGGTTGTTAGTCAAATTGATTTCAAATCTTTTTAAATTCATAGAAAAATAGAATACTAATAAGAGAGAGAGAGTAATCCGCAAGCAATATACTAACCGGTCGCCAGTGGCAATACCATAAACGTGTACTTGAGAACCATAACTCAATGGCGGTGAAATATAGCTTTCGAAAGGTAAACTCTAATTATAAAAGATATAAAATCATAATAAATCTCAAATTGTTGTGCAAAAAATTTAACTATCACTCACATAGTGTTGACTACTTGAATGCTATAAGAATTACATATATTTGTATATTTATTGCTTTAAAATGTTCGGTTTTTACGTACTTGACCCATTTTGATTGACAATGAATAATTACAATATTGTTATTTTTGGGATAGGAATAGAAATAGAAATACAAAATATAAAATAAAAAGGAAACTTAATTTATATATCTACAAGTTTTTCAAAAATATAGTAGAAAAAAAAGAGAAAAGGAGAGAGATTGATAAGATGTAAGAACAATTAATCAGTGCATTAAGCCTTATCTAGTTAGTCAAATATAGGGACAAGAAAAATATATTTGTGCATACATCGATAGTTTTTGTGGTTTATCTTCTGTGTACAATAGAAAGGAGGGTTTTTTTGGTGAAAAATCGATGACTAACAACCTTATCTAGGAACTAACAAAACATTCTAGTGAAAAAGTGCAGATGATCAACAACACAAGATTAATTCTGTGATCATTTGAGATTTTATTCTCTTTTTGTTTTTAATAGATACGATTTCTGAAAGCTTGAAATGACAAAAATCTAAATATTTAATAGTATTTCCTTTGAGTGGTTCTTCAATCGAAAATACTCTTTATACTATTGATTTTTGATAAATATAAGCGGTATGATTGCCCTTCAAAAAAATAATTTTTTTTTCTGAATTACAAGCAATGTACTGAAGAAAATCTTAATTCTTTTGTTAGTCATCTTTATATGAACTTTTTAAAAAATTGCTAGAAAAATTTCAGACAATATCGTTAAAATTTTCAACTGCGAGATATATGTTCAAGTCTTGAAGTTCTTCAAGTGATTGATCTATATTTTATTTTCCGAAAAAATTTGCAAGCCAAAAATTGCAATACATTAGAAACTAATTCATTTGATGATGATTTAGAATATAATTTGAAAATCGTTAGGCGTTCATAATTGTCCAATACTACCAACTATGATATCACCTTTATATTGAAGTGCCATGACCTAAAACAAATTTTCTTCTGATTTTATCAAGTACAAATAAACGGTAACATCGAGTTTTTGGTTAAACTTACATGACCAGGTGGAATTTTATGATAGAATTCACCGATTAGATAATTATTCATATATACCTAAAATAGTTTTTAATTGTTATTCTAGTTGTTAAATATGTTGATTTAAGAACTGCTTTACATCCTACCGTATATGCATCCATATTACATGCTATTTGTAAATCGACCGATGAACCGGGCATCAACGGCATGTATGATGGAAATGATTGATTTTCTTCTTGACCCCATTGGCCATTTCGTCGATAATTTTTAACAACTGTACGTGAATCAAAACGTGGATTAAAGTGAAAAGCTATATCATCACCGTCTGAATAACCGTGTAATAGATTAAGTTCAAAGCGATGAGCTTCAGGAGGTATAAAACCTCGGATAAATATTCGAGAGCCTGTATGTATTCTACAAGATTGTATTGATGGCACACCACTACCCTTTATTGAATTATTATTTTCCTTATATGATATACAAGAATAATATTATATTGTACAAACCGTAAATGGGGGAGGAAGGATATTAGGTGGAGCTGATGGAAGTCCACAACTAGCTACAAAGTCTCCACTATAAGATGGTTGAGGTTGAGAACACAAGCCAGTACCACTTCCAATATAACCAGATCCTGGATAAATATGAACAGATTCTAAATTCAAATCGCCTTTGACTTCAACTAATTGAGCCAAATATATTGGTAATCGTTGATAAAATTCACAAACATGAGTATTGTTTATAGCAATCTAATTATGATCATTCATAAAATAAATTCATTCAAAAGCATCTATCAGAATGATCTGTTATACTTTGAAGTCATGGTCCGTTGCTAAAATAACTATGGAGAAGCGCATTCCGCGATAGATTGGCAATCCATGACGTTCTTCTTGGCCCCAAAACCCCCTTTGAGCTAGAGTTTTGTACAGAAATATTTCATCATCTGTATGAGAACATGTATTTTCATCCTACCACTATTGAGAACCAGTGCATTATCATCTAAACGTGGATTAACATGGAGGATGGTATCTTCCTGATAACTTTTTAAGTTGACTTCAAATCTAATTCATATATACTCATAAGAGAATTAACTTTTGTCGTACTTATAGAAAAAAATAGACCTGCTCCCAGTGGCTGTACCAGTGAGACGGATTTGTGTACCATTTGAAAGTGCTGGTGAAATAACGCTTTGATAGGGTACAGGCTAGTAAAAGCAGTGAAAATAACTATTAAATTGAAAAGAAAATTGATTAAATTATATTTACTAATCCATAGTTTACACCAACTGAATAATTGGGATACATTGTATTTTGAAAAAGAAATGAATTGTACAAATGACTGCACAAAAAAGTGAAAGCCAACTATCTAGCGATGCTTCTTTCTTTTCTTTATGATTTATTTTAATTGTTATCTGTTGCTTTCTTCACTTCTTGAAAGCTCTTTCTCTTTCTCTCGTTCTCTTATATTTTCTTTTTAGATATTCGCAAAAGCAAATAAATAGTCAATCAGTATAAGCCAGGTGATAAACGATTTTATTAGTCACATCAGTATATTGCATATACAAGTATATCAGTGAATACACGAAAATTATAGAAAATAGTAACAGATTTTTCGGTAACAACAATTTGAAGCAACTGTTTACTATAATACTGCCGCTAGCGCTGTTTATTGTGCCACTTCATCTGCAATAGTTCACATAAGGTACTCTTGAATATTCACATTTGAAATGATGAGAAGTTTAAAGTATTTTGTATATGTTAAAAGGTGAAGAGTTTTAGAAATTTTACAGAAGATTGCTGAAAAACACATTTGAGCTTCTAAATTTTATGAACAACGTTCCCCTAATAATTGTATAAATAAATATACATATTTTTATTTGACTTATTTTTGTCTCTACATTTTGAACTGTTAGAATTTAAGTATTTATATAAATTTTGCTTTGGAATTAGACAAAGATCTGACACTTTACTATGAGTAGAATATTAACATCGTTTTCTCTATCCTAAATACATTTAAAAATTGACAAATGATTATAACTTAAATGAATTCAATGCACGGTATTTGCCATGAAAAATGCGTTAAAAATGAGTCTATATTTGTTTCTGGCTGCGTAGATAAAATCTCAAATTTCTCTCAAGTTCTTTTCATTTTATTCGAAAAGCACAAAAAAGTGTTTATCTAGATGATATCCATATAAAGATTCGTAAATAATAGTGTATTTATCATATTTAAACAACGATTATATAAATATTTAAATAGAGCTGGAAAAAGAATTTTGTTTACTTAAAAAAGAATTCTTTTTCTGTTTTGTTTTTGAGCGCAACTTCCTCATGTTTCCTTGATTTATTTCTAAAATAAAACCATGACATATCGAGCGATGTAACAATACTTTTACTCTGATATTTAATTCTTGTTTCTTAAACTGAAATGTTCAATAACTTAGAACTATGATTGATGGCTTCCTCAAAATTATTATATTTAACAGTTGTATTGTTTAATAAACATCAGATCATTGTTACAATGATACGCTCGTGGCTCATCAAAATGTTATTATGTTTTTCACATTCGTACCATAGTAGAAGAGTACGACAACAGAAATCCGCATCAAATTTCATGACGAGAAACATCGAGAAAAAGAAAACTTTTACATCATATTCGCCATCGATGCATCATATCTTTTCACCTCCGCTAAAACTTTGCATGCTACGTACGATTCGTTGTCGAATACAACCGAATATAGGACATAACAATCATAGTTCTATACCATTATCGATGGCAATATTCAAAGATCCATATGTTGCTTGTTCTTTAAATGAATCTCTATATAATGTTGAAACATTACGATATAGATGCATGTCACCAATCATTCATAAGAAAAAATATCCCAGTTTGATTGCAATTGATATCGGTAATAATGAACCACTACAAGAACCAACAATATCTCGGCATGCTCATCAGTCGACAAACTTTGCTTTTCCTATAAATCAATTAAAATTGAACAACAAGAGTTGTTCGAGTCGGTAAGAAAACGAGAATTGAAATTTAATTTGTCGGATTTATTTTTGTTTTGATAAATCCACAGGCATTCACTAGACAAATTAAATAGTAGCTACAGCTGTGCGTCAATCTCTTCACGTTGTGATCATCATTATCATTATCGTAGAAATAGAATTTCTCGGTGTTTATCTTTATTTGCTTCATCTATTCTAAAACGAAAAGATGATTCGATCGTATTTTCTCAGAGATCTCTACATAGCACTAATCACTGGAATGATTTGATTTCAAATCAGCGATTGTTATCTAAATATTCACCCCGAAATATTAATTCTATCGCAAATGAATCACCATCATCAAATGATACAACAATCAATATATCAAAGTCGAATAGTGATATTCTTACGCCAACTAATAAAAATATTGATAAAACATGGCGACTTCAAATACAAGATCATTTAAATAAAGATGGTAGTCGACATTCTGTTATTCATAAAGGTATTTTTACAATAAATACATATTTCAAAACAAGAAAACGTCGAGTGTTTCATTTTATAATTTTCATTAAGGTAGTGAAAGCTCAGTAAGTGAACGTCGCAAGAAAAAACATGCTAAACGATCTGAAGAGAAGAAACGCAAAATTGAAGAAAAAATATACAAAGCAAATCAACGTTGGCAAAAGTATTCAACTATTGATTATGAGCTTGTCCTTTTCATTTCACGATATTATGATCAGTTACCGTTATGCTCGAATTGTCGTAATTATTTTATAACAAACCAAACACAATTTTTAGCTGATGATCCTCGTGCATCGTATGACTATGCAGCTGAAGCTGTTTTACTTTCATCGAGTAATAAAACATTAACCATGAAAAAAGCAGCTAAAGCAAGATTAATTAAAGATTATGATAAACAAACAAATATGATATTTAACCTGTGTGATGCTTGTTTAGCCAAATGTGAGCAAATTCGAAATGAACTTAAACAAATTAATTCTACTAAAAAAGTATCAAATGAAATGAATTCTCCATATTCTGAAATCATGAACATAACGAAATCTTATTTACAACAACCCATCGATAGTCCTTATTCACCAAACATCTCGAATGTTAACAATCATTTATTCTCCCCTTCTACTTCTCCATTGATGTCACCTTCCACTTCGAGCACTGATTTAAATCATCAACAACAAGTAACTTCTATTTCATCTGAGAATAGAATCACTGGTTAAATATAATTGTCATAAAATATAAATTGAGATATATTTTAGCTTTGTACTATGTAGATCTTAATGAAATTTATATGAATAATATTATTCAATATCATCAAATAAACTTACGACAACTTTATCAACAAAGTCAAAATATTATCAGTGCTCAACAGTATCAGGAAGATCGTTCATTAGCAATGGACCAACAAAAATTACATCATGAACTTCAATCATGTATAAGGCAAATGCAGTATCATTATCTAGAAATATTACATCTTCAATATCCTGGCTATTCACTTTCATTTCCATATGCACCATCTTACCATTCAAAATATTTGTCATATCGATTTCAACAAGGCAAGGATCGAGATGATTCTGTTCTTGAAAGTTCTTCATCTACAAATTGTCAACAATATGACTATCGAAGCAACGTAAATATTGAAGTGGATAGTAACACAACTAGTAAAAGTAGTGGCATGAATGTTGACAATTATGACGCAGACAAAAATGATCGAAATGAACCAATGCTTGACGATCGACTTACAATAGAAACATGTCATGGACTTGTAGAATATTATAGTAAGTTAGCAAATACAAATGATGTTGATAAGAAGAAAATATCTTCACAGTTTTTTTTTATAGCTGTTAAGTTGAGTCTATGTAAATAATGTAAAGCCTGATAAATCATGGATATACTTACAAAAAAAAACAGCAGACTATCGACTTATTAATAGGAAGATACTGCACTTATATTGTGTTTTTAAAGTAAAAATCGTGTTCTTCATTGAAAACATCAAGAGAAACATTTTTCAAAGTTTTTTTTGATAGTTTAAAGCAAGAGTGATCCTATTGCCAAGAGTCCATTGCCTACTGTGATTATGTAGTTTGTTTGTACCAATGAGTTCAGATCATGATCTGTTTTCAGTATTTTCACAATCGATTAGGATCGATACGATACTTGCTGTTACATCTCAGAAAGCAGTGAATTACTGCAGAATTCTTTCTTCGTCTGCTCATATATGTAGTTCCACGAGCTATTGTAAAATTTTCAAACTAGAGAACTGACTCTTCACTAGAAAAGTAAAATAATTTACTTTTATTTACACTTCTTTGATCATAAACATAATGCAGATGTGCACATCAATACTCGTAAGATATAGAATAATAAGATTCATATTAAAACAATACAATCATATGCGCTTTGGTTGGATTTTGCTTTCAGTTCGTAAAACAGTGTTTATTTGAAAACGTTTGTATATCCGATCCGATTGATATTTTCGATGGTACGATGACTAACTCGTCAATATGATTCGAATAATAATAATATTTTCTATAAAGCAAAATCAAATAACACTTATTTTATTACCAAAAATGAAAATGAAAGAAATATATTTCGTTTGTTTTAGATGCACCACTGGATGATTTCATTCGAGGACTTGAAGTTTTGAAGTGTCTGAGCATTTTTAATCGTTGTCCATTCTAGTGCAACCATAGATCGAAAATAAACAAGTAGACAATTTTATTCATAGTTTTAATCATCAATTCAAATGTGCAACAAGCAATGTAATCACAATTCAATTATATAGTTTCATTTAAAATCAATTATAAACGGAACATTATTCGATGATATTTTCTGATGAAACAAGTCAAATACTTTTGTTACAAAATGAACGTTTCAATAATATAACTTGTATATGTAGAAAGTTTTCATTAGTTTACAATTAATACGGATTCTTATGATTTTCAGATTATTTAATCATATCTTGCCATGTTGAATTTGACTCTTTAGTAGTCATATTTTAGTGAAATGAACGATAAATATGATTTCTTTCGTTGTTAAATTTCTATAGAATTTACAAATGGTGCTGTTTATTTTTTTTGTTTCGTCTACTAATAGTTTATTATTAAAATAAGAAAACAAGAACTCAACATTAACTCCATTGTGATCCATCAACTTCGATTCCTTGACGCCATGCAATTAAGCAGACTTTCACTTTATTTTTAAATGACTTTTCATCAAAAACTTTGAAGAGCATTATCCTTTTCGAGATATATTTTGCACCATCGGTACGCGACACTACGAGATCGATAATATCACCTTCTTTAACCTTAAATAGATAAATGTTGATGTACATTTTATTAAAAAAGACGATTGAAACATCATACTTGTTGTGCTTTTTTAGTTGATTTTTCACCATTTACACGTAATTTAGAACCATAGAATTCATCTTCGATTGCACTATAATTAAATATAAAATCATTAAAAATAAGAGGGAAATGATTATTTCTCGAAAATTGTACCTTCGTCCTATGCCAGTACCTGCTGAACAGATAAGATCGAGACGGAGTGAAGCAAGATGTCGAATAATTATTCGGTAGCCTACATATAAAATCGAAAAGAAGTTTATAGTTAATCTTTCAAAATTTAATATAACCTTTCGGAAGTTTATATTGTTGAATACGAGTTCGAAGTTTTTCTTCTTCATCCTACAATAGAACCAGTCTATCGATAATCAAGTAAGTATATAATAATTTTATATAATAAAAAACAGAAGTCGATACTACTTGATCTGTTTCGTTATCTTCTTGATTATCATCATCCTCTTCGACGTCTACTTCTTCGGCAACATTTGAATTTATATTATCGTGCCGTCGATTACAAACAGTATGCGAAGAAGAAAACAAACAGATTTGTTGTGTTCTTTCGTGGACTTTAGAATACAAATTAATCGGTAGTATAGATTGACATGACATTTGAGAGGTTGGAATTAAAAGTTGACTAGATTTAAGTCTTAATAATGACGAACGTAATGTTGAAATCAGACGAAAAGTCGACATCTAAACTAAAAAGCATTCTTAAATAATTCATCTTTTATTTGAAATGTCGTTTTGTTTTTAAATATTTAATGGACACTTTCAAAAGATATTTGAGCATAATATAAATTAATACACCTATAGAACATCACCAAAATAGTAATAGACACCGATAAGAAGCAGTAAATAAATAATCAACAGGGATGAAAAAAGAAAAAGAAAACAACAATATACAAGTATAACAACAGGAAAAATTAGTATCACAAAAAAGAACTTTTTGTTCATTTCTTTTCAGTTAGTTCTGTTTGGGCTTCTTGTTGGTGTTTAATAAGCCATTCGAATTGTTCAGGTAATGTCAATTGAAAAATAGCTTTTCGTTCAACAGCATTTGAATATAGTTTTTGCCAATCTTCATTTACCTGTTAAGTGACATATTGAGATCAGCAATTTTCTTATCAAATGCTAAAGGAATACTTACATTTAATGAATTCATATGACCCAATATATACATTGCATATTTTGCTCGAGTCAATGAAACATTCAACCGTTGTCGATTAGCAACGAAACCGATTCCGACTGTTGTTGATGCATCAGTAATTTGTGTAGCACGAACACATGATAACAGAATAACATCTTTTTGACGACCTTGAAATGCATCGACTATACAAAAGAAAACAAAACAAAACTAAAGCACTCGAAGTAAGTCTCGTATAAAAATGACTCAACCTGTTCCAATTTCAATTTTATGCTGATGGAGATTGTGCTGTACAAGCTTTTGTTCAATGAGTTTAACTTGATAATTATATGGAGTTATAATTCCGATTTCTAAGAAAACGTTTTTAAAATAAAATTTATAGAATAAAAATGTAAAACAAGATGTAACCTATGTATTTAAATAGTTCATTTCGATTGTTTTACATCCAATGAACGATAAATAAAAATCATTGAAAAAAGAAAGAATAACTTACGGTTGAATGGTACTTTTGCTTGTTCATTAATAAATTGTACTAGACGTGCAACAACATCTGCTTCAAGTGGATTTCCATAGGATTGTGTCACAGGATCAAGTTGCTCTTGACCATTTACAATATCGAGTATCATGTATGGTTTTAACAGAAATTTTTTTCTAATCCAAAACAAAAACAGATAAATATATCATATTAAACAAATTATTTTTGTAATTATGTACCGTTTTTGATTGATTGACTTATCTGTTTTTAATTTCGAACGATATATATGCATTGATGGAAATTTACATATTTCATCATGCATTCGATATTGCTAAAAGAATTTCTATTGTAATTATCGATGCTTAAAATATCAAAATGAAAATAACTTACAATGTTAAGCATACGAATTGGGTTATTCAAATCATATTTAAATAATTTATAAAGTCGTTCGAATAATGATTGATTTAAACCGGCTTCAAGTGCTCGTCGAGATAATATAGTAGCAGGACTAAACAAGTTTTTATGTAAGATTATCCGAAAGACAAAAACTATTAAAAAATAAAACAAAGAATTTACAGTTGTTCAGGATCACCAACAAGTACAATACGATTCATGCCAAGTCGAAGTGGAATATAATTATCGATTTCAATACATTGACCAGCTTCATCGATAATTAAACAATTGAATAGACTTGGTATTGTCGAAGAAGATGCTGGAGGTTTTTTGAGTTTTTCATTTTTATTCATTGGATTGTTTACATCGAATGGAGAGAAAGAATCAAATATTGAATTTCCAACATAATTAAGTGTTGAAACACAACTAATCAACGAATAAAATAAAAATGTGCAAAAAACATCAAATGAGAATCAATAAAATTTACATATCAGCTTGTTGTAATAATTCTAATTTAATCTCACGCTCACGTTGACGTCGAGCAGATTCAGGCATTGTCTGAAAAATTATAAATAGATAGACGAACGTAATAGTTAGTCGAAAAATTCTAAATACTTTTCGACATGTCTGTTGCAATTTTTGAATACTAGCAATTATTTCTTTTAAATTTAATTCTAAATCTTTTAACTAAATAAATCGAAAGTATTAAAAATCTAATTTTCATTTTATCAAGTATATAACAAGCCTCTTCAGTAGGTCGATTATTTGCAGATGTACTTTTCTGTTTCATTTTTTCTTGTTCAATTCTCTCTAAAAGTTGTTTTTTCTGTTTTTCTTTATTAGCCAGATTTCGTTCAATAGCTTCATTTTGTCCACCAGTATTTAATACTAAATTAAATAATAAACATAAAAATTCAGGTGTCTGTTTTCTCTCGACAATGTTCAACCTTCCTCAAGACGTTTTCGAGCAAGTACGTCGAGCGATAGACTTTCAATATCTTGACTAACAGCACCACCACGTGCACAACGAATTAATTTAAATGGTACTAAATAGTTTTACAGAAAAAATGTTTTTATTGAAATCAATTTTTATTTTTATAGATTTACAGTTCGGTGTAGTTTGATTGGCATTTGAATCAGTTGTTTTACGTGCAAATATATCTATTAAACGACGAACTATTTCATTGCATCCACCATTTGAAGGACAGCATATTAAAATTTTTATTTTCTTCGATGTGCCAGATGATGATATTGTTGGAGATTGATCATTTGAATTAGTTGAAGCAAACGTTGACTAGAATATTGAAATGATTTATTGCAGATAAAATCTATATAATAATTATTTACTTGCAAAAGAGCTCTGACAATACCAGTAATTGTTTGAGATTTACCTGAATACAGAAGAAAAGAAAAGTAAAGTAAAACTCATCAATCAAAATAACTGCTACTCAAAATTACCAGTTCCGGGTGGTCCTTGACACATATAGATTTTTGCTTGATTATCATCTCTTGTATCACGTATCATTGATACAGCTTCAGCAATAACATTTCTTTGTGATTCATTATAAGCCTAGAATATAGAAAACTATGAAGATATTGAGATTTTCAATGTTCTCACCTGATAATGTTTATCTTCCATAGAACTTTCTCGTTTATTGGTTATTTGAAATATGTCATCATTCAATGATGGACTGAGTAGATTTTCAAATAGTGGACAAGAACGCATCGATGCAAGAGCTTTAAACCGTCGTAAAGTAGCAGTTAAAGAAGTAATTGCCTAAAATAAATAGATAAGAGAATTTTCTCATTTTTGGTATTCAAGCATTGTCTTACTTTAATCTTTATTTTCGATCCATCAAGAATCTTCATATTACTACCGAATATACGAATATTGTATTCATAACAAAACCATACAGGTGGTCGTATTTTAACATCTGGATGATCGTCTAGTAAAAACAAGAATTTATTAACAGTATTCTCATTCAAGTTTTTAATATCGTTTATCATAAAACACGATCTCTTGTTAATTAATAATTTGTATTCAACAGACTCATAGAATATGAATATTTTTTGCTTCAATCATTCAAACAATCTGCATATTCATGGTAATGAACAGTGATATTAAGTTAAAGTTGACAATAGAACAGTACAGTTTTGTCACTCTGTCTTCTAGTAAAATCAGACGAAGGGAACATTTTCCGTTCTATTCCAACGATGAAGCTTTTTTATTTTACTTTTTGAAAGATTTTTATACAGTATACATTGTCATTAGAAATATGTGATGTATATTAATCAATAATGTATATCAATCTTGTTTTATCCTTAAACTCGTTGTCCACACCAATTCACACTCCAATGACGGCATCAAAATAAATATCTTAGGTAACATTTTCTGTGCTGAGATATGTAACCGAGTAGTAAAAGTATCAAAAAAATAATCAAAAGAAGAAATAGACCTACGATATGATTTATGTAAGCGTGCTTTTTCTATAATTCGTTCTCCACTTCGGACAAGACCAAATATTTTATTTACTGGTTGATTTGGCAAAGTAATAATAACTAAATCATCATCACTAAACATTTCTCGATATTGACTAGTATTAGGAATTCGTTTGTGTAATGTTTGAGATTTAAGTTCGTAAATTCCTGATTTCAAGATCCGTGTTTGATGTAGGACAGCATCGAATTCCGTTCCAGCTAATTTGTGATCATTCATTTTTATACTTCGTTTGATCTTGCAAAAAAGAAATATATCATATCATGTCATATAGGTTATAGTGAAATATTTTAGTTTTTATTTACTTCTTCGAATGTTTCTTCGAATAACCATGGTAATGTAATTTCTTCATATTCATCAAATGAAGAATACAATTCAAGTAATGGTACCGGATAAACATTTTCACCGAGAAAATCTTTATATAAAATACCAGCTTCAGGTTCTATTCACAATAAATCAACAGTATTTATTTAATGAAACATAAATATTAATTTATTCAAACCTAATTCATCAACTAAAGAAACTGGCCATTTGAGAATATAAATAAGATAATCATCATATGTATTCATTTTTGTTCGTTTCGAGCTTTTTTCTTTCATATTCGTTGATATTGACTGAAGTGACAATGTACTCGATATAGATGATGAAGATTGCGCAGTAGTTAAATTAAGTGCAGAACGAGATGATGCTAAGGATGAACTAACAGTTGTTGTATCTGTTGTTATTGCATTGGTTAATGTTACGCGAACCATCGTTTCAGTTACGTCATGTACTAATCTTTCAAATGCATTTTTTGGTGTCTTAAAAAATATAAACTCTTCAAGCAAAGAAAATTTATTTTATATATTAAAACTTTGTCTGATGCTCGAATTTTTTTGGGTACTGGAGATTCGAGTTCATTAAGTTTCCGTTTCACTGCAGTGATTGTCTTTTTTTCTTGACTTGTTGCTAACAATTTATCAATTGTATTTTGTTATTATAAGAATAGATTTTTCTTACTTTTTTCATTACTTATTATTGGCGGTTTCGGTTTACGCATTAATTGCTCGCGTATTCTCAATTGTTCTTCAGCAACGATTTGTGTCATTGGAACTTGTTCACCACGGGCTCGTCTACTTCGCAATGTTGTTAATATTGCTTTAGTCCTTGCATTGACCGATTCTAGTCAAGAGAATAATATGTAATCCTTGATAATTAGCAGAAAAAAAATCATAACTTACGATTTGGAGGAGCAAAAGAATGAAAATCAGGTTTACTATTCGGTAATTTTTTCACTGGTGGTCGAACAATTGATGACGAAGGAAGTTCTAACGGAATTATATCGTCATCACTACTATCATTAGCCGGTCGTTTTTTCGATGATGACTTTGAAGTGTGCAATTCCTGCTTCAATCGATCATTTGTGACAGGAATAATATCACTGGTACTCGCTGAAGCTGAACGAAGAATCTTATAGATAACATATTTAATAGTGATAAAGTAGACATACTGTTCAGTGACTTCAACAAGGATGATGATGATATATTGGCAATAGGAGAATTTGGTTGTTTAAAAAATGTTCGTATATCCGTATTATTGATTTGAGGTTCTAAAATAAGGATATAACGATAAGATGTTGCATTAGATAAAAATATTTCAATTCAGTTAACGAAATACGGCTGCTTAAGCAAAACTGCAAGAAGCGTACCTGATTTCTGGAAATTTAAATAGTTTCTCAATATCCATATTCAATTTATTAGTACTTATTGTACGCTAGACCAGGGGCGTAACTCGGCTCTCAAAGCAGGAGACATCGCGCCCCCATACCCCCCCCCCTCCACCCCTATTTATGACCCTACACTAGACTTACAGCTACATAAGTAAAAGAAAATGATAACTAAAATCTAGTTTATGCAACGAGTTTAATTCCAAAAATGATTAATCAGTTCAAACGATTGTTGCTAACGTATTTGAAGAAACAAAATGTGTGCTCACCTCTTGCTCTCCTTGCATGTTCTTCAGCTTGTTTATATTGTGGTGTTTGTTCGAACTGTAATGCGCTAGTTAATAATTCATCATCACTCACACTTGGTGTCACTTCTGTTTTTATTGTTGTTTTTGCATTTGACATCAATCGCGAATCATTACTATTACTATTATTAGCAGTTGTTGGTAAATTTTTTATTCGTTGAAAAAAGTAGCTTGACATGTTCTTTTGTGTCTAATTTCTAATAAGATTCATCCATACTGGAACATTCTAATCAAGACAACCCTATTTTTTTTAATATCTAAAAATTCATCGAAGATACCAACATAAATCAGAATAATATTTTATATAAATCTATATATATATATATATTTTTATCTCTCTCTCTCTCTCTCTCTCTCTATATATATATATATATATATATATATATATTTCCACTATTCTCAGTACTTTTTTTTCTGTTCAAATGATTAAAAGCGAGTCTAAATATGAAGAATGAATAGTTAACACATATAAAGACAAAATCAAAAAACAAGAATAAATATGTGCAGAAAAATATTTAGACTCCTAAAGGCAAGCAAACAAAAAAGACAAAAAAAGATCGAAATGAATCACATATCTTCAAGTGTTTTTCGTACACATTCGCTAACTTTCTTCTTAAAGCCTGTTCGATCATCTCGCCACATAATTGATGCATCAATATTGGCTGCAGAATCACAATTTGGATCGCTCAACATCGAAACAACAGATAGTAAAATTGTTTCTGAAAAAGTATAATAAACAAATGTTTATAATTCGAAAGCAAATGAATTGGATTATATAAGCTTACCAACTGATTGTACCGGTGACCAACGTTCTGATGCTCGTTCATAACCAAATTGATCAGCACCAGGCTCGTGAAGCTACAAAATTTATGTCAATTATTTAACTTAGAAGAATATAGAACTTACAATAGATATGCACACATCACCATTTTTTTCAATATTCGGATGCCAAATTTCCGAAATGAATTTCTATGATTAAAAATATACAGCATCATTGAAAAGTCAATCCACAGGAAAAAAATTATATAAAAGAAGCTATTAATGAAAGTTGCGAGAGATGGAAATATGAAACAGGATTGATCTATATGGATTTTAAACCAAAATACTCTGAAATATATCATTGGTTTGAGATTTCTCATGCGCTTTAGATGTTCATGATAAACGATAGGATTCATAATAGGTTATGATGACTTTGTGTACGAGGTCACAGATCACCATCTTGAATTCAATCTTCTTTCATTATAATCTTATAAAAGACTTTAATTGCATGACTAAGTCCGTCGTACGTCCCACAGGATGAGAGCTTTGATGAAGTGTCTCTTATGATTTGTGAAGAACATATTTCGGTCTGTATACTTTGAAGTTATGTTTTCAAAACAATTATTGTAGTAAATCTTACCATTTTTGGTGGTTTTATCGGATATTCTTTTGGAAAATCCAAACGTGCTTTGAAAAATCCTCCTAATGATTTAATTTAAAAAAAAATTGTATTCTCAGAGAAAAAGAAAACTTACCTTCATAGAGTGTATCTGACGGCCCAACAAGAATAACATTCCATGCATACGGATTTGATTCTTCAATAAGACCAGCACTAATACCTTCGACAGGATGACGATTAAACTCACGTAATTGTTTAAGTAAAAGTAAAGCAGAACCATCCATTAGAAAAAGATCTAAAAGCAATGTCAATTATCGCCACTGTTTACATCACAAATAAAAAAATAAAAAAATAAAAAAAGATATTCGAATATATTAGGTATGAGGTATTTAATTTAAGTCAATTATTATACGGCTTGAACATATGCGTCCAGCGAATTTTGCAAAAATCCTTAAGCAATCCAAGACGAGAAAAAAATATTCCTCATTGTACGCTTGTAAGTTCAATGGTGTCATTATTTGACGACCAATACGCATTTGAAGCTGTTCAATATTATTTTCTTCATCTTCATCAACTAAAACCAATTAGAGACGTGATTAAAAATATAGAGATTATTTAAATTTGCAAGCAAACCTTTCGTTGGATCGGATTCAAATCGAGCATATTTATGAGAGTTTAATAACTGTGCACATTTTTCAATTCGATGCCAAGTATATGTTTCAGGACAGAGAAGAAATGATGGTTTGTATTGACCCTATATAAATGCGATTAGTTTTACGTTTTTTAATTGATAATTAACTATCATCTCCTATTCAATACAGATGAGGTTTCTTCGCATGGCTTTTTGCTAATGTATAAATCATAGAGAACTTTTTTGTTTGATTTTTCAAAGGAGCTCTTTTTTGTACGACCAAAAGTTTGCAAAGACTGATCGCTATTCAGGTATCTTCTGTTGGTGCTGGTGTCTATCTATTTATTCGTTTAGAATCCTATTCATCAAGTTCAACACGTAATCTAAAGTCATTAGTGTCTATTGGTAGAGCAATGATAGAATGATGCTTCAAATATTGTTTCTAAAGATTCTAATATTGTTTTTCAAGAGAAAAACACATTTTTTTAAAAAGCTAATGTTACACTGAATGTCGTTTACAGCTGAATAATCATAAGTTTCTTTTTAACTTTTACTGGAGAATAAAAGTTTGAATCAAAAGTACCATCAACAACAACTGAGAGACAATAATTTTCCTATTCAATAAGTGTAGAAATGATTCAATGAACTTTTATTATAAATTTTCACTAAGAAAAATAAATAAAATCTAATTTTTTGATAACCTCTGATATTGAATACATATAGGATAGTATAATATAATTTTCTGGAATGAAAAACAGAACCACTATTTGAAAATGTTAACATTATTGTAGTCCTAATTTTAACGAAAGAACAAGGCCTGTGCCAAATATTATGTTTTGATGAAACAGTCGACTTTGAGTCATGTAAAATATTGAAAGAAATGTGCAGATGTTAATGTTTTATTTTTCGATTATGTTAGTAAGTATGAAGTATAATTTAAATTTTTATTCGAATATTTTAGGTGTACGTTATTTCTGTAGCGCTTTCTCTATAGGTATTTATACAAAAAACATTTTTTTATCTCTAATTTTTCCTTATGGCAAGTTTTAGTTTGAAGACCGGAATTCCAGTCCTAATGGAGGTTTACTGCGTCAATCCTCATCAAAATTCTTATTGCAATCAATAATTTCTATAAGTAAATACGTTATGAAAAATGTCTCCTGATAAAAATCAGGGAGGAAAACTTCCGTTAAGAGGAATTTTCTGTGAAAGCTATAGTTTTACAATAAAAAAATAATCTTTGAGAATCTCACGTAAATCTCGCTATGAAAAAGTCAGACTTCTCTTATGTTCAAATATCAATTAAGACAAAAAAATTACTTTATAACGCATTTTTATACATGTGTGCACATAGAAACCAAGATAATAGTACTTTATATCAGGTATTTCACGTGCTAATTGTCTTGTCAGTTCAATTTCTCTATAAAGAAAAAAAAGTTTAAAAAAAGTAGGATTAATTTGGTTCTTGTGAATAATTCTACTTTAATGCTGAGTAAACTCCAAGTTTAAGAAAACCTAATTCGGGCTCGTAATAAAAATAAACCGACGAAACACCTCCAGGAAGAATATCAATAACGCTACACGCAATGATCTTCTTATTAAGATAATATTGTAAATGAAACGATCCATAGCCACATGCAGGAAATTTTGATGATGGAATTCGCGAGCATTCTTTTTCTAATGATGAAATACAAAGAAACCGTTTAAATTGTGAAAATGAACACTCTGATTGTGAATCTCCATGTACAGCCATTTGATAACGCTCATATACGGAATGCGATTCTTTTAGTGTACATTTAAATTCTTCAGTAGGTGGATATGAGCGAACCAAACGGCATTCAAAGTTGTTTTTTGGTTTTTCATTAAATTGCAATAGTTGTTCAAGCGAAGAAATATTTTGGTTTTTCATTCTATCAAACCGTTTGATTAATATATGAATATCTTCCAATAGATAAAAAAAGGAAAATTATTTAATTGAATTCTTTTTTTCGAATTTGAACAAACCAGTTTCCATTGAAAGTTTCTTTTGTTCTTTAATTTTAAGCAGTTTTCTGTACCAACGCTTTTGACGAGATCCTAATCGTTTAAGAAGTTCATCGGGTGGGGCTTTTTTATTTGAATAAAAAAGAAAATAATCAAAAATATTTCATCTATTTTCATACGTGTATCGTTCGTTAGCATATGATGAATTAGTTCAATAGCCTTTGTGCTTGGCTGTGTTTTAATCCACTCGTTGACATTTATTTTATTATCAAGTTTATTAGTTGAAAATTTTGATTCAGTACTCGTTGATTTGATTTCTTGTTTTTTGTGTTTTGTTGAATGAACAGGATTTTCAAGCTGCGATGAAGTAATGTTAGGTTCGTTGGGTTTCCTATTTTCATTAATAAAGCGATTCATCGTTTGAACAACTTTTCGTTGAGAATGAGACAATTCAAAATTATTTGCATCACAACTAAAATAAAAAATCATTTATAGAATTCTTGTACGTGATTCCGTTAATTGAGATAAGTTTCTGTCTTTTTTTGTATCAAAATGAAGATTTAGAAAAACATTTAGATAGATATGGTTTTTTTCCTGAACTGTTTACATATCATCTCTAACATACTGTATCCAACATCGTTGAAATTCATATTTATATTATACACTTTTTTAAATAAATGGATACTGTCTAAAAATATTCAACTGTATTCTTCTATCAATATAGATAGTTCAATAAAACCATCCGTGATACAACAGTAAAGAATTCCTAGCATGTTTTTACTTCTACATGAAGATTTTTGTATTTTATCAAAACTTCAGGTTCAGCAATGTAAGTTATCGATCACATAGTGTATCACTAGCAACATCATAAAACTAGTTTACGAACGTTTTCGATATTTGAAAAATGATTTTGAAGTAAACTTACCGTATAGTATAGAGGGGACAACATGTTTTATCCATCAATGATTTATAATAATAGGTGCCACATCTACAGATTCGATGATAAGTAAATCGATAAAATAAAAATGATTTCATTTACAACAATCTTACTTTCGCCAACCGCGATCCATCAATGATTGATAATCATCAACGAGCATCTTTGAACTGACAATCCCTAAATAATAATAAAGAAGTAAATGTTTTATTCTGATTTTATACGTTTTTACCGAAAGAAACTTTCCCACTCTTATGCTGACAATATCCACACTTTGATGAGTGAGTTTTACGTAATCTAACTAAGCTAAATAGACACAAACCTGCTGTACAACTTCCATCTGTTTTACAATAGCCACAATGATGCGGAGTTGAATTCGGTTCAAATGCTATTTGAACATGAGAAGACGATGATGCATCATGTCGATGAGTCGACATTTTCTGTAGTTCTTCTTTGCTTATTGCGGTATATATATATATATCTACAATCAAAACAAATCTCCAAATATGTAGATAATACTTTCTTTTTTATTCTTTGGAGTAACAACAATAACAAAAACAAAAAACAAATGAATTATGTTTTAACATTAATTCCTTGAAATGGTATTTGACGACAATCAACTATCGACTCTTTGTTGTCTCCATTGGAGAGATTCTCTTGGTTTTTTGTTTTCATTTTTTTAGGCTGATTATTTGTTTCAGCATTTGTTATTGTAATTGATGATGCCTTTCGTTTCGTTGTCAACACATTCATGATTTCTTCATTGATTTTTAAACTAAATCTATATGGAAAGAAAAACAAAGCAAAAAAAAGAAATTAATCTTTAATTTGAAATATCCAAGAGAGAGAAACCTTTTCTTAAATGATTGTATAAGATTAAGAAGTTGTTTACGTTGTTTATCACTATGGATTGGTTTAACTTTAATTGCTACTGAAACAGCAGCAAGTAGTTCGGATGCTTGTTGTTCAGTTAATGTTGGATTCTAGAAAATCAAATTTAATTCATATGTAAATTTTAAAACTAAGTTAGGAAATCAACTTTTGCTCGCCATCAAACTTCATTATTCTTTTATATTTTTGTTCGGCTCCTTAGAATAGGTTGATATTTTTGCAACATTCGTACGAGGTATCTAGATTCAGTCTACGGGTTAGAATTTTAGTTTTCTAATTTTTACAATTATATTTTTGCCAAAAAGAGTACAAATAAAAAATATAAGTATTCTATGAATGTTTCATAATGGATAAATTTTAGTTTTCGACATATCAGTTTTACTACTTATAATTGATCTATATGATTCTCAACTCTTTATAGAAAGAAACTCTAAACGGTTCTACACGGTAAACTTACATATTTCTATTATATATGAACACTTTCGATATGTAAATCTGATTAAAAACTACTATCATTTTTTATTCAACTCATCTGGTAGGAGCAGCGAAAAAATTGCGATAAGTCTTTTAAAACCCTTCGATAAATTTTATCCCAATGACTATCAGAGGTAGAAAAGTTGAATATCAAATGTGTAGCTAAGATATTGACACCTGGTAATTATCATCATGTTGAAGGGAAAGAATATATAGAATGATTACTAGACAATTATTGAAACTCACTAGATACTATCATAGATTTACGACAATTAAAATGTAAACTTACGCGAATAAGTAATAACTTTTGAGTTAATACTGTAATAACATGTAACGATTCAATTTTGGATGATTTTGGATCATTGCACATCTGCGCAACGAAAAAAAATATTCTTCAGATAATATTTTATAAACCATATTTTCAACGTGGATTATGATTATGCATAGATTTGTCTTTATTTTTTCGTTTCAATAAAAACGTCATTCTTACCTTAACTAGAAGGTGGATAGTAGCTTTTAATAATTGTTCATCCGCATGGTCCAACTAGATGAAGAAAAAAAATGATAGAAGAATGAAAATGAAATAAACTCACGATTTACCTGTTTCTTATTAAAGAAATTGTTCAATGTACCACAGACGATGTTCTTGAATAGAAATAGAAATAGAAATAAAAATTTGATAATTAAGTAAAAATTTAAAATTTACTCGTTTTTTCCAATTGACAGTTTCTTTCAATGCTGTTTGTACCATCAATAACATGAGACGCGTACCATATTCAGGAAAACGTAAAAAGAATTCTTTGATAATAGTTGGATGAACAACTGATTGATGAGCAGCTGGTTCATCGTCATCATCATCATCCTTATTTTTCTTCTTTACCTTGTCTGACTTTTGTTTTGGCCTGAAAAAACAAAAAAGAAATATCATCTGTTAGTCAGATTTTAGTGAATCATATTAATGGTACGAACGTATTCGGTTGAAGAAAACGAAGAAATCCACTTTCATACGTAGTCAAAATTGTTTCCTCTACACCGGCTAATCGATCTTCAAGTTTACCAACATTTAAGGATAATTTTATCTTAAATCAAAAACAATGAAGATAATTATCATCTTGCTTGATTTCAGATAACTTACGACAAACATGGATATTTTTGATAATGTGTCAGTAGTCAATTTTGCTCGGCTACCTAAACAAAAGCAATTGTTTGATAAATGCTGCAGTGAGAAACAAAGAAAAAACTAACCAGCTAATGATGCCAAATAACGAAATAGCTCCATACATTCATCAGTTGTTGGCATATCCGAATGGCCAATCTAAATATAAGATGTAATGTAAAAGAATTCAATAGCATCATAAAAATCTTATTGAATGTATGGTTTCTCAAAATGTAAGATTAGTTCTTGATCAAAACTAAACCAAGGATAGACTTGATTAACTTCCATTGTAGTTTTTCAGACAAGAGTCGTTTGTCTGATGGTTAGTAGCGATGTCATAAGGTGACTCTGAGGAACTCAACTTTTCCTTTCTGACCAAAAACCATAGCGTCGCTGCTATGTAAAATGTTCAGTAGCAGTTAATGTATTCATAATCTTTTTTAGAGTCAATATGAACAATTTCAGTTTTCATTTAGTTTGAGTTAGTTGAATTGAATTGAAACTCATCAAGATCCACAGAAAATTTATTTTGGTCAACTTGATAAGAATCTACTTTTGCAAGATAGAAAATTCAAATGCAAATGTTTAAACTGTGTAGTATTATAGAAAAAGTGGCCGTAAGGTCAAATCTAATGTTGAGGATCCATCAATTTAAACCGAAAACTTGTTATACCGATTTTCTAAACGATACAGTTTATGAATTTAATCGATTTGTCGATACTTAGATATCATTTTTCAAGTTCAAATTATTGTTCAGCTAGCTTTAAAGTGAAAATTTTTCAAATTAATAGAAAACAAAACGATAAATACTTTTCGATTTGATAAATGACATAAAATGGAATCAATTCGTTCAATCATTGTTTTATAGGCAGATGTATTTGGTAAACTTGTTAATGTTTCAATCAATGGGCGAATGCTTATCTATCAGAAAAACAAATTTAATTGAAGTGAAACACGTATGTAACTTACTAAAACAAAACGCATGCGTTCATCCTTTTTAATAACTGATTCAATAAGATCCAATACACGAAATTGGTGATGAAGTTTCTCATTGATTATTTTAATGTTAGATGATTTTCTTAGTTGTGATCGAAATGCTTCAGCAATGAGTGGATCTAAACGCAGCATAGCTTCATCGTCCATATCGACATCATCCTAAAAATGAATTCTTTTTAAATCATGTTCACTGTAAACATTCTTATTTTTACTTCTTCATCATCTTTTACAGCTGCATCACCAAGTGCTTTTTCAACAGCTTTTCGAAGATCTTCATTGACATCACCATTTTCAAGAAGTTCGTCATCTTCATCAATATCCGATTGTTCATCATTACTTTCATCTTCATTTTCATCATCTCCGTCTTCATCATCGTCTTCATCTTCATCATCGTCATCGCTTTCGTTTTCTATTGTAATTGTCTAGCATTTCATTTAAAAAAAACGATGAGTATAATAAATTCAATTAGTTTTACTTGAAGCATTAATTTCAATGCATCTTCACTAACATAAGATGCTATTTGATGATAAATTTTTTTAACTATTGATCGAATATCATGTTGTTTCTTAGTATCCATTGATAGAAGTATATCTATAAATACTTCAATCCATGATGATTCCTCTAGAGAAAAAGAAAAACATAGATCGGAATAAGAAATAAGTTGAATTTGGTATTAATCAAAATGTGCGCAAAATAATATGAAAAATAAACAAGAAAAATTATCGTACCTTTAATTTTCTTTTTCAATACAATTTGAGTATGAGCGTTTTTCACACAAGTAACCAAATCCTAGAAAGAAAAAGTTATTTTTAGTTGAAATTCTTTACATGCATTTTTAACATACATCCAGATATTGTTTAGCACGATTAAAATCAACACAAAGATCGTAGAAACTTAAAACAAATACTTGTTGAAACGCCAATCGAAGTTTTTCATCCGGCAAAGATTGAATCTAAAAGAAAAATCATCGAATCAATCTAACGTGTCTTTTTTTCTTTATTTCCGAACTTTATTTCCTTGAATAGTTTGAAATAATTCTTTACTATACTCATCCAAATATGTTTTTATTTCTTCAACATTTTTAAATAGCGGTGTATAATGTTTCATCGATGAAAGCCAATTCTAAAAGCAAATGAGTTATTATCTATACTAAACTGTCACTATGTCTTAAAATCTTATTTTCTTACCATTGATTTTTGAAATACATTGAAACCGTGTTCATATTTATTTTCATGAAATTCATACATAAGAAACTTATATGTAATATCTTCAATATGTTCTCGTGTTACATCGGAAATTTCAATATTACCATGAAGAAACTAAACGAAAAAATTTATATGCCAATAAATATTGTCTACGTTGAGAAGATAGATTACTTCACGAAATTCTTTTGGTATATGATTATTTAATTTAAAGTTTGATAGAAGAACACATATTCCAAGCATATTTTCGAAGAGTAAACCACATGAACTGTTTTTTAAATCAAATGTTGAACAATTACATAAATTTGAAAGCTTAAAATATATAAATATCAAATCAAAATGAATATTTGTTGCTTGAAAATAATTACCATTTCAAGAAGGAAATGTCGACGACGATGAAGAGCACTATTGAAAAAAAAGACGACAATTCAAAATCTGATTTCAGTCAAGTTTTATTCATTACTTTTCGTCGTCTTTCGAAACGTCACAGAATAAACCAATAATAAATTTAACATAATCTGATAGTTCATCGATTGTTAACTAAAAATAATAATGAATCACAATAATTAAATTTAGTTTTATTAATCGAAATGTATTTATTATGACAAAAATCAAAACGCGCATTTCATGTCGTTGTTTTCCCAGTATCAGATTATGTTTTCAAGTTTGCCTCTGATCATTGTTCATGCTATTGTATTAAAAGATCAATATTTTTTCAAAAACATTCTTGTAGTATCTATTTTTTGTAGAAAATTTTTCAAAGAACGATAGCCCAAGGCATGCAAAAAGGTATCTGGTTTTATATACTACGAAAATGAAGAAAAAAGAAACAGTTATGATCATGTCGCCAATTTTACTAACACCGAATAAAATCAATGAAGTGTACATATAGATTGTTTCAAAATCTAATACAAACAAAAAACAGATCTCATGAAAACTACTTATTTTTACTATTTCACTGTAGAGTCAAAATGTTCAAGAATAGAAATTATATTTAACAAAATGCATACCTTTTCTGACACAGCGTTAGCTACTGAATTAATGCATGCATAGTTTTTATTAGCACTAAATAAATAAACATAAGAATTTCGATGATAGTTAAAATCTATGCGAACCAATTTAATAATTTTTCAAATAAACGTAAACGTTCTTGTAGTGGTCGACTAGCAATTGTATGCGCAAGCTTCTCGAGCTAAATAATATATGAAAGTGGAATTTTATTTCAGAAGTTTTTAACATACAGCATTTTTAGATAATACAATTGATGCTGGTTGATGCATTTTTCTGCCTGATGATGATAATAAATCGAGTATTTTAGTAAATAATTCTGAACTATTATCAAGAATCGTTTCAATCTAAACAATCTATCATAATAGATTCATATAGAATAAACTGAATAAAATATACCGTATAAATAGAACTCGAAATTTCTTGATCTTGAAAACAAAATGTCAATAAATCGAGTAAAATATGTCCTTTATTCGAATCGAATCCAATATTTGATAATTCTGAATACGAAAAAACAAGTAATTCAAATCTATATTCATATATTTTCTTTTTATTGTACCATCAACTAGTACTGGCCAAAACAATGCTAATTGTTGAGTACGTACTGCATAGACAAGTAATTCTTGGCTTAATTGTTGAAGTAAATGAAGTTCATTATCAAAAGACTGTAGGCGAAAAATTTGATCATAGAAAATTCCAAAGAGCACTTCGTTGTTACCTGTAGACATTTTTTAATTGTTATTTGTTGATCCTTTGTTTTTCCTAATGGTAACATATCAACTTTCCAATATGTTTTAAAATAGTTTTGATCGAATAATTTCTTTGATGAAAACGAACATTTAAAATTTCTATATTTTCTATCGATAAATATTTCTACGTACAGGATAAAGATTACTTAATGAAACCAGTAAAAATAAAGATTTTGCTCCATCATCACCGATTTGCCAATTTGTTGGAAAGAGTTCTTGAATATGAGGCAAAATTTCGTTTTTGAACAACTTACGACCACTCTAAAATATTATTTAAATCATCTAATAATTTATTGTGAATGATCACCAATCAAGAAATGTCAATTGCTACGCATTTTTCAAAGCTTTCAAAGAATATATTTTTTCAATTGAAGATTATGGTTATAAGTGAGGCCTAATGTCTTATAATGCAAGGAATCATTTATCATGATATATAAAAAATACTGTAGAAATATTCATATTCATTTACCCATTTTGCTAATTGAACAATTGATGCATCAACAAATGCTCTTAATCGTCTTCGTGTTTCTTGTGTACGCATTAAAAGCAAATCTGATATGATTTGTGGTAGTAACTTTGATAGCTAAGTAGAAAAACCAAAGATATATTTGTGAAGTGTTTCAATAAAAACTAACATCATTGTCTTTTTGCGTATAAGCCAAGGCTATATAGCTAAGTACACGACCAATACGAACGTTTTTTGCATCCTAACAGGAAAACATAATTGAAAAAAAAAACGTTTTGAGAAATAATAAATATATTTGATTTTACTTCAACACCAGCTTCTTTTTTTGTTGTTAATTTATTTTGTACTAGTGAAACGAAATCATCGACTGAAGGTATTTTCAATTGATCATCGTTCAGATGTGCAAGCTAAAATTGAAATATATGAATAGAAGCGATTTTGTCAATTGTTTCGCTAAATAACAAACTGTGCCAAGAGATGCTGCATAACCAATACGAGCACATTTACGGTTGGAGACTAGACCTTTGATTAATCGTGATATTGAATAATCGATTTGAGATGATGAATTCTAAAAATTAAAATTTCCATTCTTTCCCGCCATATAAATATTTATCTATACCGTATCATTGTTCTCATCTGTTGACCATGTTTTTAAAGAATTTAATAGTTTCTCCATACCTTGTTGACGAGTATGTATATCAAAATCAGACAATTCCCAATAAACATCCATTTTACAATATCTGAAATGGTAAAAATTGTTTTCAGTATCAAAATCAAATGAAGAGTTTTTTTTTAAGTGAAAATAGAAAGAAATTTAATGCGTTGAAATTACTGTTTGCCTAAATAAGCAAGCAACTACATAACCAATCGATGAAGAGTCGACTCGTATTGACTAATAAGAAAGTAGTTTTGAACAACTAAGAAAATTTATTGATTGTAAGCGAACGACATCTCATCAGGTTTCAGGAAAACGCTTTTTATTTATTGAAACGAATTTTTTAAAACAATTGTTTGATGTTCTGTGAAAATTCTATTGATAACTATTACACTTTTATTATGAATAGGTATTAATTATGTAAAATTTCATTTTTCCTTTTCAACAAACACATAATAATAACTAAGGAGAACAATCTTTAAAAAAAAGACTTCATAATTAAATTTTAATAATAGATCTTTTATTCTTTGAATTATTTTTGATAAAAAGCAACTTACGATTTTCAATGCGGCTTTAACTATAAATTTAATTATTCTGAAAAGAAAAGTTTTCTTTTTCTACGATTACACCGATGGGACAGTCTACTAGCACTCATTTCCATAGTTGTTTTTGTTATAGTTTGAACTGCAAAATAAAAATGGACTAAATAACGATTAAGTTTCTTTTCTTCTGATGAGATATCATTACAAGAAGTCATTCAATTACATAAGAACATGATAAGTATACTTTTGCGAATCAGAAAAACAATTTTAACGTTGTACTTTATGTTTTACAGCATATAGATGCTGTCCTAATTTGTTCCAGCAAAACGGTACCTAAAACGGTTATTCAGATATAAGTGTAAGCAGTTTTTTGCAGTCATCATTTATGTGGAGAGAAGCATTATTTTCTCATTAGTATTATTTAAGTTCCACATAGATCAAAGACTTTTTGATGTACTAATAGAACGTAGAATTTATCCAGTTCTCTCAAGATCTTCTTTTAGAAAATTTAAATCCACAACAAAGTTACTATTAACCAACGGTACCCAAAAACATGTGTTATTACATTGAATCAATAGAAATTTGCAAATGTTTTGAGAATCACACATACAACAAATATTTCAACAACTGACAATAAATGAGAAGGTGAGCAGTTTATAGTAAATATTTCTATGTATTCCAGAAAATAGCAAGAAATGTAATCTGAAGAAAACAAATGTTTAGAGAAATACTATCAACATAAAAAGCATCGGGAAACACCCTATTTGATCTAAATATTGCGAAAAACATAATTTGGTTATTAAAAATCAAAGCAACAATTATTGCTTAAACTTGATGAAAAATCATAAAGACATACATCGAGATCAACAAAGTTAAGCCTAGAACTTAAACAAACAAAGATTTTGATATTGAACAACGAAAAATATACAAAATGAGATTTAACAAAATTTTATTTTAGCCGCCCTGGTCGATTGAAATAATCGTAAACGATAAAATTACGGCTGATTATGGACACCGGCCAGTTACCAGTATCAGTCGTCAAAAATCCAGACCAATTCAATCATTGAACGAGCCTGTTGAATGAACATAAAGCAAAAAAGTCTACAATTGATTCTGCATTGTGCAAGTTTCGAAACGTAGCATTTTAACATATTTTACTTGTATTATTTTTCATCTTATATATCTACCTGTTGTTTTTGGAATAACTGAGAACCTATTGTTAAACCAAGAAGAAAAAAACAACAACATGTAACTTTTATTATCAGGATTATTTCCTCTATGTCTAATGCAGTGACTGAGCATTGTGAAAAATAAGTAGAAATTTCTTCCTTGGAAGTTTCCCAATGCTATATACATAATGAAACGAAATATCACACGTCGATTTTCATTTATTAAAAAGACTTCATATGATTATTTTTTGATTGTACCTATAACCAACAATGATGATTATAGTGAACTAAAATGTTGCACAATCATTTTTGTTTTGCTAATCATTTTTTGTTTATAGTTAATCAAATATTATTGACTAGCAATATTGTCTAGTATGAAATTCATCCATTTCATAAAATACAAGTTATTAAAAGATGGAAATTTGAATTTCGAAATTGAACTACAAAATTGCTCGGTAGATATTGTACAATTTTGTTTGTCGATATCTTCATTGAAAAATTCAGCAATAGACTCGAGCGGACTATCACCATGACTAAGTTTCTTTAATTCGATTCGCCATTCCTCAAATGAAACACTTTTCAACTGAATACCACAACAACATATAGCATCGATAATATCTTTATATAATATCTCATTATTTGGATTTAGAACATGATAGATTTTTTCGGATGCATCATATTGCATGCGACTCAAATAAACGATACTTTTTGCTGCTAAATCGACAGGTAAAGCACGTAAACGAGCATTAACTATTGCTTCAGGATAATAGCGTAACTTCATAATTGCAGTGAATAGAAATGTATGAAGATCATTTCGATTGCAAGCACCTGTTTCCGTACTTGCACATATCGATCCAAGACGATAAATGACTACTGGTAAACCGAAACGATTGGCTGTAGCCATTAACTTTTCTGCTACCCATTTGCTTTGTGCATAACCATTGAGTAAACCATCTGGAGCAATTTCATCAATCGATAATTCTTTGCTAACATTAGAGGATAGCACACTTAATGTTGAAATATAATGAATGGGAATGCACGTTGTTGCATGCGCTGCGAAACGAATGATCTCTCTAGTACCAAAAATATTGGAACCATACAATTTGTGATATGGAAATACAAAGTTCACAGCAGCACCACAATGAAAGATGATATCGACCTGTTTAGCAAGTGAGTCATATGTTTCATTATCTAATCCGAAACAAGTTTTTTCTAAGTCACCTTGTAATGGAATAATTCGTTCTTGATAATCATCTTTCCATATTTTATGAAAGAGCATATTTTGTCGAATGCGATCCATGACATTAGTTGAAGATTCACATCGGACAAGACATACAAATTTACAGTCAGAAGTATGAGCTAATAATAATTCAGCTAACAAGAAAGCACCAACAAATCCTGTAGTTCCAGTAACAAAAATTAACGAAGGGGGTAGAATTGAATTTTTATGTTTACTAATGTTTATCTCTAAAGATAATTCTGAATCTTTCGACATTTGCTCTAAAATTGAATACGATGTGGAAGACATCTGCGAGGGATCTTCAATAACAGTGACCAGTTGTTGAAGAGTCATGTTAGGTTGCAAAAGTATACTCAAAGGAACAGATATTCCTAGATCATTTGCAATCATGCGTGACAAACGTATGGCTGTCAATGAATCACCACCAGTTGGAATAAAGAAATTATTTGCGTCATCGATCACTAGTGATTGTTTTGTTGTCGTTTCGATAATAGTTTTCAATCGTTGTTCAATAGTATTCGATTTTTTCAATCGGCTACCGTAGTATTCAACTAATTTAGGACGACAAAATTTCCCTGTAGAGGTGAGCAAACCATTTTCCGGTGTAAAAGGTTCGAAATCAATTATTATTCGTGATGGTATTTCATGTTTTCGAAGCGACTGTTTCTCAGCTAACAAATTCAAATCTTCTACAATGGCATTATGAAAATGTGGATCTGGATTAATCATATCGAAATTTTCCAAATGATGCTCAGCTATGAATGCTTGTGTATATTCTCGATTTGGCACGACCACTGCAGTAACCGAATCAGCTAAAAGGTCGCCATGAATATAAATTTGCTCGACGAAAGGACTTTGAAGATAAATACTTTGAAGAAATTCAGGTGATACATATTGTCCTTGTGAAAGTTTGAAAAAATTCTTTTTACGATCAATAACATGTACCTGCAGTTTACCGTCTGAATCGGAACGTAATTCGACAATGTCACCAGTACGAAAGAATCCATCGTTTGTGAGAGCTGCTCGAGTTTCTTCTGGATTGTTAATATAACCAGAAAACATCTCTTCAGTTTTTACCAAAAGCTCTCCTCGAGGAAATGGCTCATCGTCTATTGTATAACCCATTTCTGTGACAGATATCAGCCGAAACTGTAGTGTGCTTTTCATCATATTATCGAATGCTACACCTCCGCATTCTGTTATACCATAAGATTCATAAATGGTACAGTGTGAAAAACATCGTTTCATAAAGTCGAGTACTGCTGAGCTGATCATAGCACCACCGACACCAATCGTTTTGCATCTTGTTGGAATAAGTTTTGAAAATTGTTGAAGAAGTCGATTTTCCTCGTCTGCTATTGCTTCTGATGGCAGATGAGCTATTGCTATTGACAAAGCGGTCTTAAATTCAGCATATATTTTGTTCCATATAGCGGGTGTTGCAGAAAAAATGTTAGGTCTAACTAAAGCCAAATCTTCCATCAAACGAGAAACATCTGCTGAAGAGAATCCAGTACGTCCTCCATCAAAAAAAGTTCTAATGACAGCGTCACGACCACTAACCCACGGCAATGGTTCAAAACAGAAATTGATCCGATCGATACCACATGGACTACACCATCTTGCAAATGTAGATCGATAAGCCTTTTCAGAGATCATGGCTCCTTTAGGAAACCCTGAGCTTCCACTTGTATATATAATTGTCATGCACTCATTCGAATCAATGTTGATAGGTTCGTAGTGTTTGGTCGAGCCGTATGTTTCAATGTCACCCATGTAGTGAATATGTAGACTGTTCTTCTTTTCCATGTCTAGAAGAATGATATTGAGAGTTTGATGCCAAAAATATGAATTCATTCAGATAAAATTCTCGTCAATAAGTAAATATATTTGTTAGAAAATATTTTTTACATATATGCTTCGAAAAATGATCTCAAAATTTAAATCATTATCAAGTCAATCATCAACGAAAGAGAAAGATATTGAAGAATATTCGAATTAAATCAAGTATTAATATTTACTTAGTATTGTTTCGGAAATCGGATCCATACATATAATATGATCAAGCGATGGACACTCTGTAGACAAGCGAACAAATTTTGATAACATCTTTATATCGCAAACAACTACTGATACTTGTGCATTCTTGATAACATAAACAAGTTCGCAATCATTGAACAAACAATACATTGGCACACTGATAATACTCTGAAAAATACATGCAAAATCTGTAATTACCCATTCAGGTCGATTTTCTGAACAGATACCAAGATAACGGCGTGGTTCAATTATTTTTCTTAATCCTTGACCAAAATTCTTCGCTCGAGTACCCACTAATTCAAATGTTAACCAAGAGTATGTATCTGCATATAGTGAAGGATTAGTTTTGTCGATATCTCGTACACCTAAGCAATACCGATCATGATACATGGCTATAGCTGTTTGAATTCCATTTGCCATATTTTTATTTTGATCAAACTCGACTGTTTCTTCTTGTCCGTGTGCTAGTTCACGCATCATTCGATGAGGATGCGGTGGATCAAGTGTTGCTAAACATTGTTCACATAAATCATAATTTTCACAAATAGTACAATTGAAACGAAACTCTCCGTGCTTTAAATGACGTTGACATTGGTCACAAGCCCAATAACTTAATTTTGTGGTAGCTGTCTCATTCATATCAATCTTAAAATGAATTAAAAACGAGTCAGTTAAATTCTATTATTTTTACGAAGTGTTTAACGCTGATATAGATGAAGAATAACTATAAAGCGTGTATATTTCCAAAATCGTTATCTTTTTTTCTGTTGAGAAAATCATTTTTATCGCTGTTCTCTCCCTTGGATAAATGTCATAGAAAGCGAATCGTACGAAAATTAGCTTACGTTAGTCTTGTATAATATTAGAGAACGAAAGTTATTTTGTTGAGCAAATTATCTATGCCCGCTAAAGACAAACAAAGATTAGACGAAATCACAAAACGATATTTACTACAAACTGAAATACAACATTGTTTTGTGCCTTTCAAAACTTTTAACTGATCAGAAATAAGTTCAGATCTTCAATGATTTTAAGATTTTAACTTTTAAAGCTCACGTTAGAATAGATTAAATTACTCGTCTACATCTACAAAGAAAATCTAGAAAACAAAGAGCTATAAATTGTTGCTGTTTTCCAAACACTTCGTTATGCTTACTTATTTACTGATTTTTCGAAGTCTGTACATTCCTTTTGTATCCGTATTTAAGATTCTATCACCAAAATTCTACTTTGTTCTTTTAATATATCGAAAAAAATACCTTACGTGATTCACAGTATGTGAGATTTATTATTACTCATCATAGTCTGCCGCCATATTAACAATTATTGCTAAGAACTTCTATTGAAAATTGTCTGGCTCCATTGCAGACAATCGAAATAAAAGTAAAGTTAAAATTCAACGTATCATTGAGAAGAAATTCATATTGATAGATAAGAATGCGTCATACTTATCATAATCTTTTGCTGACTTTTACTTCAACGGTACACAATTCTATGAAAGAAAATAAAAGATGACTCACGTTTTTTTCGTTCTACTCATGTATGCAATAGTTTATTTTTTTGTTAGCACTGCACCATGTCAATATCATATCTAATGTAATCGACTTTAGGAAATATACTCATGAAGATAGAAAGCTTATCTGGTTGCTCTTATTCTAATAAATAAAAATATGTTACATTTATAATTATTGTTACATTAGAATTGAAACTGTTCTTGTATCAAAATCAATATTGATACGTATTTGAAGTTCTTATTATGTTTTGACATCAAATATTAGTTTGTTTTTTCAGCCTTACCATGACGGTTCCCATTCATTATTGAGTCATACTCGAATCATTGTTATCAGTAATATTATTAAAGCATGCGGCATTCGTAGAATGAGTCATTAATAGCAGATATAAACATGAAAAAATAGAGCAATTATTCATGATGCATCGATAAAAGAGTGTCAAACAATAAGAGACAAAACTTTAGTTTGTTGGAGAAGAAAGAAAATTCTATGGAATAGTTTAAATGAAATATAACAAATAGATGATCTTGTTGTTAGCGTACGTGATGTTGATTCTTAACCTTACAGAAAACGTGCCTTTACTTTTTTATACGACTAGATTTATTGTAAATAATACATTTTAAATAAGATATGCAAAAAATATATAAGAATGATATAACAGAACAAAATATTACAACTTCTTTCATTATTTATGACATCGTATTTGGTGAATAAATAAATTAGCTTTAGGTAAAAATGTTTGGCAGATTGAACATTTCACATAATTTTGTTTATTTTCATCATTAGCATTTGATTTAATGGTTGAAGACGTTTCTTGTGAATTAGTATCAATAGTTTTCTTCTGTTCAGATTGTTTCATATCAATTAAAGAAGATGTAGAGGTTGCTTTTTTGAAGAAATGTTCAATTGTTCCTGGATTTTGTTTTACATCACCAGTTATTTTTTTCTTTTTCTTTAATGGTGATGAAACTATATGAATAAGAATATTTCGTGCCTGTGATATATAACAAATCTTAAAATTTATATTTATTTACTTTGACTAGTTGATGGCTGAGATTCATCTTGATTTTTTTTATTTGATGTTATTTCATTCGTAGTTCGTTTTTTATTTTCTTTAGCTTTATAATTTTCGGGTTCTTTTATTTTTTCAAATTTTCCACCGCAACGTCGTTCATGTTCATCTATAATCAATAAAATGATAGACATAGAAAAATGAAATATCACGTACCCCACCACCGATCTCTATTCGATGGAACTCGATTCATTGAACGTTTAACATAACCATAGAAAGGTTTCCACTGACGACACGGTCCAGTACATCGCCACCAATGGCCATGAAGATGATCATATTCATCATGAAACGAATGATATACCTAGCAATTACAAATAAAGAACTGATCTTTTACGTAATAAAACTTTTGCATTACTGTTATATTAGCTCCAGTTGCATCATTAATTCGTACCATATGTTTAAGAAATTCTGGTCCATGGCCGTCACGATCCTATTAGTAGAATCACTTTGTCGATATAAGAAAAATAAATAAATAATAAAGTTACTCGATTATTATGAGTAACAAATAAATAAGCGTGTATCATTTCATGCTATAAAACAAGTGTAAGTACAAATTTCGTTTTTTTTAACAACAAGATATATTTACTAATAAAGTTTCAACAAGATCTTTTCGAGGTCTCAATGTTAAATAGCTAGCACTAAGTGCAATGCGACATTCACCACCTCGTCTATAATAACATATACCTGCACAACTAAATAAAAATCATTAAAATGTATTAATTTAATATAATAATACAAAAACATGTTTTACCGTGTCATTCTTTTACTCCATTCAACATAAACGCTATCTAATTTTCGGTAGAAAAATTGATGATTAAATTGTTGAAATAATATATGAATTTCAGGATTAGGATCGATCAACTCCCATTCTTTGTCGACAACATTCATCGGGTGTATCTAAAAGTACTTCAAATTATTTGACAGAATATAAGAAATTTTAATATAACTTGTGTGATTTTATCCAATTGTTTTTCATTTTTATTTTCATTTTCATTTTCATTTTCTTCCCTATCAAATTGATTTTGTAATTGAAGTGCGATAAGAAAATCTTCATCATTTGTTTGGTCATCAAAATCTTTCTCTAATGATGATGCTGAATCAAAATAGGCCATTTGTATTTTTTTTATCACAATTAAATTACTACAAATCAATGCTTTCGATAACAAATTTCATCGTACAACATATAACGTGCTCGGATGAGTCATCATCTCTGTCTTAATGTTGACGTTACGAGTGGTATTCTTTTCTTCTTCGAAATAAACCGAGCGATAGAAGGCGTGCGAGGCAAGTCAGCTAAGTAATGAATGAAATTTTCTGTATGAAAAAGCTGATTACTAGTTTTAGGTAATTATATAAAAACATGCTTCGACTATCTATTTCAATGTTTTGAAATTTTACAAAAGCATTATAATACGTTCAAATACATAAATTAATGAATATACATGTGTGTCTTTGACAACTGGAAAAAGCGGCTCCTGGATCTTTGGATTCTGGCGGCTCCTCATGGATTCTATGGATCCTGGTAGAATCTACGGCTCCTGGTGGATTCTAGAATCCATCAGGAGACACCAGGAGTCGCTTTTCCCCTTTCCCAGGTCGAGGTTTACGGAGCCCGTATACGCTCCGTTTGTCCCCGTATACGATCGTATTTGAGCGTAATACATGGCTCAGTATTACGATCGTATATCAACATGTCGTATAAGGAGAAATACGACCATATACGGTAAAATACGGAGCAATGCGGAGATCGTATACGGGCGCAATGCACAGCAATCGTAAACGATCGTTTTTTGTCTCCGTATATTGTCGTATTTCGCCGTATACGACACAGAGATGTACGATCGTAATACTGAAACATGTATGTCGCCGTATTTCTCCGTATACGGTCGTTTACGACCGTGTCTGTTCGATCTTGGTTGTGCAATCCTCTATATTTTCATTCCATCTTTATCCCTATATATATACATTCTTATTTAAACACATAAATATTAGATTTCAGACACTGTTTGATTGAAATTGCGAAAAAGTGAGTGAACAATATTCCGCATTAATTATTCTCGAATACATCTATTTTTTGTGTACTCAAAAAACGTGAGTACACTCTAGATTCGGTCAGTGTGTCCGTTCGTCTGGCCGTTAACACGATAACCTTTGAAAGCCTCATCCAATTGTCATGAAATTTTGTAAATATTGGGTGTGGGTGTGGGGATGGGTTACCAAGTCAGATGGTTACCAAGTCAGTTGGTTACCAACTCAGATGGCTACCAAGTCAGATGGGGTTAATTAATCAAGTCACTATTAAAGTAGTTAGTTAGGATAAAATTCTATAGCTAGAATGGATCAAATTTGATTCGATATTTTTCGGTCAAAATTTTATTCGGCGAAGTTGGAGTCGGCGAAAATAAAATTCGGCGAAGCTATACTAATTCTCCCATCCCACCTGCTCGAGACCCGTACTTCGAAATAACGAGAGTGAAAATCTCTTTCTTTATTTTCTTCGAAAGATAGCGAAAATCTTTTTCTCTCTTTTTTTCGAATACAGAACGAAAGAAAAAAATCAATGTTCTTATGTTCCAATGTCCCAAGCATTGAAATAAATATCGCAAAAATCTTTTTCTTTTCTTCGAAGTATAGCGAAAATCTTTTTCTTTGTTTTCTTCGAATACAGATCGAAAGAAAAAAATCAATTATTCTATGTCCCAATGTCCTGAGCATTGAAGCGAACATCTATTCAAAATCTTTGCCATTTTTCTCTCTTCAATCATGAAAGATAGACACAATTTATGTTGGAAACAAAAAGCGTCTTTTTTTAATCTGCATACTCAATCAAACTATGTCATATCACTCCGTAACAAAATTTTATTTCTATGAATCACTTTCTCATAACATTTATAAAATAGTCTACAATTCCAATCTCAACTAGATTCTAAACTGTACTGTCACATATATGCACCTCTTTACATTTACATTCTACGTTGCATCAATAGTTTCTAGAATACGGAGACAATAAACTTAATTAAGGTGAACCTGACTAGAGATGTGTTTTATTAGTCTACTGTAGTCCGCCAACGAGGATAGGTTAAAAACACTTACGGTGTAGGAGAAGTGACAAGCAGAAAAAATGTCTCAATCCATGGGAATACTATGTAGGTATTTCCAGATTTAGCGTGACAATACTGATTTTAGGCAGAAACGTGAACTTCTTTGAAAGCAAAATATTATATCGACAGTGCCAATGTTTTGGTGAGAAACTTTCGATTTCTATTCAGTCATGTTTGCCGTTCTAATAGACTTCTGCCATCAAATATGAATCAACTTGTTCTTCATGAAGCTGAGTATTTAATAAATGGTGAGCCAAACATTTCGTTGTATAATACCTTTATAAATTTGTTTCAATTTGAATGACAAAAATAAAACTGCTTGCGACGATTACCATCTGATGGAGAATTTGATTTTGTAACAAGTTTCGTTTCTTTAAAAAATTGAATTTGTGACAAAATACTTATCTACAGGTTAAAGGGACCAAAAAGGTGAGGGGAATATTTTGCTCTGCTCTTTTCCTACCTATTCACCTCCTTCTCCCCCGCTCATATCTATCTTCTCACTCAGTTAGAGAGATGTAACATCTCTATACTGTTATCGTGGGATAAGTATTTTGAATTTGCAGCGAATTAAAATTTCCCATGGAGTCAGTCAAAGGTATGCTGATGAACGTTTACGTACCTACATCCAAAGAAGAAATTATCCTTATGCCGATAATTTCTTCTTTTTAAAAGAATAGGACTTTGTAATTTTATATAAATTTAGTTATAGTTTCACTGTTACAACCAGTGTACTTCCATTGAAAGATTTTATACAATGAAACATGATTCTAAATCACAAACGGATTCATACTCTATTGAATTCTCATGTTCTTTTTTTCGTAAGTTATGGCAAACAGATCCGCTATAAATGCACTTATAAATCTGCTATTTACAGATAAATTGAATACTTAAATTATCAGTTCAAGAATATATTAAATTTTTTATTTCACGAAAATAAATTGAAGGCTGACAATAAAAAAATATGAAACTTTTGAGTTAAGCATTAAGTAAAGATTATGTTGATTCTCAGTGACATACACAACGAAAGTAGTCCATATATGATTGGCATTCAGATCGTTTCCGACCTTGCAAACTGCAGTACAATCGACAACTATTTTGGTCCCTTTTGCTTGATGGATCGCATGGAAAATTACGCCCACCAATAAATTCGGGTTTGCTTGCTGATATCACTAAAAAAAATTGGCAATGCTTCTATGACATATTAATGGTTAATAGTTTTCTATTTACGTTCATTCGACTCTGACTTTGAGTCTGAACTGATTTGGTTTTGTGCACTAACGATCAACAATAGCATAATAACGAATAAAACTGAAGCCAAATGTTTCGAATTCATAATACGGCAATACAAAGAAACAAATTACTGTATTT